CCTCAAAGTACTTTTCAAGACGCATCCAATGGTACCAAGTAAGGTATGTGTTTTTAATAAAATTGTTGAGCAACTTATAAAAATATGAAATGAGGTTTCTGGCCAAAATGCTGAGATTTTACATATCAAAGTCCCACAAAGATGATCTCAAGAGTTACGTTAGATTGATAGAAACATTTTGATCCAATACATACCATAGCAAAAGTCTACAATATCAAGGTCAAAAACGCGATCATTTGATTTTTGATGAAAACCACGAGGGGTACCTCATGCTTTTTGGTCAATTTTTGGCCATGTTTTTTTGATCCCCAAAAAGTTGAGCAAAGGTGTCAGAAAGTAACTGCCAGATGAGAGCAACTGTTTGGTGCTATTCTGGCGGTTTTAAGCGGCTTCCAGCACAAGAAATTGTTGCTCAAATTCACCTATTTCTTGCTGTGCTTTGCATTCTGTCGAATGCCAAGAGGCAATTCAGGTATAATGTATGCCTTGATCACTTGTTGAGTAGTGAAATTTGAAGAAATCAATGTATTGGTATGCCAGAACCAAGATACTTCCATCAAACATAAACCATCGCTAGACTGTGAATAACCTTTATGCAGAAAAATCAGCGGCTGGTTCTGTCAAGTAGCGCTTACGGTATCCAATACCCTCTTAGATGCATATGATACTAGCATTTAATACAACTATAGATACCGTAGATACTGTAGCAAAAGTCATATCTCTATCAAAGCTTTAAGATATTTTTGGCTATTTTTATATTAAACTACGGGTTGAGCGAACGTAGGTCATTGTATAATTACATGTGTGTATATAGTCCCTCACACTACTAGTGCTTTTGCAACAACTAAATATTTTGCTCTAGAAACTTCTTGAAGTTTGGAATACTTTGTATCCATAGCAATCCAACAATTTGTATATTAGTACATAAACTCTCAAGTGCATTATCCAATAATATGTGTCTATCTCTAATAACATGAGGCATGAAGCTTGCGCAAGACTGCGTGTGTACAATGACTAAATAGTCATCTCTTCCGAGAGGAGAGTTGTATTGCCTACAATGATAGCGGTACTCTGTATGACATCAAACCTAACAATGCTTCGAAATGGCCATAGTCAGACTTTCTCCATTCATCTTCAACCACAGCTTCACGATTCAAGAACATTTATATCAGTGGCACTTATGATATCAGTTGCTTCAAACGGCTTTCTGTTTATACATTGGTTTTAATAGAGAATGTAATAAAAAGACGATGATATAGTAGGCAATGCAAAACTCTTTTTATTATTGATTTGCTTGTAGCTTTATAGAAAACGATGATAATGTATGAGAGTTTGTTTAGATTTGAATAGATGCTAGCTAACTTGAATATAATTTGATTTAACTTGTATAGGTAAGAGATAGTATTGATGTGTGTATTGCAAGGTTTCGTGTATAGAATAGAGACAGCAGATGTGGCAGTATGGCTTGACTTTGTATATACTAGGCAGCATGAGTCTTGACATTATAATAGATGGCAGGCAGCAGAGATACGAGCATGGCTTGGTCTTGTATATACTAGGCAGCATGAGTCTTGACACTATAATAGATGGCAGGCAGCAGAGATACGAGCATGGCTTGGTCTTGTATATACTAGGCAGCATGAGTCTTGACACTATAATAGATGGCAGGCAGCAGAGATACGAGTATGGCTTGGTCTTGTATGGATGTAGAGATGGCACCGTGTATTAAAGTGGTTTTGACATTGCAGGAAATAGATCTACACTATATTGCGGGACATTGGATTATTACAAAGGATACTTACCCTGTAGCATACTTGATGGACGATGAAAAGAGCAGCTTGAAACACGAGGAGACCAAAAGATGAAGCCAGGCTTCCAGGGCAAAACATCTGCCACAACTTGCATATCCCTAGCAACAAGGATGGGAAGACACCTCCCGGGAAACGCACCTAGCGCCTCGTCGCATCACCCTTACGAGCTACCGGGGCAACAGGTGCTGAGGCCACACGAGACAACCACCTTACGCGCATGACCCCTAGACCTCATCCAAGGCTTCAACCAAGTATGGAGTGCTTGCAAGTCAAAATAGAGAGATGGTGAGTCATGCTGCTTTATAAGCTAGAAGTGACGAGTACATACCTGCAGAGTTGATTGTATGTTGCTATTATCTAAAAATACGAGGAGAGTGCGACCATGTTTTGCATGGACCGCAACCTAAGAGAACCATGGAATTATGAGAGCATTGTGTAAGAAAAAGCCAATCATCAGTACAGTGTTTGATTTACTTGACCATGTATAAAGCAGAAAGAGAGCCCAAGAGTATTGCAGAGAGAGAGTTCGCTTGCAGAGAGAGTTCGCTTGCAGAGAGAGTTCGCTTGCAGAGAGAGTTCGCTTGCAGAGAGATTTGTTAATAGAGAGTAGAGATGAGATGAAGATGATGATGAAGAAGAAGAAGAAGAAGGAAAAGCTGTTGAAACAACCATCTATTTATATCCTTCTCATCGACTTTTGTGTGAGTCCAGTGTCCTTGCCACACTCAAATTCGTTTCCTTTTACTTTTCTCCACGATATACTACTTTGAGCGCGTGAAAGTAGTACCATTTTGACGTTTGACACTTGCTCTATTTCATCCGCTTCGTCCGAGGCTTTCAACTGTTTTCTGTCTCGAGTTATGTCCATTTTGCTACTTCAAAAAGCCCTTTTTCCACCTTCACATGAAACGAGTTCCCCCATCTCTTCCTAGATGTAATTAACAGACAACTTTTCACTGGCTCAAACCTCATCAAAAAGTAAACAAAAAATGTCATTTGACACTGAAACAGATGCAGCTGGTTGCTTGATTAAGTAATCTTTTTTTTTTTTTTTTTACCTCTCCTTAATTTCTCTCTCCAAGATCATACGGTTCTCGATCCATCTCTCTTGTTGTTTACATCAGCCATAAATTGTCCATCTAATCGGACAATACGAGTGTTAAGGTTGGCTTTCTTGTCGTTTACATCACATCGGAGCCAGCATAACTGATTCTGGACCAAGAAACAAGTGTACACCTCGGAAAACAAGCGTGCTATATGAAGATTACTGCGGCAATCTCCATGGAATGGAACATAATGGATTGTTCTCGGACCAGTGCAAATCATCTTGTTTCCAGCTGTCATGGTTGCTGTCAATGATGTCAATCAAAGTGTTTGCGCTACTAGATATCATCAATATGCCCACATTTACATAGTGAGTTGGTCATTCTTGTGTATCCTTCCTGCAACCTGTTTGTAGTTCTTATGCCAAGAGCATGCATCTCATAAAGAGTTTAACACGTTTCATATCATTTTTTTTTTTTAGGGATCGTCCTCTTTTAGAAGGTATTCGGATCATGCAAGATCAAAATAATTCATTTGCTAGGCAAAATTATGCTTTAAAAAAAATCACATGTAAAGTAAACAAAAGGACATGAATTGAAGAGAGATAAGCAAGTAAATGGCCAATTTGTGGTCAAAGAGAGGATATTTTATTAGAAGGTATGTACATCATTAGAAAGCAAATCACTTGAGGAATCCAATGGTACTATTTTCAGGGTTCTAAGTCAAGTGCACATCGCGAAATTCATCAAACAAGGCCGTGGGATTTCCAAAAGAAGGAGGTTTCTGAATTAAACTTCACCTGCAATATCATTTTTGTCTGTGTGCTATTCTGTTGCTTTGGATCATGTCACGCCCGTCCCATGTCACCAACCTGTCCTTTTTGGGTCTCACGTTGGGTACACTACCCATTTGAGAAGGAGTCTCGCTTTCTCGTATAATCGTTTCTGTGGGTATCATTGCCGTTCTATTATAGGGCTTTGAGCAATCAAGGAGAGCCTTCTTTTAGCCAGCCAAAACGGATTACAATCCCGCTCGACTTTCTGTCACGATTCGTTGATTTTTGATCCTTTTGCGACTCGATCGACTTATTTTTACGAGATTCGACTATGAAAGTTGTAGTGATCATCCTTTACAGCCTTAAGCTATCTAGGAGAAGTTTTCAAGGCGCATCCAATGATGCTAGTTATAATGGCTGCTTTTAATGAACTTGTTGAGCAATTCATGAAATTATGAAATAACGTTTTTGGCGAAAATGTTGAGATTTTACATATCAAGGTCCCGCAAAGATGATTTCAAAGGTTACGTTAGGTTGATAGAAACATTTTGATTTTATATATGCCATAGTAAAAGTTTTCATTTTTCAAGGTGAAAAATGCAATCGTTTGATTTTCAATGAAAACCATGAGGGGTACCTCATGCTTTTTGGTCGAATTTTGGCCATGTTTTTTTTTTGATCCCCAAAAAGTTGAGCAAAGGTGTCAGAAAGTAACTGCCAGATGAGAGCAATTGTTTGGTACTATGTTGACCATCTAAAACAGCCGTGAACGCAAGAAAACGCAGCTCAAAGGCACTGAGATTTTGCTGTATCAGGGACCCTAAAGACTAAAAAGGAGAAATACCAGTATGCTGTTTAAACGTATATGAAGTAGCCACGTGCATATGGATGTTAAAGCATCCTATAAGAGTCAGATCCGCAGATAATATGAATGGTTTTCATATGTAAGTGGAAGGTCAAAATAAAAATAGCTGTATTTTGATAAGATACACTACGCAAAGGCAATCGGTAGCGCGAGCTGCTGCTGCACAGGTTGGTCCTCACCGAAGCGAAACAAAGGTAAAGAGCCACCCGAAGCATAAACACTTGTTTATGAATAACAATAATCGATCAAGATGATATGCTTTCTGAAGAGTCGGCTGGTCATATACTATATAATGTCCTTAATGAGATTGCATGGCTATAATCGAGGAAATTGGGATTGCAACAACAAATGTCATGCTTATGAAATACTTGGGATTTTTATTGTAAAAAAAAAATAATGGTAATGTATAGTTAAGTATGCTGAAGTAATCTTCTATATACAGCGTATAATGTTATTTACAAAGATGAGTTGTTGTACAACGAGAAAAGGTATGGTTTGAAAATGCCTAATTCTTGAAATCGGCAATAAGGTTTTCAATGGACGAAATGGTACCAAAGATAAGACCGACGAGACCCATTAGAATAGTGAGACAACACCAAGCGATTTCATAGATGGGCTTGTTGCGGAAACCAGTTAAACGGAAATAAAAGATAATAGGGAAAATAAAGATCAAACCACAATTGGCAAATGAACCGATCAAAGACATCAAATCATCAAAATGAGGAATAACAGCACCAATGACACCGACAAATACGACTGTCAGGATTCTCAAGGAGGCACGGATCAAAAATTCCTTGACTCTACCGAAACGTTCGACAGTGACGTTCAACATCTCCTCAACATCCAGTGCAAAAGAAGTGAGGAGGATAGGCGTGGCTGTTAGTACATGAAAAGTCATGACAACAATAGCGATTATCTTGGGTACGCCATCATTAATGGATTCATAAACAGGGGATTTGACAGTATCACCATATACCAAATAGCCAGGAATAGCAGAGAGAAAGTATAAACCGGCACATGTACTCAAGCCGGCAGCGACAACCTTGGGCCAATCTCTGGGCTTCTTCATGGATGCTTCAACATGAGGATAGACAACATTGCCACCTTGAAATCATGCTAAACGTCAGTATTATTCTACCTTATTACATACATGTACACGAAACTTACCAAATGAAAAGGAAATGGTACTCAAAGCAATAGGGAATTGAGGCCAAATGACGGAATCATGATGAACTTCACCGATAGTATTTTTATCGATGCAGGCAACGACGAGACAAATGATAACGACAATAAGTGTAGCAACAGCACCTAAGGCACTCATCCAAGCAACTTCCTTCATAGATTTGACAAGGACAAAGGGAACAGCGACAATGACACAAGAGATAATGCTCCATGGAAGGGTTCCAATTTCACCAGCAGTGCCCTTACACAGTTCATTCAAGTTGGATCCAGACAGAACAATATACAAAATGGGAGCACCAAGTAAAATCCAGGCGTTGAAGAAAAAAGTGACCCAGCCACCCACTGCACCGAAACATGTAGTGGCAATTTCCTTGTATGTAGACAGACGACGTTTACCATTAGCGTAGAGACATCTGATAAGGAGCATACCAGTGTAGACAGACATGGTCCAGGCCAAGACTAGAATCAAAATACCAATCCAGCCACCTAAGCGGAGGGCATAAGGAAGACCGAGAGTACCAGTACCTGCAACGACGCAGACGACATTGAAATATGCAAGAAATGATGAGCCGGCGTGGCTTCTATCAATATCTATCAATCCCTCATCGGAAAAATCTACCTCAGCTTCTATTGTATCATTGGATTTACATTAGTATAAATGCCTTTTAATATTGCAACGTCAACTAGTAAATTACCACTATAGGCCTCAAATGTAACGGGTCCCTCTTGAAAATCATTAGTTTTCTTGTCCAAGTCGTTAAGTTCTATAGACATTTTGTATGTTTAATTTCGTCTAATTTGGATTTAAATTGAGATGACCAAATAGAAAGAAAAAAAGAGAATTTTTTTTAAAAAAAAAAAAAAAAAAAAAAGAAGAGCAAGAAGAAGAAATCGAAATTCACACATTTGGATCGTTAGCATTCTCTTATATACATACAGTTTCTAATCCAAGCTGAATTATAAAGCCCATGTCTCAAAATGATGCTCACTCGAAACAGACGGCGCTTGGTGTACCTCTCCAATCAATGAACCTATCTACTTTTATGGATACCTGAGTCATATGCCTCTTGGCTGTTCGTTTTGGCCTCCCGGTCCGATTTATATTCGCCTTGCAGATATTCCATCTTGTGCATTTTTGATGTAGACATCTAGATGACAGGTATCAAGTGTATGGGGGCACAAGATTACTGCCAATATTTCTCACGATCATGTCACATACATATATTACAAAGAAAACAGAAAATACAATGTCAATAAACCATGAACCGTGGAAAAAAACACTATCAAGATAATCATTTCAAACGACGTTGTTAGTCTGATTGGCCATTTAGATCATGACTCAATGGTTTCCAACAGCCATCATTGCATTCCGGAGATAAAATTATAAAAGCTTATTTCCTTAAATGAGTAAGCGAAACTGAGATACCCAGCATATGTAACCAAATTGGCCATGGTCCCAATAAATACACAACACATTTTTTGTAGTGAGTGTGTAGACATTTTGGAGAAAACTTTAATTTCGTTTAATCACTCATCTTTGGCTAAAGACACGTTTGTTCCATTTAAATTGAAATGAAACATCATAAATCGGGACATTCCAATGTCTGGGATGATGGTAGTGGAGCACAGGTAAGCCCAATTAAAATTTCTGTATTCATAACAAATGTTTTAGAGATTTTCGCACAAGAATCTGTGATATCATGCCTGGGCGTCATTTCATAAGCAAACTACACCAAAATAGGTCTGGAAAAAGTGGTATTATATTACAAGCTAAAATTAATCATACTATGCCATAACACGTAATGTGCTCTGGCTGCATTAAAAATTGGTGAGGAGGATTTAAGATTCTAACAGTTGTATAGACTAGTAACCAGGCCAACTTGTTACAAGATTTGGTAGTGCAATCAGGTTTAAACTTGGGTATAGATAGAAATGATGTATCCAAATGTTCGCCAAAACCGAGATAGTGATGTCTGATTGAACCTGATTGCTAATAGCTGTAATTTTCAATATTAAAATTTGAAGGCGAATCGCTTTACATTCGATATACGAGTAATTAGCTTATAATATCGTTAGAGTACATCACTGAGGGAAGTGTTTAACATCAGATCACTTCCTTGTTCTATTACTTGAATGTGTCGTAAAATGCTTTTGGCTTTACGATAACAAATATACAGGTTTCGCTGATATTTCACACGTTTTTCCTTTCATTTTCCTCCATTCATTAAAAAGAAATGGAGGCATGGCCGTAGCTCTTACTATATCAGCAATTGAAAAAGGAGCAAGATTCCGTTAATATGAAACAGCGCACGCAAGAGCCTTCATTAAGATATCAAAATAGGTTTGCAAGCGACGTGGCGTTATACAAGAGAAACAATGCGATATAGGCAATGAATCCAGAAGGTATTATACTGACTCTTCTTGGGTTACAATGTATTAAAACTACCTGTGTTATCTTATTAGGTAGCTTATTTTACACTTTACATTGGTAGTCGGGATTTGTCCTTCTCCTAGTAAGGCTTATGATCTCTGAAAAGTTGGACTCTTGAATGTTCAATATGATTTAAACACGAAAACCATTTATTAAGCAATCAAGCAGGGGCTGACAACACTGGTGCCGGGCTCGTTCTCTCAACCTCTATCCACGTTTATCATTACATCTTAAAAATTTTAGAACAAACACAACTTGGCCAACAGATGCAAGGCTGGGTGAATACTACGCTGTCAGATTTGAATTCAGTAAGAATTTCAAGCATTTCAAATGCCAATTATCGCAAGAAAAAGTTTTGATCAATCTCAATCCCACAAAGCAAATAAACAACTGTGAATCCCATTATGCTAAACGTTGCTTTATTCGCATTGATTGACGTCTTTCACATAAACTTTTGAATGAATTAGCGTTGACCTGTCCCTGTGGACCAAACCTGATCTGAAAGCTTGACAGTCCTACTTGAAAGGTCACAGAAGCATTGAAAAAAATCGAATCTGTAACTTTTTTTTTTTTTTTTTTTTTTTTTTTTTTCTTTGTTATCAATCTACAACCAAACATCACATCATGGTAAGGTATAAATCATAGTAAAAGCATATGGATCTTGCTAATATACTGCAAACAGGGTAAAGCCAGAACTACTAGAAAGTTTGCTCAAGTCAAACGTATGATTAGCACAAATGACACTCGATTGTAAGCACAAATTTCGACCACAAGACATTGCCAAATGAAATTAACCTGCTTTATTTATTCCTGTAGGAAGGATAATCGAGAAAAGCAAAAGAAAAAGGAGGAAAAGAAGGAAGAAAAGGCTGTTCGTCATGTGTAAGTAGCTTCAACTATGAATTTGATGGAAAGTGGCTAAACAATGAATGCATTGTATGATTCTACAGTCCCCAAGTGGCTTCTTCCATGTTCTTCCAATACAATGCTGCGCTCGGTCCCCCATATCACATCTTGGTGGATACCAATTTCATCAATTTTTCTATTCAAAACAAGCTTGAGCTCGTCAAATCAATGATGGATTGTCTTTATGCAAAATGTAGGTCACCGTCCGTCTCTTCATGGACATTGTACTGACATATTTACATATTACTTTTAGCTGTACCATGTATTACTGATTGTGTATTGGCAGAATTGGAGAAATTAGGACCCAAATATCGCATTGCATTAAAGTAAGTAGGAGAAATGAGAACAGGGATCGCATTGGTCAGATGGGGTTAACATGAATCAACATTAGAATCGCTCGTGATCCTCGTTTCGAACGTCTTCCGTGCTCACACAAGGGTACATATGCAGACGATTGTTTGGTCAATCGAGTAATGCAGCACAAATGTTATATTGTTGCTACCTGTGATCGTGATTTGAAGCGTCGTATTCGTAAAGTGCCTGGCATTCCGATCATGTACATTGCCAACCACAAGTATGTCATTGAGAGACTTCCAGAACTCGGTGTCAACAACAAATAGATCCTGTCCCAATAAAATGTAAATATCCACTCATTAGCATTAGAAGAAATGGGGTTTTTATTCTGTGTGGGTGCTTGTTGGATCTAGGCTGCTATGATAGTTGGCATGTACATCATGTGTGTGCGGATTTATGCCTTCAATGAGATTCAAAAGAAGATCTGATAAAACCAGACTCGTTGATACTCACATCCAGAACACTACATCCGAAAGCTCAGTCCAATGCCAATGTAAATCGACTGTCAGTGGATTTTATTGCTTTTATGGAAGTAGACAACGTAATGTCAAATTCAAAATTTACTTAATTAAGAAGGCAACGTAGACTTTCGTGCTTTTGTCACATGTGTACAGCATTTCATTGGCTTGCTATTCCAACAATCAGGTATGAATTTTGGTTACAGTGTCAGTTTTTATAATCCTCGGTTAATTTTTCTATATATAAACCGCTTTACCTATCTTTCCTTCAACAATTCTCAGTGATAATAATGTCAGAAAATAGCAACATGAATAAAACTGCTTTGGTATTTGGTGCTACAGGTAGATGCTGGTAGATGTTGGACTCGCAAGACTCGTTTCTCATGCATTTTGTACTGTAGGCGCTGTTGGTAAACAACTTTTAAAGGATGTGTTAAAGAATGGTACCTATGCAAAGGTCGTAGCAGTGGGTAGACGCCCTGTGGAACTCGACGAAAGCACTCCTCAAGACAAGTTGGTAAGCGTGCTTGTTCAGTGCATGATAAGTGTTTGGTTATACTGAGTGTGTGTGAATGTGTTAGGTGCAAAAAACCGTTGATTTTGATAATTTGGAAGCTCATCGTGAGGATTTCAAGAACGTGTCGTAAGTAGTGTATATGTATGCTTAGCTCAATAATGCTCAATCTAAACAACTCAATGCAAGAGATGTCTTTTGTTGCCTTGCTACAACTCGTGCTGATGCTGGCAGTGCTGAGAAGTTTGTCAAAATTGATCAGACCTATGTATTAGACTCTGCAAAGATCATTCACGAAGAAAACAAGCCAACCGGATCGGAATTGGCACCTGTACATTTCCTCTACTGTTCATCCAGGGTAAGCGAGACATCACATTCAATTATAACGGCCATAGTGGTGCTAACAGCATGAAAAAAAGGGCGCAGACAAGAATTCCATGTTCTTGTATCCCAAGACAAAAGGTCAAACTGAAGAAAAACTGGCCGAAACAGGCTTTGAGAAAGTATCCATATTCCGTCCTGGACTTTTGGAGGTAGTAGAGCCTCGTACTCGTCCTCGATTGATGGAGCCTCTTGCAGTAGCTGTCTGTAAACCCATTTTCAACCTTTTTGGCTTTAAAGGCATCAATTCTGTCGATACCGTGGGTAAGGCTATGCATAAAGTGGCCGAAGATAGCTCCATCAAGCCCGCTGATGCTTCCAGTGTCAAGAAATCAGTCATTGGATCCATGGTGTCTGCTTTCAACAATAACGATATCGAGAATATTGTCCACTTCAAGCCCTAAGTAGCATTCAAGTGTATAGTAATAAATCAATTTGTTGTAAATCCTGTGTCCGTCATTCGAGTCTGTATATAATTCGATTAATGCGTTCATCATCAGCTAATCGACCCTGATTTCCGCCCATTTGCAACTATGCAACCATCAACTCTCTACATAACATGCGCATCATCCCTTTTTTTCTTCTATTTTATTGATCATTTTGACACTTTCTTTACTTTCTTGGAGCGATCCTTCTTCTTCAAAGTGTCCATATAGGCTCTAATAATCGTACTATAGGCATTTTGGAATCTATCAAAATCATCAGGAGCAATCTAAAGAGTAAAATATTAGCATAAAGAGCTACTCATATATAACTAGTGCCTGCTTACAATAGTACTGATCTTGTTCTTCTTGTACACTGCACGCACGAGACAAGGGTATTGAACATCATCTGCCTCAGCATTGGCAACAACGGCACTGCCACCTTTGGGCATCTCCTTCTTTACTTTGGATGCTTTGACTAGTCTTTGTGCGGTCACTACAAACGAACATCAATGCAACGAATACCAAGCACACGCAGTGGAGTCCACATACTTCTCTTCATTGTAACAGACACATTGCCTGCTGTCTTTGACTTTTCATAAAACTGACCAAGTTCAACAGTAAACTAGATGCCAAAAGCGTGTCTTAGTCAATGTGCAATGTAAAGGTCGAAATGCAACTTACAGCAAGAGGGTCCAAATCTTTCATTTATGGTATGTATAGAGCGAGAGAAGAAAACGTTGTGGAAGCGTAAATACAAAAATTTCTTTTTTTAAATCCTCTCATTTGGATCTTCTGGCCACACAAACACGGTAAGAAGAAGATGAAGGAAGAATCCGTTTGAATCCCAGTTTAGTTGAGATGGTCGATGAATCGCATTATACCTGACGATGGAATGTGTCTTTTGTGGTGCTATATAAGGAAAAGAGTGGTATGGCATACTGATTAAGCCCAAGGTCAACGTTTAGCAGATGAATTTAAAGACTAACTATCTGTTAAAGGCAACATTTTATTAGGAAAATTCATTTAGATGTACTATTGCTACTCGTATTTTTTGTTGGCTGATACAGTCATGAGGTATCTTTCACGATTAGCACGCAAATACTGTTTTGGCCATTTGACCTCAATCTGTAGCTCTTTAGAAGCACGGTTGACCCAACCACTATCTCTTAGGAGCTCTCTGGCAATCAATATGTAATCGGCTTGACCATTTTGCAAGACATCCTCAGCGTCCTTGGGCTCAGTGATGATACCAACCGCTCCAGTGGCAATATCAGCTTCTTTCTTGATGTATTCTGAAAATGGAACTTGATATAATGGACCAGCTGAATAGTACGCTTGAGAGACGTTACCACCGCTAGAGACATCAATCACGTCGACGCCAATTTCCTTGAGCTTCTTGGCGTAAACAGTAGCATGTCGAATATCCCAGCCATCAGCGTCTTCACCACCTACGAGCGTACCATCATTGGATTTGTGATCAGAGGCAGAAAGACGAACCCAGAGTGGTTTATGAGCAGGCCAAGCTGCACGTACACGCTCTACAACAGCAAGTGGGAATCGAAGACGATTCTCCAAGGAATCACCACCAAATCTATCCGTACGTTGATTTGAGTTTCCAGACAAGAAACTGTGCAATAGAAAGCCATGAGCACTGTGAATCTCCAAGACTTCAACACCAGCTTTATCAGCACGAACAGCAGCATCAGCAAAATGTTGGATCACTTGCTCCATGTCTTGCTCAGTCATTTGCTTAGGAATGCCATAGCCTTCACTGTATTGTTCTCCTGTAGGTCCAAAGATGTCGGCTGGCCAGCCACCAAACTCTTCAGGGACAAGACACTCAGCGCCATGAAAAGGTGAGTAGACAGAAGCTCTACGTCCAGCATGAGCAATCTGGATAGCTGGAACAGATCCTTGAGACTTGATGAGCGACACAATCTTTGCCAGTTGAGGAATATGATCATCAGACCAAAGACCAGCATCTTCAGGCGTGATTCTTCCTCGAGGTTCAACAGCAGTAGCTTCAATGATAATCATACCAGCACCTTTGATAGCAAATTGACCATAATGAGCCACATGGAAATCGTTAAAGAAGCCGTCTTGCGAACTGTACATACACATGGGAGAGACTACAATACGGTTATTGAGCGTTACAGAACGAATGGTAGAGGGACTGAGCAGTTTGGAGGCCTGGGCATCTTCCTGAGCAAGAGTTGCACCCACAGCAGGTTTGGAGTTGATGACTTGGGGAGGCAGCTGGGTGGGGTTTTCCCTGGTAGTAGTAGTAGTAGTAGTAGTAGTAGTGGCGGTACTCATTGGACTCCTATTGTAAATGTATATTCAGAGATGATATTGAGATGCAAACAAACCTTACTATGGTACCCTCCTTTTATACTTTTGCTATGCTCATTATTAATCAAATCGACGTGTCACATCTACCAGGATATGTTATCCATGAATTTGTCATTCGACGTGTCACATTGGGTGGTTGAAGAGTGTTCAGTTTCTTGATCTGTCTTGTCAAGTATCAAATTCCAAAATGGCAATGTATTTGATATAAGCTGTTTGACAGTTTCCAAGTAAAATATATGGTAGGGTGACTTTTGAGTGAGTAGAAAACATGTCTATCAAGCATCTCACTATACCATACGAGTGCCTATGCTTCGGATGGTTCTCTACTTTCGCTTCGCTTCGGTAAGAATCAATCAGTGCAGCAGCAGCTCGCTCTACCGATTGCCTTTGCGTATCTTCTCAGAATACTGCTACTTTCATTGTGACCATCCACTTACGCATGAAAACCCTTCATATGATCTGCGGATGCGAGTCTTATATGATGCTTTACATCGATGTGCATGTGGCTACTTCATATACGTTTAAACAGCATACTGGTATTTCTCCTTTTTAGTCTTTAGGGTCCATGATACAGCAAAACCTGAGTGCCTTTGAGCTGCGTTTTCTTGCGTTCACGGCTGTTTTAGATAGTCAGAATAGCACCAAACAATTGCTCTCATCTGGCAGTTACTTTCTGACACCTTTGCTCAACTTTTTGGGGATCAAAAAAACATGGCCAAAATTCGACCAAAAAGCATGAGGTACCCCTCATGGTTTTCACCGAAAATCAAACGATCGCGTTTTTGATCTTGATAGCGTAGACTTTTGCTATGGTATGTATTGGATCAAAATGTTTCTATCAACCTAACGTAACCTCTGAAATCATCTTTGTGAGATTTTGATATGTAAAATCTCGACTTTTTGGCCAGAAACGCCATTTGATATTTTACCGAATTGCTCAGTAAGTTCATTAAAAATAGCCATCATAACTAGCATCATTGGATGCTCCTTGAAAAGTTCTACTAGATAGCTTAAGGCTGTAAAGGATGATCACAGCAACTTTCATAGTCGAATCCTGTAAAATAAGTCGATCAAGTCGAAAAAAAGGCAAAATATGGCCAATCTTGAACAGATAAAATAATCTGGGTTTGAATCAATTTTGGCAGCTAGTGCGGCCGGCTGGCGGACTCAATACCCTTTCCATTATGAAGGCAATACAGTAATAGATGCTTTTGAAGCGTATGAAAACTAGGCAGCAAATTACATAGCACTATCGTTAGCCATGCAATTTTTCTTGCATTTTATATTTAATAGAGCCGGTCTCTCAAAATACTTGTTAGATCAACTTCTTTTCTTTTTAAGGCTTTTAAAGTGTCTACTATAGACTGAACATTTACGATTGTTTTTTTTTTTTGTAGGGCAAATGCTTGCTTTATTTAAAGTCCCATTGAACATTTATGATTGAAATAATAGGGGCAACTGAAATTTCCTAAATTGTTACAATTCTGACAACTCAGTGATCTGCCGTATTATTTCATACAATACAGCCAAAGCACACTTGTTTTGTATCAAGTACTGATTCACTGAATTGATCCAACATGTCATGCTCTTCATTTCGTGATCTGACAAATGTCAATTTGCAATCTAGAAGCATTTCCTGTCGACGGCCGGACCGAGTAGATTGAACAGGCGCAAGTCTACTAATGATTTACATTTGCCGGACTCCTCCACTCACTGTCATTGACGCCCAAGAAAGCAGAAAGCATAGTAATCCTTCCTTTTGTGCTTTAAGATGGTATGTGAGATGATGTGGTTGATGACTGAGATTTGTGTGTAAGGAGAGACATAGTACAACGCTTACTGGACATCGATGGATTGATGGATTCGACTGTTGGATATGACGATGGATGTGGATGGTAGATACATTTGCATATGGATCAATAGCATCGAGTAAAGCATAGTGCCATATAAAGAGACACCATCATACAACGACGCTTCAACCAAGGCAACCCTCACAGCTTCCATGCTCACATGCATGTTGTCTCTCTTTCTCTATAAATCTTAGCATCAGCCTTGGACATGAATTTTGGCCTATACTCATGCATTCTTGTTCATTCATCAGGCTGACGAGCAAACTACTCCTAGAAAGAGAACTTTCCGTAAGTTTACCTACCGTGGTATTGACCTTGAACAACTCTTGGACTTGTCTTCTGAACAGGTAAAGAAATCACGGTATTTGAGGTATCAGGCGAGAAAGTTAAACAAAATGATGCTATAGTTCATGGAGCTCGTTCACTGTCGTGCTCGTAGAAGATTCCAACGTGGTCTTAAGCGTAAGCCCATGGGCCTCATCAAGAAGCTCCGTGCTGCCAAGAAGAACGCTCCCGCTGGCGAGAAGCCTGAGGTTGTCAAGACCCATCTCCGTAACATGATCATCGTTCCCGAGATGATTGGTTCCATCATTGGTATCTACAACGGTAAGGTCTTCAACCAAGTTGAAATCAAGCCTGAGATGACCGGCCATTACCTTGCCGAATTCTCCATCTCTTACAAGCCCGTCAAGCACGGTCGTCCCGGTATTGGTGCTACTCACTCTTCCAAGTTCGTTCCTCTCAAATAAATAAACGAGATCAACCACTTTCTTTGGACAATACTTATCATTTCACTTTTTATCATATCAATATGCATTGAGAAGAGAGGAGAGGATGAAATAAAAAGCTTGTTTTTTTTAACTTAAACACTGTATGGCGATTGATATTGGTGAATGTACTTGTCGCTGCTGGATCTTTGACGGTATGTCTCTCTATCTGCTAGGTCGATCCATTTTTTGATGGCTTCGTAAACATCATTTTGAGTGTTTTTGACAGCTTCCGAGACAGAGTCGCTCACAAAGAAATCCTACCCATCATATTAGCACTGTTATTATTAAAAGCATGGCATTCACTTACCCAGTGATGAACAGCTTCGGGTAACACAGCGTATTTGGCATCTTCGTCCCAGTCAATACGATTAGGGGCATCATCGCTCTGAACACTGAGCGTTCTCCAGGGATCCCACTCACCGTCAATCCAAAAGACGCGATCCAGGCTGGCGTGCCATCCTTCATACTCTTCATTTATCTCTCTCCAGATGGGTCGCTTGGGCACTTCATGCTCACCAAACATCAGAGGACATTGGCGTTGGAACCAAGCTGTGTCCAGTTTGCGAGACACGATGGTAGGTCTCCAAATAGGAGCTCCCGTCTGCCAATAAGCATACTCTGTGCAGACCTGCCAAAACCAGGCACGAGACTCATCTGTATCATCCTTGTACATTTTGGAGCGAGGGTCGTGTGTATCCAGGCATTCATTGACAGTTTCATCTTCATCGCAGGCCCTTTTGATGACATTCTTTATATAGTTGCCATACGCTTCCACCTGCTCCTGGAGCGATGTGGTGCCGTCAAAAATGGAGCAGAAATCATCGACAAAAGGGTTCTTTGCTGGAGTCATGTCTTGCCATAATCCCAAAGGATAAGATAATACTAAATGTTACATGTTTGAGCAGTGCAGCATATGGAAGAAGATACGTTAGAGCTTACATTCAGCAAAGTCATCATCATGCTCCAAATCCTCAGCACCAAACTTCTTTTTCAGTGCTGCTTTCTGACCAATGGGACTGAACAAGATATGATCTACATACAGAATGACAGAGCGCAATGCCTGGATGCAATGCTTGGGTCCGTATTTACGAATGGGGTCAAAGTATTGATAGTAGTTGTAGCTCATTTGCACGGGTGCAGAGGATGGCACTGCTGCAAACACCAATTCAGGGTATTTTTGGCGCATCCAGCTTGCAAGGTTTCCAGAATAAGAGCCTCCGTATACTATGTACTTTGTTTCAGGTGCTGGTGGTAATTCTACATCGAGATTGGGAAGCTTCAAGTCAGTAATAAAGGATGCCATGTCTTCCAAAGCTTGCTTGGTGTTCAAAGTATACAAGTATTCGGCAGAAAATGTCTGTGTTTCCTATCAGCACCCTGCGGCGTCCATATGGCTCTACTACACTTACTGGGCCAGGCATCGATTTACCATAAAATCTGTGCTCCATGACAATGATGATACCGTTCAATTTCTTTGCAAGCTCAGCCATGGTGGAATTCACAACGTAATATGAGCGTCCATCAGCAGGTGTTTCACCAGCATTGTATACTATTGCAAATATACGTATGTTCCGAGTTGAGCATGGCCATTATCATTTATGCGATCAAAAGACTTACGAACAACAGGACCACCAGGCTTGTAAGCATCTGTATTGGCCCAATATCTATGCTTGAATGTAGTTTTGTTGGAGGAAAAGTGGTCAATGGGTTGATCAAAGTAAAATGGGCCATATCGTTCGGGTAGTTTGTCCTTATCGACTGATTGCTTGGAAATACCAGCCTGCTTGGATAGGATTTTGCTAGGCATATAAATCAACATGTTGTCCCATTATTCATCTCACCATGTCAGTCACCTACTTTCGGATCGTCTGCCCAGGCGTGTAAAACGCTGTCGCTAAATGGCAAATACTTAGCAATACAATAAGCGATGCAAAGTATTTCATTTATTTGTATAATAGAGAAAAAGAAGAGAAAGCTAAAAACTACCAAATGCAACATTTATTACTAAAAGCGGATGATCAAACAAACTTCCATTTGATGGGAACTGAGCCATGACTAAAATCGCCAATTTCTTCAAATGCAGCAGGACTCAAATCAAGGCCACCAGATTTGCATGTCTTGCAGTTATCTACAACTGTTACTTGAACAGTCTTGCCAGTGGGACCCACCACTTCAATGTCCTTGCCACAGTTGGGATTGTTACGGCCATTGTCGCCGCCCATTTGCTCACTGTTGACAGCAGCAACGAGCTCTGAGTTCTTGTTTTGCTTACCACAAGATCCAACGCGAGTCTCCAAGTCATAAAAGGTGCCTTGGCCTCGGTTGTACCCATCGTCTGGCAAGGCTCCAGCGAGACGGATACCACCAGCAAATCCAGCAGTGACATTCTTCTTGGCACCTTGTTCATTCTTGTTAGTTTGACCTTGACCTTGACCTTGACCTTGACCTTGACCTTGACCTTGACCTTGACCTTGACCTTGACCTTGACCTTGACCTTGACCTTGATCTTGATCATAATTGTTATTGTTGTTGCTACCATAGTTATTACCGTAGCCGTAGTTATTACTACCACCATAGTAATCGTTTTGATTACCTCTGTAATCGTTATTTCCTTGTCCATAGTAAGGGTTAGGAGATTGTTGCTGATCATCTTGGTAGTAATTGTTTCCTTGATTGCCTCCAGAATAAAGTTGAGATGGTGCATAGTAATCGTTTTGCTGTTGCTTATTAGGACCATGATAGTCGTTTTGTTGCTGATTACCTGATCCTCCATAGAGCCCATTGTCATTATTGTTATTACCGCCATAGTAGCCAGCATTACCTCCATAATAATCATTATACTGCTGGCCTTGAGACGGATCGTTTGATTGTTGTTGTTGCTGTTGTTGCTGGCCTTGGTCATAGTACTGTCCATAATCTTGTTGACCTTGACCTTGTTGCTGCTCTTGACCTTGCTGTTGATCATATGAAGCAGCTAGCTTGTTTGGCCACTTGATACTGCCATCTTCGTTATAAGACAACTTTTGAACTGGTGCAACTGAACGAGGCTCGTATCGATTGCGATTACCATTGTGATTGTAATTGGCACGATTGGGAGGTGCTCCACCGCCATTACGATAAGTATTTCTTCCAGGATTACCGTGATAAGCATTACGAGATGGAGGAGGATAGGCCTGGCGGTAATGACCGCGTCCTCCTCTTGAGTTATCTGTCATTACAAATCGTCAGCTACAGATGAATACAAGATTTAGTTTGCGCTACCTTGAGGCTGGCTGTTCTTGTTCACGATTTGATTTTTGTTCAGCACAAGATCTGGGTGATGATGGAAGAAGAGGTCGTTGGGAAAGGTTGCATTCACAATACCCAAGAGCGCCAATGTACAGATGGAAGCTAGAATTCCTTTCATTGTATTAAGATTGATAGCGAAAAAGAAATGCAATAATCAAAAAGTACCATTGAAAATCTTTTTCTAATCCAAGACATGTCAAGGGTTATCAATGCTAGTTTCAGAAACGTATCAATGATACTTCATAATATCAGTTTGCTATACAAGGGTATCAAATCATTACAAAGTGTGCGAGGCTTTGATCTGATACATGGACCATACAAAGCCTAATGATTGCAGATCTTTCTGAAACACTGCTTTACAAACGTCCGTCGTAAATATCACGCTTGGTCAGTAGCCCATCAATTTTACGAATTTTTGGTACATCTACGGCATATGCTGTATATACCAAGTGCTTGAACTTGGATAAACGATTGTCTTTACAGCGCAATCTGGCTATTCTTATAGCACTTTGGGTGTAGCTAATGCGAGTTATAGTTTGGATATTATTTCAATAATCTGGTATAAACAATTGTACACGCCTGATTTTACGTATCGGTTGCTTTCTTTCACTTTTTCAACAAAAAAAAAGATTCATTTTAAATACAATTTATTAATTTGATGAAAAGTAATGATATAGTACAAAGTGATAAAGAGGTAAAAGTACAAGCTTCAAAGCGCATTTAGTTGCGATCGAAACCACGGACAATGTCTTCCAGAGAGCGACCCTTGGTTTCAGGAACCTTGAGGTAGGTAAAGACAAGGGCGAGAGCGGCAACACCAGCAAAGATGGCAAAGGAATAGCCCTTGATGCCTTCAAAGATGAGAGGGAAACATTGGCCAATCAAGAAGTTCATGGCCCAGTTGACAGCAGTGGCAATGGCACCAACAGCTGATGAAGCGTAGACAGGAGTCAATTCAGAGGTCATCATCCAAGGAATGGGTCCAACACCGATAGCAAAGGCAATAACATAGCCAAAGACAGAGACAATCAAGAGAGCACCCACATTGTAGACATAACCAATGATCAAGAGAACAGAAAAGATACAGGCACCAATTTCAGCAATCATCAGCAAAGGACGACGGCCCATGCGGTCAATCAAGATCAAGGACAAGATGGTAGAAGCAAAGTTGACGACAGTAGTGACAATAGCCATGTACTTTGACATTTCAGCATCGAAAGCCATGTTGAAGATGGTGGTGGAGTAGTACATGACAGCATTCATACCAATCAATTGTTGAGTAATGTGGAGTGTGATGACAGTAAGAGCAATGCGACGGATAAGAGGATCTTGGAAGATTTGGATCATGTTCATGGGAGAGCGGATACCTTCATCTTGAGTAACAACACCATCTTCAATTTGATCATCAAAGGACTTCTTGTCCTCAATAGAAGCAGCATCAGCACCTACAATGGCTCTGGCAGCAGCAGTACCCAATTGACCTTCAACCATACCGTAGAATTCCTTGTCAATGTTGGAATTGGGACGGAGTCTTTGAAGATTCTCTTTGGCTTCTTCGATGCGGTTGATGGAAACAAGGTAACGAGGAGATTCGACACAACCAGCCATCAAGAAGAATTGAGCAATAGCAGGGATAGCAACAATAGCATAGTTGATTCTCCAGAGAGGGACATTGGCAAGAGGAAGACCAATAACAGAAGCAAGCAAGATACCAATGACAATAGCAAATTGGTTACAGGTACCCATGGTGCCACGAGCCTTGATAGTAGACACTTCACCAACATAGGTAGGAGTAGAGAGAGAACCGAGACCACAAGAAAGACCACAGAAGATACGACCGATAATGAACATGGCAGGATTGACAGCAACACCGATCAGCAGTGCACCAATGATCCATCCAATGTTGTTGAAGATGATGGTCTTCTTGCGACCAAATTTAGTTTGAATAGCACCACCAAAGAGACCGCCGATCAAACCACCTACACAAAAGGAGGCAACAGCGAAACCCCAAAGAGCATTGTTCATGGGAATGCAGTCAGGGAAGGCTTTACTAGCCACATGAGCAGCGCCATTTTCACAGGCATGAGTAACTTCACCAGGAACGTTAGCAGAGCCAATGACCCAACCATTACTAAAAGAGCCGAGACAGGAAATGATTACACAGTACACCATGTAACCAGGCATTTTGAGTTCAGTAGAATCCACCATATTGGATATTGAGAATATAAGGTATAAGAATAGTGTATGAAATGAGCTTTTTTTTAATTTAGTAGAGTAATTGAAAAATGGAGTTGCGTTCAAGTCATTCTTTATATACAAAAATCTGGTTCTTAATGTAACAATGAGGCTGTTTTCTTTTGATCCAGGTTGGCATGACTGAGAAAAACTGGATTTTTCTTTGGAGCGAAATCCAAGGCCCTTTTCTGTTTATCGCCGTTTAAAGCGTCAAAGTGGAGTGTTTGTGTTTCAACCTTTCAAATTGGCAATAACCATGGATACTACTTTCATTTGACCAGTGATTGTGCCATGTTCAAAACCACTGCCAACTGTGGTGACATTTAACGGTCAACACAGAGCTAAAAGAGGCTCGAACAGCTTACAAAATGTCGATCATGGCCAGCATTTCTATTTTGATTTATTCAATTCAAGTGAAACAGTCTATACTTTCTTGTTTTCTATAGCCCTTGATCTTGATTCATTTCCGTAGATGGCCTCATTTTTTTCGTTTGAACGTTTTAGACAACCGAATTGCACGATTATCTCAACCAACCGCTGTGGTTCACCGCAAAACCAACTCACTGTGCCCCATAATGCGGATCAGTATTACACACTACTCTTCATGCGATCTTATCTACAGTTCAAATTGTTAATTGGGATGGAAAATACTCCACAGAATAGAGCCCACAATTGGCATGTGTAATTTTTATGAATGAGTTATACACAGAGCATTGAGCATTTGCTCGTTTTGTATACTGATTCTGTATGTCGTTATTGATTTTCTGTAAACATGCATGCAGGCCTAACTCCATGTTTATTGGTGTACATACTTCTCGGTGCGATATGGTCTATAGCTCGAATTTGTGCTAGTTTGCAAGAAGGAATGAGACAGCATAGGCATACATTCTTATTTACCTCTTATCCTCTCATCAATGCTCATTGAACTTCAAATCACAGAAACCCTATACTAGATGTTGGCACTGCAAGCTAATCTTGACCGTAAGGGCCTCTGCTATCCGCACTTTTGACTTTATCATACATGGAGTCTACTCAAATGTTACCAGATCTACAGGAGGTAGGTGTATTTTTGGTTCTCTCAATTTATGCATCTTGGTCATCAAGCAATTCTGTAATCTTTGGTAATCTTTAACGTTTCTTTTCCAGGGCAAACATCAAAGACTTTTCTATAATTTAACTGGGAAGGAGTATCTTTTCTCGAGAAATCTTCCATTGGGCTTTCCGTGGACAGCTGTGCAAAGATGATTGAACTTTATAACAACTGAATATCTCAGACGATTATTTTCCTCCTTCATATGTTTGTTGCTGCTGCTGCAGCACCCGTTTTGCTTCATCTCGCCATGTATGTTGATTGAGCAATCAACTTACATCTTGAACCAATCCTATTCTCAATAATAACCCTCATATTACGACCAATAATATCGACTTCTTCCTGTCTAAATAAGTTATCAGGGTTCCTAACCTTATTCCAGTAAGGGATATTCTGGTAAAAACTGGGCACAAACTCCAAAAAAAAGCAAATACAATGCGAAGGCAGGTTTCAATTTCTTCCTGCGTAAAGAGGTTGCTATATACAAATGGCTGCATTTGTGTAGAAACTCGGTGCTAGATGTAGTTGTCAGCCAAGGCATTGAGGTACTAGCTTTACCAAGTGTCGAATTAAACTGTTAGTTATCAATATTTCCTTACCATGGAAGAGTCTTCATGTGGTAGCAACTGTATGAGGCGGGAATCTAACGTGGTTGACATTGCATTTCAAGCATCCAGGTTTTTCGCTCAAACTGAGATTTCGGGGTTAACTTCAAATATGTTTAACAATCGTACGTTGTTGGAGCATTGTAGTTTTCTATTTACATTTGCTGGTTTGCTTTAATGGAACCACTCCATTTTGGATCCGAGTGGCGATCAATCATCATATATAAAGGTTGACTATTCTCCATTCAGAAGATCAACTCTCTAATTTCATACACTATTCTTATACCTTATATTCTCAATATCCAATATGGTGGATTCTACTGAACTCAAAATGCCTGGTTACATGGTGTACTGTGTAATCATTTCCTGTCTCGGCTCTTTTAGTAATGGTTGGGTCATTGGCTCTGCTAACGTTCCTGGTGAAGTTACTCATGCCTGTGAAAATGGCGCTGCTCATGTGGCTAGTAAAGCCTTCCCTGACTGCATTCCCATGAACAATGCTCTTTGGGGTTTCGCTGTTGCCTCCTTTTGTGTAGGTGGTTTGATCGGCGGTCTCTTTGGTGGTGCTATTCAAACTAAATTTGGTCGCAAGAAGACCATCATCTTCAACAACATTGGATGGATCATTGGTGCACTGCTGATCGGTGTTGCTGTCAATCCTGCCATGTTCATTATCGGTCGTATCTTCTGTGGTCTTTCTTGTGGTCTCGGTTCTCTCTCTACTCCTACCTATGTTGGTGAAGTGTCTACTATCAAGGCTCGTGGCACCATGGGTACCTGTAACCAATTTGCTATTGTCATTGGTATCTTGCTTGCTTCTGTTATTGGTCTTCCTCTTGCCAATGTCCCTCTCTGGAGAATCAACTATGCTATTGTTGCTATCCCTGCTATTGCTCAATTCTTCTTGATGGCTGGTTGTGTCGAATCTCCTCGTTACCTTGTTTCCATCAACCGCATCGAAGAAGCCAAAGAGAATCTTCAAAGACTCCGTCCCAATTCCAACATTGACAAGGAATTCTACGGTATGGTTGAAGGTCAATTGGGTACTGCTGCTGCCAGAGCCATTGTAGGTGCTGATGCTGCTTCTATTGAGGACAAGAAGTCCTTTGATGATCAAATTGAAGATGGTGTTGTTACTCAAGATGAAGGTATCCGCTCTCCCATGAACATGATCCAAATCTTCCAAGATCCTCTTATCCGTCGCATTGCTCTTACTGTCATCACACTCCACATTACTCAACAATTGATTGGTATGAATGCTGTCATGTACTACTCCACCACCATCTTCAACATGGCTTTCGATGCTGAAATGTCAAAGTACATGGCTATTGTCACTACTGTCGTCAACTTTGCTTCTACCATCTTGTCCTTGATCTTGATTGACCGCATGGGCCGTCGTCCTTTGCTGATGATTGCTGAAATTGGTGCCTGTATCTTTTCTGTTCTCTTGATCATTGGTTATGTCTACAATGTGGGTGCTCTCTTGATTGTCTCTGTCTTTGGCTATGTTATTGCCTTTGCTATCGGTGTTGGACCCATTCCTTGGATGATGACCTCTGAATTGACTCCTGTCTACGCTTCATCAGCTGTTGGTGCCATTGCCACTGCTGTCAACTGGGCCATGAACTTCTTGATTGGCCAATGTTTCCCTCTCATCTTTGAAGGCATCAAGGGCTATTCCTTTGCCATCTTTGCTGGTGTTGCCGCTCTCGCCCTTGTCTTTACCTACCTCAAGGTTCCTGAAACCAAGGGTCGCTCTCTGGAAGACATTGTTCGTGGTTTCGATCGCAACTAAATGCGCTTTGAAGCTTGTACTTTTACCTCTTTATCACTTTGTACTATATCATTACTTTTCATCAAATTAATAGCAAAATAAATAAATAAATGTAACAATTCATACACTTGATTTCAAAATGAAGTATAAACTTTTACTTGAATGCACATGACATCACACATTGCATTAAATACTGTCAATCCTAATATGTGTAAAGCTGAAATTGTACTTCATTAAACATAAGTTCGTCTTATTCGTATACAGTTGAAGTTGATGAGCTCCTTAAGATTGCTACGTGAAGCTGCGGGAAAGTGCCAGCCGAAGCCATTGATTTGGGAGGACCATGAAATTACATTAGGAGAATCAGGAGAGAAGTATGTGCAAAATGATGGCCCTCAGATAGTGAAAATAGCAGTACTCATCGGCACAATAAGCAAATCAACAAAGCATTCATGGGAACCGTCAGTATGACCTCGGAATAAGCACCTATTTCTGATCTGATCTACCCCAAGTTAGGTTTTACATTTTATGATAAAATAAGAAAAAAATCATATCATAAAAGTCAATAAGGTAGAGCGCGCTTTGAGGTTAAGGTTTTGGAAGGAGGAAACCGCAGAGCTTCCAACAAGCTTTGCTTCACTAATATGGGTCGATCCTTGGTTAAATCAGTACAAGCAAAAGTAATTCGTCCCGTTGCATATTAAAATTGATATCCGCCTGGTAGATTACTGCAAAATATGTGCGCATTATAAGCAATTATACAAAGTGTTTGTATCAAAATTTGAAAGCATAGCATTTAATGACATGCTAAAAGATGCACCTGCAGTAACTGCTACTACATCCTGACGATCTGCGAAACAAGAGGGTAGAGGTTTTGTCAACATATATAATCTATCAGTTTCTTTCATCCTGCATAATATTTGAGCTTAATAATGTAATCAATTAAGAATTTCGTTATTTCTCGTAGACTGAGGAGCATCTGTCAAGTGCAGATCCTTCTTGAATGTAATATATTTTTATCTTTAAGCAATATTGCAAAGGAATTCGATGCTGTTGTTTTGACTGAGGGAGGATATTGCTAAAAACAAACGAGCTTTAGATCTTCTTCATAAGGTAAATTTCCTAGACTTTGACTGGGAAGAAGTCTTGAAATGCATTTGCTTATCAATTCCATCATACCAGTTACCGCTACTTACTGCAACTCTTTCTTTCCCTCTACTTACCGGCTGTCTGCTGATGAAATCCAAAAATCAACTCCATTATCACTGCCCCAATGCGGATTATGACCTGCTTAACACTGCACGGGATTTTCAATGTCGAATGGTTTACAATATAACATACCAGATGATACCGAAGGCTGGAGAAATGGAAATGATCTAATATTTTGATATTCTTCTCATAAATTAATCAACCATACACATACTCTATGATTTTATGCAATAAAGTCAATTTCGGGCAATAATTTTAAACTATCATGTAAATTGCTTTAAAACTCTCATTTTAGCACACCACTGTAAGACGAGAGCCCTTCATAAACGAATTGTAGTCGTGAATCTGACTCTTCTGGAATGCCCCACGTCTGAATACATGAGAGCAATTCATTTTACGGGCAGACAGCATACTTGCACTGCCCTTTACTACTCAAATTTATGCAAACTCCAGCAAAATATGAATGCATTTGAGTCATGATTTCTCGTGCTACAGGCCGTTTTAAACCACCAGAATGGCACCAAACAATTGCTCTCAACTAGCGCTATCTTGCCGATACCTTTGCTCAACTTTTTTGGGATCTCAAAAACATCGCCAAAAACCATGAGGGGATACCTCATAGTTTTCATCAAAAATCAAACGATCGCGGTGTTGACCTCCAAAATGAAGACTTTTGCTATACCATATACTAATTCAAAATGTTTCTCTTGATTTCAGGGCAACCCCTGAAATCACGTTTGCGGGAACTTCATATGTAAAATCTCGACATTTACGCCAAAGCCCTCATTTCATATTTTTTGAGATTTCACACTAAGTTTGCTCAAAACACTTGTATAATTGGCGCCATTGGGTGTGCCTTGAAAAGCACTCCAAGAAAGCTTAAAAAAGTATCAGATAATTATCACAGTTTACTAGTCGAATCTGACAGGAAAGATGAACCAAGTCGAAAAAAGCCAAAATCTGGCCAATCTGGAGCAGAACGCAAATACAGAGTTTGAACCGATTTTGGCTGCTGGCAGGCCAACATGCCTTTCTAATAAAGACAATCGGTATCTGTGATGCTAATAAGAGGAGAATCATGCATCTTAAGAACTATCACTTGGGCTGAATAATTTTGTTTGATTCTGTTTACGAGGTTTTATATTCAATAGATTTTATTATTGCAAATTGCTCATCCAAATGTAGTTTCTAATTCGAAATGTCATACATATTAATCATCTTGCTTGTAACTATACATTTCATGTATGCAGAAGACTTTTATCAATTTACTACTGTTATAGTAATCCGCAGAACTAAAACGCCATGTTGAAAATAGCACTGGATCTAAACAGAAATCAACATTGCTTCACCGTTGCACAATGCCAATTCCCCCCCCCCCTCAATGTACTATAACAGGTGGAATGTTACGCACTAATATGAGCTTACATGATATGTGCTCATTCAGCTCTATCTATACAAGTCGCTATTGTATTACTCTAAACACAAGACTTGATGGTATGAATGGCAATGAAGAATGAACCCCAAAAATCAGCAGTAACATGCAAGACGGTGCAATCACCACCCGTCCAACCTCTTATTTGGGAGTTGACAAATATCATTCCAAAGGTAGAAAAAATTGGGTTCTCTTCTACTACTTTTCACTACTTTTTCAGCAAAAAAAAAAATCATAGACAAAGCATAGCAAGATGACTAGTCAGGTACACTACATTGATATGCTCTCAAGTATGACCGGATCCACTAATAGTGATTGTACGCCCCTCCTCCTTTCTTTCCCCTTATTGTCATTTCTTTTTATATTTCAAATGCAAAAGTGGGTCATGCAGAGAGACGAAAGTCGCTATTTTCCCTCGATTCAAAAGGGAATGAAATATGAAGAAGAATTACTATCTCGCCTACGTGCTATTTGCTTAATACAATGCGTTGGATATCGTCTAGAACTGTAAGCGACATGGTTTTGCACTGATTATAGTTTTTTTTTTTTTTTTTTAATCTATACCTAATTTTGTTGTTAGACCGATACATACAGTTGCAACAGCCTCTGCCTTATTTCATCGATTTTACAGCAGGCGTTCCTTTTTCGATTATAAAGCACAAGTATGATTTCATGTCTCGTCTGTTATACATGGTAGCTAATTGAATTGTCTAGAAAATTGCACAGGCATGTGTGTTTATAGCATGCAAAAGCGACGAATCCTCACGAAGAGCGAACGACATTGCGAAATCATGGCTATACAAGCCAAAGCAAACACTAAGCGAGAAGAAAATTGTAAGCGGTAGACATAGATTGACGAGAAAAGAGTGTCCTCACCATTGAAACTGTAGAGTAAATTCATTTCTGATCTACTGTATTACGAGTTAATTGTGCTAGAGATTACATGTTTTGATATGCAAATAGACCACCCTTATTACGAACTATTCGAGTTTGCAAAAGAGATCAATAGTAACGTATATCACGATCAGCGAAAAGGAGGACATTATTGAACTAACTAGACGGGATAGCACCGAACGATGTTGTGCATGCTGCACTCGCTTTCATCACGGACAGGTATGATTAAGACTCAATGTACGGTACATGGTTCTCGTTGGTTGATATTGTCTACGCTAGTTTTAGATTGCCACTGTGTCTATGGTATGATCCAAGGTCAATAGCAGCAGCAGCACTCTTGATGGGATATCATGGCCACGACATCAAATTTCCAGCCGACACAAGCAGTGGGTGGGGACACTATCTAGAGGCTAATTCAGACCTAATAGGAGGTAAAATGTCATTGTCTTGGAATCTGATCTGTGATTGACGTGTTTGGAAAATAGAAATTGCTGGTTCAATCATGGAAGTGTATAAGCTACCCAAAAAATATTCCAGCAGCAGCAGCAGCAGCAGCAGCCATAATAGCCATCATCATTCGAGTAACAATAAACGATAGTTTTGTATTTTTACAACCCCATCATGTGAAGCACACCTTGATCGCTCATTGTTGGCCACAACAGAATGCCATTCCGGCGTTTAAATGCAGGAAAATTTTTCAATCTTTGCTGCCCTCTCTGTACAGTATGTGATTCATTTTTTGTTGAGCCAGAGTATTAAAAAAAAAAAAAAAGCGCGTTCCATTTTACTGGTGCTTTTTTTCATTGTAAACAATAAAAAATGGCTTCTCAACAACCAGGAGACCAACATCCACAATCTCAGTATGTCCCAGTACCTACTGATCCCATGCACCAACAGCAGCAACAACAGCAAGTTCAAAACACCTTATCATCCGTTCCCTCTGCTCCTACTGCGTCTACTGGCAATTATCCAGCTTTCGACTTGGGCAAATTTTGGACAGAGCAAATGCAGTTGGCTGATATGTTTGAGTCTGATTTCAAGAATCACCCCTTGCCTTTGGCTAGAATCAAGAAGGTCATGAAGACTGATCAAGAAGTCAAGGTAAGACAACGGCTGATTGTTGTGAATATAGAATAGACTATTGAATGTTTTGTGCTATGTCTGGATATAAAGATGATTAGTGCTGAAGTAAGTTTTTATATAAACAATCAATGTACTTTATCAATTAAGCAGCTCATGATAGGCTCCTGTCTTGTTTGCTAAAGGTTGCGAGATTTTCATTACTGAATTAACAAAGCGTGCTTGGTGAGTGCAGCCGGATATGGTTGTCTGAGGACATGAATTGATAGAAATATAGGGTACATGCTGAAGAAAACAAGAGACGTACCTTACAAAGATCTGATATCGCTACGGCCATCTCCAAGACTGATATGTGTGATTTCTTGATTGATATTGTTCCAAGAGAAGAGGCAATAAAGACTCAAAGTGCCCCCTTTGAACAAGCACAACAACAAACCCAGCAGCCAGAATATGGCAGCTATTACCCTGCTCAAGGTGGCGTCCCTCAATATGCTCCTCAACAGGTAAGTTGTTTGGTGGATTTGGTGCAAGGAACCCCATTCTAATATGAAATCTAGTCAATGGAAGCCGCTGCTTATGCATCCTATTCTCAATTGACAGCCGAACAGATGCAACAATACCAACTCCAACTTCAACAATACGCTGCACAACAGCAACAACAACAACAACAACTTGCTTATCCTCACGGTGCCGAATCATCAACAGCTGCTCAGCAACCAAGTGCTAATAGCAATCCTACTACTAAAGCTGAATAAATTATGAATAAATAAATGCGACAAAGTAAAATGTGTCCTGATTTTGAGTGTCTCCAATGGGGATTGTAACGCACATTTATAAACAGACATTTAACTAAGCCAGTAATAAGACACAACATGGGCATGTTGTGTTGTATACATGCCTTCCACACATCAAGCTGTTCATGTCGTCTTTGAGATGCACTGCAAGAAAAAGTATTATTTAAATTGATTTTATTCATTTTTTTATATGGAGAAAGAGGTTTTTGTTTAATAAAAAACATTGTAGTTGTGTAAAGCTAGAAAAAAAAATGTGTATGCTTAAATTTAGATAAGATCAGCAACGTTCATGGGCATTTCATCAATTTGAGTGTTGTAGAATTGTTCGATATCTCTCATGGCACGGACATCTTCACCAGAGACAAAGTTGATAGCAACACCCTTACGACCGAAACGACCACCACGACCAATTCTGTGAATGTAGTTTTCACGGTTGGAGGGCAAATCGTAGTTGATGACCAAAGAAACTTGTTGAACATCAATACCACGAGCCAACAAATCAGTGGTGATCAAAACACGAGATGAGCCGGAACGGAATTCCTTCATGATAACATCACGTTGGGCTTGGTCCATATCACCGTGCATGGCAGAGACAGTGAACTCACGAGCTTGGAGCTTGTCAGTCAACCAATCGACCTTTCTACGGGTGTTACAGAAGATAACAGCTTGGGTAATAGTGACAGTTTCGTATAAATCACACAAAGTATCCAACTTCCATTCTTCCTTATCGACAGCAATGTAGAATTGCTTGATACCTTCCAAAGTCAATTCATCACGCTTGACCAAAATACGGATGGGCTCTCTCATGAACTTCTTGGTAACTTCCAAAACTTCAGCGGGCATGGTAGCGGACAAGAGGACAACTTGAGTGGATTCGGGCATCAATTGGAAAACATCGTAGATTTGATCCTTGAAACCACGAGACAACATCTCATCAGCTTCATCCAGAACGAACATCTTCATGGACTTGGTGTTGAAAGCACGTCTGTTTTGGATCATATCGAAAACACGACCGGGAGTACCAACAACAACTTGGACACCAGATTGAAGAGTGGCAATGTCTTCACGGACATTGGTACCACCAATACAGGCATGAGACTTGATACCCATGAAATCACCAAGGGCCATAACGACCTTTTGGATTTGAAGGGCCAATTCTCTGGTAGGAGCAAGGATCAAAGCTTGGGGTTCCTTGAGCTCGACATCAATGGATTGGAGAACAGAGATGGAGAAGGTAGCAGTCTTACCAGTACCAGATTGGGCTTGGGCAATTACATCATGGCCCTTGATAACGGGCATAATAGCACGTTGTTGAATGGCAGAAGGTCTTTCGAAACTATATTACAGAAATCACAAAACCATGAGTTATCATCTCCGAGATTGACAAATGGCCAGTTCCTGCCTCTGTTTTCTTGGGCACCCCTTGCTCTCTCTCTCTCTCTCTCTCTCTCTCTCTCTCTCTCTCTCTCTGTACTTACCCATATGCATAAACACCACGAAGAAGCTCGGGCTTGAGGTTCATGTTATCAAAGTTATCAACGACTTCATCCCAGTTAGACTACATGGTGATCAAGACAGCTTGATTAATAAAAAAATTTTCGGTTTTGAAAATACGATGCAAAATTTTTTTTTTTTCTATTTTTTTTTTTGCTGGAGACTCACCTCGATCTCGTTGTCTTGGATTTCTTGCAAAGGTTCGTTACTAGAGATTTGGAGAGAAAAAAAACAGGAATTAGATGGTCTGACCGATTCGTATAAAGAGCGGCATGTCGCTCCAATGTCATGGTTTACCTCATGATGTAATAAAATGTTTAAAGAAAGAGAAAGAAGAAAAAAAATTTCAATTGGAAAACGAGAAATAGTCAAGGGGTTTCGCTTCGAATAGTACGTCACATTTGCAAAAAGAAAAAAGTATTTTAAGCCTTCTGATTTTCGGTTTCAGCGTTTATTCGATACTACTGCCAGTAGGTTTGGCGATAATGTAGCATGTAGTGCCTAGATGCCAGCGAGACACCTTCTCTACCTGCAGCTTTTCCTTGACTCGGGGATCTTGAAACAATCCCATGATGTCTCGATTCCACCAGCAGCCCCATTGTTGCACATGCTTATCAACATTGGTATCCAACAATCTGTTCAACCAGTCGTAATGCGAACGGCCGTGCTCCAGTAGCAGCACCCGAGAATCTTCTGATTTACATGAATCTGCTAATTGCACCAATGCTTCTACCGGATCTCCACATGAACACAATCCAAATGTATCGACAATCGTATCATATTTCTTGTTCTTTTTCTCCTCTACATTGCTCGTCTCGAAAAATGCTTGATGAAACTTGTCCTTGTATGACTCCAGGTACTTTTCCTTGGCTTCATTTAGCATTGGCTCGTGTCGATCTGTGAATGTGACAGACTTGACTTGATCTGCATTGTAGTAGTCAAAGTTGCGGCCTGTACCTGTGGATACTTCCAACACATCTCCCTACACATCACATCCTTGAGCTCACTTTGATCTCTTCCTGTCATCTCTCAGCATTACCCACCTTGGCGTTTCCAATTAACCAACGTCTCAGCAAACCTACGCCCATGACAACTTCATCCCATCCAATCTCTTGGTCATACTTTTTAGCAACAGATTCCCAAACATTGGAGGTGTCAAATGTAGCTGGTGTCACTGAAGGCTTCTCTGTTTTTCCTGCAACGATATCGTTTGTGTCGTTCTTACTCTTGAAGACGAGCATACTGACATAGGTAGCTGTAACGTACAATAGTGAACCGCCGATGAGAATGGGTCCCAATTTGGGTCTTTGCTTTGGTGGAGGAGGAGGTGGTGGTGGGGTATAGATTGGTTTGTATTTGAGCCCGCCTGCGGCTACTCTGTTGATGGCTTTTCTAGTAGACATGGTAGAGAGTAAATAAATAAAAAGAGGGCAAGAGATTGACACTGACCCCCGCTTCCGTTTAAATACAACCATGTAGGCCAATTAATCCTGAGGATTGTGACCCCCCCCCCCACCATGGAGCTTTGATAAAGCCTTCATGCAACTCTCTTGCTATGAAAAAGACTCAATGCTACATTATATTCTTGTTGCCTGCAAATTTTGAATAGCAATTTATATCTAAGAGAAGATGAATCAGCTGCGCTAGTATATCCACAGAATCTGGAAAGCCCTTCTTGGCATGAATCATGAGTCGAAGCTTCTTTTGGTTCGACTGAAACCTGACCTATATCGAATCATTTCGTAATGCAACATGGCACTATATAAAGGCACAATGGGAGCCAATTGCCTTTCCACCCTTTTTTTCTTTCTTCTCTAAAATCTACATTCACAATGGGATTATTTTCAAAATCTAAATCTAAATCACCTCAGCCAAGCTTTCAAAGTGGTCCGCCTGCTTACAGTGCAACACCATCCAGCAATTATGCTCCTCCTTCTCCTCCCCGAGAACCTGTGAATTCAGATACTCGGCCTTTACCCAATGGCTGGATTTCCCAATACGATCCCAATTCTCGCAAGTTCTTTTACGTTTACACCCCTACTGCATTGCGTCAATGGGAGCATCCCGCTGACAAACCCCTGGGACATAGTACTAGTAATCGTGGTGAAAATGCTTCTTATGCTACTCCATCGCAGCAGCAGCAGCAACAGCCCTATTACAATCAACAGCCACAACAACAAAGATTTTACCCTCAACAGCCCCAATATGTCCAGCAACCACAGTATGTCCAGCAGCCACAATACGTGCAACAGCCTCAATACGGTAGAGCAAATGGCGGTGGGATGGGATTCGGTAAAATGGCAGCAGCTGGTGTAGGAGGGGGTTTGTTGGGCTACATGATTGGTGATGCAATGTTTGACGATCATCCAGATACCATTATCGAGAACAACTATTACGGAGACGATGCCGGTGGATTCGATGGTGGAGGCTTTGATGGTGGAGGCTTTGATGGTGGATTTGACGATTTCTAAGGTCCACTTGGAATCAACTAATCAGTGTATATATATATAGTATGAACGAATGTTCAATAAATAAATAAAAAAAAAAAAAAAAAAAAAGATCGTATTCAACATCATGACGTTATTCGTTTTTAGTTCAAAATTGCATGGATGATTCAAGCGTACATAATTAGGTGTTTCGCAATTCTAGTCGATGGATTGAAATCTTTAATTAAATATCACAACCATTTATAATTTAGCAGAAATCAACAGCATCATGGGTCTTCTTGATTCATCAGGCATGGAGGCAATCATGCTCTCTTCTGGCAATGGCTCCACCACTTTGGTAATGCTGAAGCCATGCTTGACAAGTGTGTTGATGTAGGTGCTCATTGTTTTATGATACTTGTGCACGTCTTGGCCCAAGAAATGTGCCTTTCTTACGCCTTCTTCAAAATAACGGTCCACAGGCCAATGAAGAGGCTTTCCATCAGCATCGTAATACCAATCGCCCGTTCCGTAAGCCGTAAAGATGGGATTTTCCACAGAGAATACAAAATCACCGCCATTCACCAAAACCTTCTTTACCTTGACACAGATATCATCAAACGAAGTAACATAATGGAAGGCCAAGGAGCTAATCACGGCGTCGAATGAATCAGCAGGGTAGTCGACTTGTTCCATTGACTGAACATGGTAAGAGATCACAGGTGAATCCGTCTTTGATTTGGCCACTTGAATCATCTTGACGGAGCTATCAATACCAATGACCTGAATGGCGCCATGCTCAGCCGCATAGAGACAGTGCCATCCGTAGCCACAACCAAGATCCAGCACACGTTTGTTGCTGAAATCGGGAAGCATCTTTTCCAATTCGTGCCATTCACCTGCACCAGCAAGGCCATACTTGCTTCTGGCCATTTCCTTGTATTTTTCAAAGAATTGAGGATTATCGTATTCGTTGGATTGCTGTTGTTGCGGCATGTTTCGAGATGCTCCAGTGGTTTTATGTTGATGGAAACAGAAGACGCTCTCTATTTATACTCGATTCATGCTTCAAGCTAAACATTGAGATGCAACCAAGCATCTTGCTGCGGCAGGATAAATCTCGCGGATTTATGCTGTCAAGACCATATGTTGTACTGTGCTTGAAAAGACATGTCAAGTGTACAGCAGTACACGGCACTGTTCGTATCAATATCATGAGCACCCTAACACTCTGACAGCTGCTTGACACTTTGGCAATGCTATTGCAACAGCAAATTCATTCATTCTCACGGCGATATATACTCACTTTACCGTCAGTTTCGTATTGATATCAACTTGGATGGTGTCCACCTTTTTGGTCATCTGCACTGACTTTTTCTTCTTCAACGTCTGCAATAAGTCTCTTTTTTCCCAAAACAGATGGCCTACTGGGACCAGCAATGTCACTTATATCTGTATCCATGAACGTATCTTATTCTGCAGCATGGCCACAGTCTTGATAGTACCGGAGAGCATGTTGTCAATCTGGGACCTAACAAGACATCTCACAATGACATCGACAAAGTATACGCGCATTCAATCTGTGTGCTGTTATGACGGTTAGTACATCTAATAACGGCATAAGTGCCCTTTGTAAATGCATCATCAGACTGGTATGTTGGCTCTAAATAGCTTTTGACAGCTCTGCAACGGGATAAAGATGTCTCAACGCCCCCATTCATGAAGGAAAACAGCGGCAGCTTTCTTGTGGAGAGAAAGGCGCAAAAGAAAAAGATCAAAAACGCTTTTTTGGTCAATTGATTAATCTTGAATCCAGTAGAGTATTTGATCCGATTACTTGGTGATGTGTAAGCATGAATAATGCACAGCATTAACAATGTGCACTTTAGAATGACCCATTGAAGCGGTAACCTTTGCTATACAATATATCCTGGTAATTTGTAGATTTACTTTTGATCCTCCAATATCAATTGAAAATTCTCTTCAAACTCGCCTGTAAATGTGGGTCTGACTCTCCTACTAGGATGCTCCACACATGTATCAATGGAAATAGGTCAGATATAGGTATAGAGCATTCTGACATTACCTTTTATTACTCTAAAAATGTACAAAACACAGCAAAATTTGGATGCATTTGATCCATGGCTTCTCGCTTTAGAGGCCGTTTTAGATTGTCAGAGTAGCACCAAACAGTTGCTCTCACCTAGCGGTTACTTACGGACTCCTTTGAGCAATTTTTTTGAGATCTCGAAAATATCGTCAAAAAGCATGAAGGGGTACCTCATGGTTTTCATTGAAAATCAAACAATTGCATTTTTCACCTTGAAAAATGAAAACTTTTACTATGGCATATATAAGATCAAAATGTTTCTATCAACCTAACGTAACCTTTGAAATCATCTTTGCGGGACCTTGATATGTAAAATCTCAGCATTTTCGCCAAAAACGTTATTTCATAATTTCATGGATTTCTCAACAAGTTCATTAAAAGCAGCCATTATAACTGGCATCATCGGATGCGCCTTGAAAACTCCTCCTAAATAGCTTAAGGCTGTAAAGGATGATCACTACAACTTTCATGGTCGAATCTCGCAAAAGGATCAAAATTCAACGAATCGTGACAGAAAGTCAAGCGGGATTGTAATCCGTTTTGGCTGGCTAAAAGAAGACTCTCCTTGATTGCTCAAAGCCCTATAATAGAACGGCAATGATACCCACAGAAACGATTATACGAGAAAGCGAGACTCCTTCTCAAATGGGTAGTGTACCCAACGTGAGACCCAAAAAGGACAGGTTGGTGACATGGGACGGGCGTGACATGATCCAAAGCAACAGAATAGCACACAGACAAAAATGATATTGCAGGTGAAGTTTAATTCAGAAACCTCCTTCTTTTGGAAATCCCACGGCCTTGTTTGATGAATTTCGCGATGTGCACTTGACTTAGAACCCTGAAAATAGTACCATTGGATTCCTCAAGTGATTTGCTTTCTAACGATGTACATACCTTCTAATAAAATATCCTCTCTTTAACCACAAATTGGCCATTTACTTGCTTATCACTCTTCAATTCATGTCCTTTTGTTTACTTTACATGTGATTTTTTTTAAAGCATAATTTTGCCTAGCAAATGAATTATTTTGATCTTGCATGATCCGAATACCTTCTAAAAGAGGACGATCCCTAAAAAAAATGATATGAAACGTGTTGACTCTTTATGAGATGCATGCTCTTGGCATAAGAACTACAAACAGGTTGCAGGAATGATACACAAGAATGACCAACTCACTATGTAAATGTGGGCATATTGATGATATCTAGTAGCGCAAACACTTTGATTGACATCATTGACAGCAACCATGACAGCTGGAAACAAGATGATTTGCACTGGTTCGAAAACGATCCATTATGTTCCATTCCATGGAGATTGCCGCAGTAATATTCATATGGCACGCTTGTTTTCCGAGGTGTACACTTGTTTCTTGGTCCAGAATCAGTTATGCTGGCTCCGATGTGATGTACACGACAAGAAAGCCAACCTTAACACTCGTATTGCCCGATTAGATGGACAGTTTATGGCTGATGTAAACAACAAGAGAGATGGATCGAGAACCGTATGATCTTGGAGAGAGAAATTAAGGAGAGGTAAAAAAAAAAAAAAAAAAAAAAAGGATTACTTAATCAAGCAACCAGCTGCATCTGTTTCAGTGTCAAATGACATTTTTTGTTTACTTTTTGATGAGGTTTGAGCCAGTGAAAAGTTGTCTGTTAATTACATCTAGGAAGAGATGGGGGAACTCGTTTCATGTGAAGGTGGAAAAAGGGCTTTTTGAAGTAGCAAAATGGACATAACTCGAGACAGAAAACAGTTGAAAGCCTCGGACGAAGCGGATGAAATAGAGCAAGTGTCAAACGTCAAAATGGTACTACTTTCACGCGCTCAAAGTAGTATATCGTGGAGAAAAGTAAAAGGAAACGAATTTGAGTGTGGCAAGGACACTGGACTCACACAAAAGTCGATGAGAAGGATATAAATAGATGGTTGTTTCAACAGCTTTTCCTTCTTCTTCTTCTTCTTCTTCATCATCATCTTCATCTCATCTCTACTCTCTATTAACAAATCTCTCTGCAAGCGAACTCTCTCTGCAAGCGAACTCTCTCTGCAAGCGAACTCTCTCTACAATACTCTTGGGCTCTCTTTCTGCTTTATACATGGTCAAGTAAATCAAACACTGTACTGATGATTGGCTTTTTCTTACACAATGCTCTCATAATTCCATGGTTCTCTTAGGTTGCGGTCCATGCAAAACATGGTCGCACTTTCCTCGTATTTTTAGATAATAGCAACATACAATCAACTCTGCAGGTATGTACTCGCCACTTCTAGCTTATAAAGCAGCATGACTCACCATCTCTCTATTAATAGAGCTCAGGTCCTCTCTATTTTGACTCGCAAGCACTCCATACTTGGTTGAAGCCTTGGATGGGGTCTAGGGGTCATGCGCGTAAGGTGGTTGTCTCGTGTGGCCTCAGCACCTGTTGCCCCGGTAGCTCGTAAGGGTGATGCGACGAGGCGCTAGGTGCGTTTCCCGGGAGGTGTCTTCCCATCCTTGTTGCTAGGGATATGCAAGTTGTGGCAGATGTTTTGCCCTGGAAGCCTGGCTTCATCTTTTGGTCTCCTCGTGTTTCAAGCTGCTCTTTTCATCGTCCATCAAGTATGCTACAGGGTAAGTATCCTTTGTAATAATTCAATGTCCCGCAATATAGTGTAGATCTATTTCCTGCAATGTCAAAACCACTTTAATACACGGTGCCATCTCTACATCCATACAAGACCAAGCCATACTCGTATCTCTGCTGCCTGCCATCTATTATAATGTCAAGACTCATGCTGCCTAGTATATACAAGACCAAGCCATGCTCGTATCTCTGCTGCCTGCCATCTATTATAATGTCAAGACTCATGCTGCCTAGTATATACAAGACCAAGCCATGCTCGTATCTCTGCTGCCTGCCATCTATTATAATGTCAAGACTCATGCTGCCTAGTATATACAAAGTCAAGCCATACTCGTATCTCTGCTGCCTGCCATCTATTATAATGTCAAGACTCATGCTGCCTAGTATATACAAAGTCAAGCCATACTGCCACATCTGCTGTCTCTATTCTATACACGAAACCTTGCAATACACACATCAATACTATCTCTTACCTATACAAGTTAAATCAAATTATATTCAAGTTAGCTAGCATCTATTCAAATCTAAACAAACTCTCATACATTATCATCGTTTTCTATAAAGCTACAAGCAAATTAACAATAAAAAGAGTTTTGCATTGCCTACTATATCATCGTCTTTTTATTACATTCTCTATTAAAACCAATGTATAAACAGAAAGCCGTTTGAAGCAACTGATATCATAAGTGCCACTGATATAAATGTTCTTGAATCGTGAAGCTGTGGTTGAAGATGAATGGAGAAAGTCTGACTATGGCCATTTCGAAGCATTGTTAGGTTTGATGTCATACAGAGTACCGCTATCATTGTAGGCAATACAACTCTCCTCTCGGAAGAGATGACTATTTAGTCATTGTACACACGCAGTCTTGCGCAAGCTTCATGCCTCATGTTATTAGAGATAGACACATATTATTGGATAATGCACTTGAGAGTTTATGTACTAATATACAAATTGTTGGATTGCTATGGATACAAAGTATTCCAAACTTCAAGAAGTTTCTAGAGCAAAATATTTAGTCGTTGCAAAAGCACTAGTAGTGTGAGGGACTATATACACACATGTAGTTATACAATGACCTACGTTCGCTCAACCTGTAGTTTAATATAAAAATAGCCAAAAATATCTTAAAGCTTTGATAGAGATATGACTTTTGCTACAGTATCTACGGTATCTATAGTTGTATTAAATGCTAGTATCATATGCATCTAAGAGGGTATTGGATACCGTAAGCGCTACTTGACAGAACCAGCCGCTGATTTTTCTGCATAAAGGTTATTCACAGTCTAGCGATGGTTTATGCTTGATGGAAGTATCTTGGTTCTGGCATACCAATACATTGATTTCTTCAAATTTCACTACTCAACAAGTGATCAAAGCATACATTATACCTGAATTGCCTCTTGGCATTCGACAGAATGCAAAGCACAGCAAGAAATGGGTGAATTTGAGCAACGATTTCTTGTGCTGGAAGCCGCTTAAAACCGCCAGAATAGCACCAAATAGTTGCTCTCATCTGACAGTTACTTTCTGACACCTTTGCTCAACTTTTTGGGGATCAAAAAAACATGGTCAAAAATTGACCAAAAAGCATGAGGTACCCCTCGTGGTTTTCATCAAAAATCAAATGATCGCGTTTTTGACCTTGATATTGTAGACTTTTGCTATGGCATATATTGAATCAAAACATCTCCATCGATCCAATGCAGCCCCTGAAACTTTGTTTATGAGACTTTTATATGTAATATATCGACATTTTCACCATAAACGACATTTCATATTTTCATAAATTGCTCAATAGATTCATTCAAAACAGCTATCATAACTAGCACCATTGGATACGCTTTGAAAAGTACTCCTAGAAAGCTTAAGAAGGTATTTTTTTTTTGTAGGGGAGTCGAGCTCCAGGTTTTATTTAAAGTCCTTTAAATGTCATGCTGAGGGATAGAAAAGACTGTTGGTGAACCCAATGTCTGCAATGAAGGGGAATAAGATATTTTTGAACTAAGTTGGGAAAGAAATCTACTACTAATAAGGTGCGACTCCTAGAGCCAGTACAGTCTTGCGGAAAATCGTCAAAATATAGATCATGGATAAGAGCACAAAACACCAAACGAGGACATCAGTACTACGTCAAAAAAATCAAACAACTTGCGTTCACCAGGATTTGAACCGGGATCCTCCCGTTGGCATACGGGAGTTTTACCACTTCGCCCTACCACCAGGGACGCAGCTTAAGAAGGTATGGGGTGATCATCACGATTTGTATAGTCGATTAATGCTAAGAAGATGAATTAAGTCAAAGAAACACCTAACCTGACCAATCTTAAGCATTTTGTAAATTTGAGTTTGAATCAATTTTGGTGGTGGCTGGCTGACGCAAATGCCTTTCTGATATTAACCATGATGATTAGGATGCTAATACGAAGTGGATCACGTATTCAAAACAACTCCAGATTTACCATACTACCTATTTTTGGCTCTGTAATAAATTTTTATATTTAGATAGATCTAATAGTTGCGAATTGCTCATCCAAATGCGAATCCAAATGCGAGACCCGAACTTGCCACTCTATTTAAAATTGCAAATGGCATTTGAGCGCAAACACTTGTTATGTAGTATACTGCATAGTGCATTATACTTTCAATCTGAAAAAACTGAGATTAATTCTGCTTTGCGTACCCAGCCTGATGCATTGTGTGCTGTATGGTATAGCATAGTAGCAATGATGGGCGGGGTATGAAGCCTGCTTGCAGATATAAATTGCATTTGCCTCAAACAAATCCAAATCTCTTCTTTCTCTTCATTTATACCTTTTTATTTCATAGCATTAATACAATACATGCCGTCCCACTCGGATAATCGACTAGAACTGCTACGCTCCAATATGATGGATACTGGAGGAGTGGAAGAGAAAGTGGAAGGTACGTATTTCGCCTCTTTTTTTTTTCGTAGTAACCAAAACTTGAACAACTCATTATGGCTCTTTGTTTTGCGTAGTGAACCAGAGACATTTGATCGATAAAATCCTTGCTAGATACTCTGCTGAATACGTCTTGTACAGAGAATTGATGCAGAATGCCGGTAAGAACGCATCATACACCGCATGTGCATTGTTACTGATAGAATCGTTTCTGAATAGATGATGCCTCTTCTACCAGTATTTCTATCCATTTTCACTCTACCTCACCCGATACGACAAAGCCGCCTAATCTACAAGCCAAATGCGACAAGATTATATTTAAAAACAATGGCATGGCATTTCGCCCTGAGGATTGGCAAAGATTGAAGAGAATCGCAGAAGGAAATCCAGGTAAATTAAATCACATTGTGAGATGGGAGATGATCATCAGCGCATGCTGATAAAATGACCCTATAGACGAGCAGAAGATTGGTGCATTTGGTGTTGGTTTCTACTCACTTTTCTCGGTCTGTGAGAATCCCTTGTAAGTAGAAAAAAGACAACTACTGGACAAACAAGAGAGTTTGTGATTGACCTTTTGTCCAGCGTTTTTTCAGGATCACAGTGCATGGCCTTTTACTTTAAAGGCGATCAATTATTCGCAAAAAGAGCAGATGTGCCCGACAAAGATATTGATCCATGGACATCGTTTTTGATGGATCTGCGAGAGCCCATGGAAATGCCTGATTTCGACCATTTCTCGAGATTCTTGACTACCAGCATGGGATTCACAGCCAACTTAAAACAAGTAGCCATCTACTTTGATGATCAACCCATATTTAAAATCACCAAACGAGAAGCTGAACCCAGATCCATGGCCGTTGATACCCGCAAAATGATGCTGACTACACCACAACGCATGTTTACCATCACCGGCGCTGACATGAGACAGATACAGCTGGATGCCGAGAAATACACACCTCCCTCGCTGTTTGCGCCACTGACCAACTTTTTATCCAGCAAATCTAAATTACCATCCTCTAGCAACAATGACGGTAGAAACGAAAAGGGACTACCAGTAGAAAAGGCCAGCATCTTTCTTCGAGTGGTTGCAGGTGCATTAAAAGTAAGTGTATCTCGAGACTTTGAAAAGGAGATGGAGAGAGCCACCAAAAAGAAACCACCTAGCACCACCAAATTTCAGCTTGTGTATACCGGAAAAGAGGAATTGGATGTATCAGAGAACGGAAACCAGATATTCAAGGACCTGATCCCCTTTCCTCATCAGGGCCGTGTGTTTATTGGATTTCCTACACATCAAACGACCGGGTGTTGCTGTCATATGGCGTCTCGATTTATACCCACTGTCGAAAGAGAGAGCATTGATTTTGCAGACAGATACATTAGTGTGTGGAATAAGGAGCTGTTGGCGGCTGGTGGGTTATTAGCAAGAATGGTATACAATGATGAAATGGCACAAATAGCCAGGCTGTACCGTGAACTGGTGGGGTTTGATGCAGAGGTAGACAAGATCAAAGCAGAGGAGCAAAAAGACAACGCCAAGATCATGCTAGAGAAGAGAGCAGCCCACGCACTGCATTCATTCACATTTCAGCATTCCACACCAAGCACCATCGTCAGTAAACTGCAAGAAGAACAATTTTTTGCCTCTTGCAAGGTACCTCTGGATGTGATGACTTCGCACGGCATCCAACCCATCACGATTGCAAGAAGCGTGCCTGATTATACCTCTGTTAAGGGCAACGAGATTACTAAATTGCTGGATGGCTTTGTCAAGACGATACCCACCATCACACCTGTCATTTCAGAAGACTGCAAGGATAGTATCACCAAGCTAACTAAATTCAACATGCTGGTACCACTTGGATTCAATGACGTGTTAAAGGAGCTCGACACAAGATCGCTAGAAGAGAAGGAAATGGTGTGCTGTCTCAAGTGGTGGTTCAAGTGCAACAAGAACGACGAGTGTATACCCAGACAAACAAAAGATCATGTCATCAACAATGCTAGTGCGCGTCAAAAGTTCCTGGAGGCTGCCATCATGAATCGTGGTGAAGAGCGTGGTTTGCTGCAATTGTCTCATACACGATGGTTTCTGAACCCCAAGACCATTCCTGCGGACATGCCACTTCCTCAAGATACCATGCCTATCACTGTCTCTGCAGGTCTTCCTCAGTCGGATATGATCAGCTACCTAGGGAACATGAGCGAACTAACTGTAGTGCACTGGATTCAATTCATTGCACAATCCAAGGTCGAGCTGGAAACATCAAAGGATTTTGCAGAACGTGTGTTGATTGTTGCCAGCAAGAGCTATGTGCATACATCCTCCACCAAAACTCAAGCTGATCTGGTGCAAATACTTCGAGCAAAACGCTGTATGCCAACTCGATTTGGTATGAAACTACCTCAAGACGCTTATTTCTCATCTGTCAAGCTGTTTGATGATCTGCCTATTGTGGATTTCTCCAAGAAGAGTATCAATGACACCTTCTTGACGGCACTGGGTGTCCGTAAAGTAAGTAAGCCTTCTGTTGGTGTGTGTATATAAATACTCACATTTTACTAGCATGTTGAGCTACAAATGGTGTTTGATCGATTAATTTCTGATGGCAGTTGGTCTCATGTGGACCTTGTCAAATACCTTGCATCTGAAGCAACCACATTGAGCGACATTGAAATCAAGCGATTACGAGAAACTGCCATTTTTACAAAGGAAGGTGAAGAGCCACGCTTGAAAGAGATCAACAAGCCAAGTGGTGTACTGGACGGTGAAGGAAAACCCATCATGGAGAAGCAAACCAAAAAGGTGTATAAGCGTTATCGTGCTGGTGATCTGTTTGCACCTACCGATATCGTGCGAGATCTCAACTTGCCCACCATCTATTGGACCCGCATGCCTCGATGGAGACCTGACAGTGCAGAAGCTAAATTCCTGGAAAGGCTGGGACTCAACATCAAACCTCCCTTGGCCTCGTTACTGTTGCTAGCAGCGCCTGATACCAATACGACAGCTGAAAGGGTCGCTATTCAAAGACGTGCTCTCACTTATCTCATTGAAAATCGCCAAGATTACAACGACACATACAATGTTAACGCCATCCAGATCAAGTTCTTGCCTTGTTCAGATGGCAAAACGTACGCTGCTCCCAAGGATTGTTACTCTAACCCTAATGTGCAGCTGCTTGGCTTCCAGGTGCTTCATTCAGACTTGAGTTCTGTGTGTGACAAACTCGGTGTACGGGAGAACCCACCTTCTGATAAACTGATTGCTGCCTTTGTCGACAGACTGGAAACAAACCATGATGCAGCGCGCAAGATCTTTGAGTACATGGCAACACGTATGGGTGAGTTCTCTCGTGGACAGTGGGATTTGCTAAGGCAGCTCGCCTTTATTCCTGTGCAAGGCAAGCAAGGACCTGCTCAACTCCATCAACCTTCACAAGTCTATTTTGAAACCGACACCTCTGCCATGACTTTCCACAAAGAACTGTTTGTGTATGTCAGCTTTGGGTCTCAAGCAAACCGCTTCTTGCGTTCGTGCGGTGTCAAGGATGAACCAACGACTGCTGAATTGGCTGCCCTGCTTGTCAAAGATCCACAGCGTTATTGGGAGTTGAGTGGTGGTGGTGAGCGCTACATCGAGGTACTGCGTCAGATTGCTGGCCAATTCAATTTGATCAAGTCAGATAGACAGCTGCTGAATGACATGAAGACAAAGCCTTTCTTGGTGGGTACCAAGCGCACAACTCTATCTGAACAACAACAGCAGCAAGAAAAGTTGGGCAACGATGAGGATGTTGCAGAAGAGGAATTTGTGCAGTATAGACTTGCCAAGGCCGCTGATATCTTTATAAACAATGACACCATGGCTCAGCAGATCTTTAGTCCACTGTCAGCTCCCATGGAGGAAGTGTTGGAGGAATTCTATATCAATTTGGGCAGTAAAATGCTCTCCAGGTAAATGCTAATGAGTATTTTGTGGTATACGAGATGACTCACCTCAAAGGACACAGCCAAATTACGGAAACTTACTCCTATGCCACCCATTTGGGCGTTACCATGGCAACCAAGAAAATCACTGGCATGATCTTTGAGCGTGCGCCCATCGGTATCTATCAGATGGTGAATGACGGACACAAGAAGAAGAAAGATCTCTTGCGAGACGAAAAGTACATCAAGCAGCATCTCAAGGTCACTCAAGTCAAGGATCTCAAGATTGTTCGCACCTTTCGACACACCAATGAAAAGAACATTCAGCCCACCACAGCATGCGCTGATATCACCAACTTTCAAATCTATGTGTCGGATGCCAACGACATTGATTACTACGACATTGCTCATTCCTTGTGTCGCTTGATCTTTGCTCGTACCCGCTTCAACGATGCTATTGTGATGGAGCGTTACTTGACAACCAGCTTGTACAATTTGCGTCGCAAAAATGTCCCTGTGGATCGCATTCTCAACATCAAGAAACGACAAGATGCTGCTCCTGCCTACACGCCTCCTACGCCTACGCCTCCGCCTACCTCAACCAACAACACCCATCAAACCCAAAGAGCACCTGCAACACCACCTCCGAACATGCCCAAGCCTCTGTTACCCAAAGAACTGGATACCTACACAAAGCAAGTCAAGGAAGTGTTTGGTGATTGCCAGGATGCTTACATCCGACAACTGTTGTCGCAACAGCACACTGATCACGTTCAAAATGTCATCACCAGGCTACTTCGCGAGGACTATCCCAAGGTCAAGATGCCTGGACAAGATTTGGAAAAGTCGATTGTGTCTGAAGAAGAAGAACTCAAAAAGCAGATTGAAGCAGCTGCTGCTCAACAACGTCTTCAAGCAAAGGCTGAGAGATCTACTGGTGGCTTCATGAACAAGATCCTGAGCAGCTGGAGATCGAGCCCCTCTTCTCCCGTCGCACCGCCTCCTTCATCTCATCCTCCCACCCAAACAACATCATCGCTCATTGCCAACGAGATTACAAAGCAGATCGAGGAAAGCTCACAAAAGCCCAAGCTACCGAAGCCTGATCAAACCATCACGCCCAATTTCACTGCCAACATTCAACAAAACCTCAAGCGAGCCATTCATTCATGCAAACCCTATGCTGGTCAGGACCTGTATTCACCCCCTCGCATCAACCAAGTCAATGAGTCATCCACTTACTGCGATTCAGCGTCTGGCCAAGACTTGACCTATGTCGGTAACGTTATGGGCATGGAGTTCTTTGTGCATCGTACTGTGCATCCGGACGATGTGTTGCAACAATACGGTCAACCCATGGCACGATTCAACAGCATTCTCACTGCATTGGCTCGTGTGTTTGAACTCAAGCTCGCCACCATCCAAATCTACTACGATACTGAGGGTCCCACTATTGCGTTCAATCTGAGCGGCAGCTTGTTTATGAATTTGAGATACTATCTGGCGTTGCATGACACGACCGACAAGCAGCAGGAGTCAAGCAAAAGAAAAGAAGCACTCATCTATTGGTTCATGACACTCTGCCATGAATTGGCTCACAATTTTGTCGGTCAACATGACTCTACTCATGAATTCTACATGTCGTCTTTTGCAGAGACCTATCTCGAATCTCTGATGAATTACATCTATGGCCCATCTGATCATCCTGTTGCCGATCCTCAACCACCCACTTCTACTGTTGCTAAAACTAATCCATCGCTTGATCTCTTGGATTGAAAATGATGAATAAATCCGCCATGTTGAAATGTATATCGCTGTGTGTGTGTTTCTGATGTCAAAATGCGTCAAATCCAATGTTGTTTGTATCAAGTGTATATTCTCTTTATTATATATATCTGTGTGTGTGGGTTTCTTTATAAGTTTTAATCCTCTTCTTCTGCCTTTGCTTGTTGTTCCTTCATACGACGCTTGAAGCTATAACATTTGAATCAAAAATTAGATGTTTTTCATTTCATCTACTGGACATGTTGGTGACATACTCATCATATTGACACTTTTCATAAGCATGGCGTTCAGTCTCACACTTCCAGGGGAGGTAAAAGGTCTCGCCTCTACACTTGTTAAGGGGGATCAAAAGGTTTGCACAGTAATCACGGTATTCCAATGGAATACGAGATTTTGCCATGTCTTGTTGAGAAGCTTTTTCTATGTGCAACATGTCAATGTTTCCATTCCAAATTCCAATGCGATGGCACATGCTGTTCGAGCATTTGAATCATCTTACCTGACATTGTTGGTTTTAGGTAAATCTATAAAAGAGAGCAAGAGAGAGGGGGGTTTAAAGTCAATGACAAAATATCAAGAGAGGAAGAAAAACATCTCTACCCCTCGCTAATACTGGATTTACCTCACAGGTCGCGGCTCATCAATATCATGGAATTGAGTTACTACGTCACCCTACCCAAATGTGGGGCAAATGTCTCTTGTTAAATAGCATCTCCATTGGATTCATGCATATACACACTTTTTTCTTTTATATTTCATCACACTAAACATGTCTGCTCTTCGCACTGCTGCTGCAAACCAAACTCACCATCTCAAGAGATTAGGTGCTCGCTATCAATCACAATTGGTAAAAACCGAATTTGAAGCTGAACGTCAAGCTGTCAAAGTACATGCTGCTGGTAAGTCGATTTGATATTCATGACATCCATGCATATTCATCTCTACATACCAACCAAGAATCTGCCGAGACTTGGAAAAAAATTACACTCTATGTTTGTATTCCTGCGTAAGTTTTTTATGATGTGGATTTGATTTGGATGATTGACATCTCAATGTTACACATGATGTACCCACACAGATTAATGGCTGCTGGCTATAATGCATACAATCTATACAACAAGCATTACGAGCACATGAAGGAACATCCAATGGTATGGGTCAAGTATCCATACATTAATTACAGAGGAAAGGTAAGACATTGAGACACCAATGACATGATGGCATTTACTCAAATCTTGAAAAAAAAACCATGCTGTAGGATTTCTTTTGGGGAAAGAACTCTCTCTTCTTCAACCCAAAGACCAACCTTGACGCTAACGAGGAATAAGCAGCTTGCTTTTCAATTGACTTTATCTATTATTTATATACAAACAATAAAAATGCTTGTTATTTCAATCCAATTGTTAGTCGCGCCATGCGAAACATCCAATGATGGGTATTTTCCATGTGCAATTTTCTCTGGATGGGTGGTTTCATCGTCAATGAAGCAAGTGCGTAAAACCAAAACAAGCCAATGTTCTCTCAGACACATGCACTTTAGTATTTAAGCAGCAATAAACTTCAATTTCTTGGGTGAAAAGTCGTATGCAATTGTGCAATGCCATAGTTTAGAGCGCAATTTATAAATATCATTATGGTCTGATAAAATGCAAGATAACTGAGAAATTAGCCATAATTTTTCTGCAAGGTGCAATCAATGTAGACATACATGTCTTGTATAGAGGGTTTATAAGCCTTCTAGTGATACTTTATACCTTCATGGTGCCTTCGCCAGGCATAGTTTTACACAGGATGTCATATCATGATACCTTCTGTTGTTTAAAAGCATGTATTCACGCTTCCATCAACTATCTAATATATATACTGCAAAACAAGAGTATCAAGCATCACAATTTGCATAAAGCTTATGAAATATCTTCTGTTAACATCAAATCGAATTGTCATGCCTCCTGTTCAAATTAGAAACTGTGTAACTTGTAGAGTTGCTCTATCTGAAGATTTCAATTTTCGAAAATGTGATTTATGTCGAGTAAATAGAGAAATTTGATAAATAAATCAAAAAAATAAAAAAGAGCTGTATTGAGACCACCGAGGGCACCTGCCACTTTTATTTTAGAGCTAAGGAGAATGCGACCTGATTATCTCCAAGGACATAATAATGCATCTTATCCAATACTTGATAGCATTGATTTATAGGGGGGGTTTTACCGTTGCGAAGCAAAGGTGCAAAGCCATAGTAATAGGACGTCTAATCCAACACTTGGTAACATTGATCTATATGAGGGTTTGATCGCAGTGAAGCAAAGGTGCAAACCTATGACAACTAAGCATTCAATCCAGCATTTGATATCATTGATCTATACGAGGGCTTGATTGTTGCGAAGCGAATATGCAAAACCATAGTATTTAGCAGCAAGTTCAGGTTTTCATTTCCATTGTTAATAAGCTTGCCAACAACATAGCACATCAAAATTTGCATGAATCAGCTTTACCAGAATCAATATGCCTCCTATTCGAATTAGAAGTTGCACAGGCTGCAGAACTGCCTTTCCAGTAAACTACAGCTACCAAAGATGCGATTTATGCCGTGTAAATAAACTCTATAAAGCAATGCCTAGCCAAATAGGACAGTGTTCAAGCCTTCATACCTTGACATGTAGACTTTTATGAGCCATCGGAATGACGCCAAACAATTGTACTCGAGTAGTAGTAACTTCCTGACACCTTTGCTCAACTTTTTGGGGACCAAAAAAAATCATGACCAAAAATCGACCAAAAAGCATGTGGGGTACCTCATGCTTTTCATTGAAAATCAAACAATTGCATTTTTCACCTTGAAAAATGAAAACTTTTACTATGGCATATATAAAATCAAAATGTTTCTATCAACCTAACGTAACCTTTGAAATCATCTTTGCGGGACCTTGATATGTAAAATCTCAACATTTTCGCCAAAAACGTTATTTCATAATTTCATGGATTTCTCAACAAGTTCATTAAGAACAGCCATTATAACTGGCATCATCGGATGCGCCTTGAAAACTCCTCCTAAATAGCTTAAGGCTGTAAAGGATGATCACTACAACTTTCATGGTCGAATCTCGCAAAAGGATCAAAATTCAACGAATCGTGACAGAAAGTCAAGCGGGATTGTAATCCGTTTTGGCTGGCTAAAAGAAGACTCTCCTTGATTGCTCAAAGCCCTATAATAGAACGGCAATGATACCCACAGAAACGATTATACGAGAAAGCGAGACTCCTTCTCAAATGGGTAGTGTACCCAACGTGAGACCCAAAAAGGACAGGTTGGTGACATGGGACGGGCGTGACATGATCCAAAGCAACAGAATAGCACACAGACAAAAATGATATTGCAGGTGAAGTTTAATTCAGAAACCTCCTTCTTTTGGAAATCCCACGGCCTTGTTTGATGAATTTCGCGATGTGCACTTGACTTAGAACCCTGAAAATAGTACCATTGAATTCCTCAAGTGATTTGCTTTCTAATGATGTACATACCGTCTAATAAAATATCCTCTCTTTGACCACAAATTGGCCATTTACTTGCTTATCTCTCTTCAATTCATGTCCTTTTGTTTACTTTACATGTGATTTTTTTTAAAGCATAATTTTGCCTAGCAAATGAATTATTTTGATCTTGCATGATCCGAATACCTTCTAAAAGAGGACGATCCCTAAAAAAAATGATATGAAACGTGTTAAACTCTTTATGAGATGCATGCTCTTGGCATAAGAACTACAAACAGGTTGCAGGAATGATACACAAGAATGACCAACTCACTATGTAAATGTGGGCATATTGATGATATCTAGTAGCGCAAACACTTTGATTGACATCATTGACAGCAACCATGACAGCTGGAAACAAGATGATTTGCACTGGTTCGAAAACGATCCATTATGTTCCATTCCATGGAGATTGCCGCAGTAATATTCATATGGCACGCTTGTTTTCCGAGGTGTACACTTGTTTCTTGGTCCAGAATCAGTTATGCTGGCTCCGATGTGATGTACACGACAAGAAAGCCAACCTTAACACTCGTATTGCCCGATTAGATGGACAGTTTATGGCTGATGTAAACAACAAGAGAGATGGATCGAGAACCGTATGATCTTGGAGAGAGAAATTAAGGAGAGGTAAAAAAAAAAAAAAAAAAAAAAAAAGGATTACTTAATCAAGCAACCAGCTGCATCTGTTTCAGTGTCAAATGACATTTTTTGTTTACTTTTTGATGAGGTTTGAGCCAGTGAAAAGTTGTCTGTTAATTACATCTAGGAAGAGATGGGGGAACTCGTTTCATGTGAAGGTGGAAAAAGGGCTTTTTGAAGTAGCAAAATGGACATAACTCGAGACAGAAAACAGTTGAAAGCCTCGGACGAAGCGGATGAAATAGAGCAAGTGTCAAACGTCAAAATGGTACTACTTTCACGCGCTCAAAGTAGTATATCGTGGAGAAAAGTAAAAGGAAACGAATTTGAGTGTGGCAAGGACACTGGACTCACACAAAAGTCGATGAGAAGGATATAAATAGATGGTTGTTTCAACAGCTTTTCCTTCTTCTTCTTCTTCTTCATCATCATCTTCATCTCATCTCTACTCTCTATTAACAAATCTCTCTGCAAGCGAACTCTCTCTACAATACTCTTGGGCTCTCTTTCTGCTTTATACATGGTCAAGTAAATCAAACACTGTACTGATGATTGGCTTTTTCTTACACAATGCTCTCATAATTCCATGGTTCTCTTAGGTTGCGGTCCATGCAAAACATGGTCGCACTTTCCTCGTATTTTTAGATAATAGCAACATACAATCAACTCTGCAGGTATGTACTCGCCACTTCTAGCTTATAAAGCAGCATGACTCACCATCTCTCTATTAATAGAGCTCAGGTCCTCTCTATTTTGACTCGCAAGCACTCCATACTTGGTTGAAGCCTTGGATGGGGTCTAGGGGTCATGCGCGTAAGGTGGTTGTCTCGTGTGGCCTCAGCACCTGTTGCCCCGGTAGCTCGTAAGGGTGATGCGACGAGGCGCTAGGTGCGTTTTCCGGGAGGTGTCTTCCCATCCTTGTTGCTAGGGATATGCAAGTTGTGGCAGATGTTTTGCCCTGGAAGCCTGGCTTCATCTTTTGGTCTCCTCGTGTTTCAAGCTGCTCTTTTCATCGTCCATCAAGTATGCTACAGGGTAAGTATCCTTTGTAATAATTCAATGTCCCGCAATATAGTGTAGATCTATTTCCTGCAATGTCAAAACCACTTTAATACACGGTGCCATCTCTACATCCATACAAGACCAAGCCATACTCGTATCTCTGCTGCCTGCCATCTATTATAATGTCAAGACTCATGCTGCCTAGTATATACAAGACCAAGCCATGCTCGTATCTCTGCTGCCTGCCATCTATTATAATGTCAAGACTCATGCTGCCTAGTATATACAAGACCAAGCCATGCTCGTATCTCTGCTGCCTGCCATCTATTATAATGTCAAGACTCATGCTGCCTAGTATATACAAAGTCAAGCCATACTGCCACATCTGCTGTCTCTATTCTATACACGAAACCTTGCAATACACACATCAATACTATCTCTTACCTATACAAGTTAAATCAAATTATATTCAAGTTAGCTAGCATCTATTCAAATCTAAACAAACTCTCATACATTATCATCGTTTTCTATAAAGCTACAAGCAAATTAATAATAAAAAGAGTTTTGCATTGCCTACTATATCATCGTCTTTTTATTACATTCTCTATTAAAACCAATGTATAAACAGAAAGCCGTTTGAAGCAACTGATATCATAAGTGCCACTGATATAAATGTTCTTGAATCGTGAAGCTGTGGTTGAAGATGAATGGAGAAAGTCTGACTATGGCCATTTCGAAGCATTGTTAGGTTTGATGTCATACAGAGTACCGCTATCATTGTAGGCAATACAACTCTCCTCTCGGAAGAGATGACTATTTAGTCATTGTACACACGCAGTCTTGCGCAAGCTTCATGTCTCATGTTATTAGAGATAGACACATATTATTGGATAATGCACTTGAGAGTTTATGTACTAATATACAAATTGTTGGATTGCTATGGATACAAAGTATTCCAAACTTCAAGAAGTTTCTAGAGCAAAATATTTAGTCGTTGCAAAAGCACTAGTAGTGTGAGGGGCTATATACACACATGTAGTTATATAATGACCTACGTTCGCTCAACCTGTAGTTTAATATAAAAATAGCCAAAAATATCTTAAAGCTTTGATAGAGATATGACTTTTGCTACAGTATCTACGGTATCTATAGTTGTATTAAATGCTAGTATCATATGCATCTAAGAGGGTATTGGATACCTTAAGCGCTACTTGACAGAACCAGCCGCAGGTTTTTCTGCATAAAGGTTATTCACAGTCTAGCGATGGTTTATGTTTGATGGAAGTATCTTGGTTCTGGCATACCAATACATTGATTTCTTCAAATTTCACTACTCAACAAGTGATCAAGGCATACATTATACCTGAATTGCCTCTTGGCATTCGACAGAATGCAAAGCACAGCAAGAAATAGGTGAATTTGAGCAACAATTTCTTGTGCTGGAAGCCGCTTAAAACCGCCAGAATAGCACCAAACAGTTGCTCTCATCTGGCAGTTACTTTCTGACACCTTTGCTCAACTTTTTGGGGATCAAAAAAACATGGCCAAAAATTGACCAAAAAGCATGAGGTACCCCTCGTGGTTTTCATCAAAAATCAAATGATCGCGTTTTTGACCTTGATATTGTAGACTTTTGCTATGGTATGTATTGGATCAAAATGTTTCTATCAATCTAACGTAACTCTTGAGATCATCTTTGTGGGACTTTGATATGTAAAATCTCAACATTTTGGCCAGAAACCTCATTTCATATTTTCATATATTGCTCAATAGATTCATTTAAAACAGCTATCATAACTAGCACCATTGGATACGCTTTGAAAAGTACTCCTAGAAAGCTTAAGAAGGTATGGGGTGATCATCACGATTTGTATAGTCGATTAATGCAAAGAAGATGAATTAAGTCGAAAATGTTAAAAAATGTCCAATTTGAAGCAAATGAAAAACGGTGATTCAATTGGCTGTTTTGGCCTCCAAAATCAATGCTATCCTCATCTAGAGGTGTTTTATGCTTGTGAGCCTATAAGAAGAAGAAAATTTCATCCTGAAAAGATCTATAGACATCTCAGCAGATTCTAGTTGCATTTCCTTTTTGGACTTTTATTTCTGGTAGAAATAATCGTAGCAAATATATCATAAAAATTAGAGTCTTGTTGCTGGTGTTAGCTTTAGAGTGTAACGCAAGGAATATGTCCTGATTCTAGTACGATTGCCACTTCTCTGCATGTTATAAGCTTGGCCACAATACATTGAGATCTATATTATATATCAAAATCTTATGATTGTCTCTAAAATCATTCAAAATCGTTATAATACATAACCATCCCAACACTTTTAGCATATGCATATTATTTCCCAGAGCTCGCTCCATGAAATAAGTTTAATTCAGTTGACTGATCCGATGCTTTTCAGCATTTCAACATTTGGCTCTTTTGTGCAATGTACATATTGAAGAATTCAAAAGTTCTGTGGCATGGCAATCTATCTAAAGTATCTCTTCTGTGCTGAAATCAACTTTAATTAGACATATTAAACAATGCATAAACTTGCTTCTAAAAGCATTTGATTCTCGATTCGGCTTTTGGCCTATTATGTAAACATCTGAGACTTTCTTGGCTGTATCGGAGAGGAAGGTGGCAGAGGAGATCAGAAAAAGGAACACAAATGTATTAAGGTTTTTTTTTCTTGAGTTGAGTTGAGTTGAGTGAAGAGAGAGAGAGAGCAATTGCAACAAGAAACGAAAATGAAACCCACATGTTGGACTCGAGTTATGCATGAAATTCATCCATTCAATAGATACAGACTCGTACATGACATAAATTTACATGTGGAATGCCAAGAAAATGCAAACTGTACCTGTACCTTTATGCTATATACAGCATACTATACAAGAAAGCTGCACACATCTTTTTTTTTTTTGAAATCAGCCTGCAGATGTACATATTGTATCTGCTGGTCTATGGTACATGTCAAGGGATGAACTATGCCAATGGTTGATTTCACAATGTTTAGCACCATATAGAGGGTATACTTCATGGGCGTCAGACAAGAGGATGATCTACAAGATCTTATAGATCCAGTTTTTTCCCCATCATGTCATGTCATGTCAATGTCAAAAATGAATCAACAAGTATGACGACCCAACAATAAGTCATGTTTGTTGCTCTTTAATCACAATAACAGGCTTCTTGTATCTTGTGCAACCAGCTGTAGATTCGGGCCGATAAATCAAATGTTGCTCATGATTTTTCATCTGTAATAGAGTATGCAGCAGTGTAATATAGCATAGGTATCACTGAAAAGCAGATAGGTGCTATAAATCAATATAGTATTTGTTACACCTAAACAGAATTTTAGTGACTATAATGAGCTTCAGACATTGTTGTTGTCAGATAAACACTAGATATCATATTATTGTAATATGATACAAATAAATAATGGGATTTCTTTATTGTTATGCCGAGTACAAAACCGTCAGTCTATTATCCTCGTACATAGATCAAGGGAGATTAGTTTTTCCATCGAGATCCCTGGTTATGTCTGAGCATAGGCTCCATAAGCGCTAGAGAGAGAGAGAGAGAGGGGAGAAAAAGGAGGGAAGTTGTCGGATGTGATAATATCATGTTGTACTCTATGATTTGTTATTCTAATTATGCATATCATCATTTCATGCTTTAATCCGCACCTGCTTAAATTATCATTAAACACGTTGTTGATTTTTTGTGATCGGTACACAACATGACATGAAGCATAATACTATAAATGAGTAAATACAGATGTTTAATTTCATCATTTTATATGCAAAGAAAAGGTTTCATTCATGTTTTGTTATAATAGCCATTTTATTTACCAAATCTATTATATATATATAACTGTGTATTACGATTCAAGATGGAATAAGCAAGAGAGAGGATTAAGAATATACTACAAAGAAACTGAGTGGAGTGGGATAGGCGGTTCAGGAGGGAGGTATTTATATAGGGTATTGGGGTCTTTTGTGTTATAATGAACGGTGATGTCTACAAGTTTCTGATCCAGTCGAATTTGAAGGTGACGGTAAAGCGGTCAGCGTGATGGCATTGTTCTGTCTAAAAGACGATGATTGATAGTAATTCATAAACGAAGATGTGAAATTCTTTCGTAGAAACTGTTGCTGGATGGGATCAAAGGACCAGCATCTGGAACAGTATTCATTCTGACTGAGAAATCGATTGCAACTGCTGCATTTTACATGACAATTTGAACAAAACCAGTCGGCTCCCAGGATTTCGTTACAGGTACCACATGTAACTTGATTATCAAACGAAAAGGCAGAATCAGAGCGAGGAGAAGAAGGTGGAGATAGTAAATAATTCATGTTGGGAGTGGATATTTTAGAAAGAAAGAATAAGAAAAAAGAAAAATCACAAGTTTATAGTGTGGTATTTATATTAAAGCACGGACAAAGCCGAAAAGACACAACAAAAAGCATGGAAATATGGTTTCTTCTCCTATTTACTTTTTCATGCATCTCCATGTAAGTTGAGGTTTGTCAAAACATATTAGCAAGACTGGATAAAACGCCGTCGATTCGGTTGACATTTTCTCGCTGCTGTTTGCGTTGAGATACCATCCACACACAGCGCCAGCGAGATGGGGATGGCAAAAAAAAAGCAGGTGAATTAAACAAGAAGCATTTTCACAACACGTGGATTTCTGTCTATAAGGAGATGCGTGTGTGTGTGTGTGTGTGTGTGTGTATGAGGAGACAGAGAGAAGGAGGAATGGTATCCCATCTTCAAGATGTAAAATGATTGCAGATCCCTTGTAATTAAATATCATGATATAATCTTGTCTTTTTATTACTTTGTTTGTGTTTACAATGAATCCAACAGTCTTAATCCTGCATTATCAAGCTCTTGTTTTTCAGCAAATGTAAGTTGTGGAACTTGATTTACGCCAACTTTCAATGTAGCAAGTATGTCTCTGTAATCACTCAACACCAAGTGACGATAGTCAATAGTATCGATTTGAGTCACAAGATAGACCAAAAGGCGCGCAAACCCGTGATGGCCAAACGATACGGCTGCATACTGAGCAACAAAGCCTTGATAAAACTGAAAGAAAGGTACCTGAGCTTGTCGGATATGTTCCGACGACCTCCGCCATGCATTCTCCAGTGCTGCCAGATTGGTCTTTGTTCGACACAGATAGTTCAGCCATTGATCCATGTCCTGCGATACTCGGTCATCCCTAAAAACCTCTCGTTCGCTCGTCATATCTGCTTGCTTGCCTTCTCTGTCACCAATCAAAAAGATCTTCATCAGTGTGATAACGGCTACATCATGGTTGATGTCACTGGTGTAGAACAGCTTGTTGGCCAATCCAATGGTACTGGACACAATGCTTGCTGCATCAGCTCGACACTGTTGTGCCACCTTGGATTTGTCCAAGTGATACAGTGCATCTATAGGCGACAGGATGAATGCAGTGGTTTCCAATGAATTTGACTCTGATTCGCCCTGGCTCGTGTACATGAGGGTCTTGATGGATCTGCCGTCATGGTCAAACAGAGCTTTGGAGATGTTTACATGCTGCTGGTCAAAGTCGAGGTAGAAGGGTTCCAAATCGCCCAATGCTTGCTGCTGCTGCTTTGATGATAGACAAAGATGCAGTAACTCCTGCGCCAACCACGTTTCGCTGGTGCCAATGTGCTTACTACGGATGCCAGCCTCCAGTTCCGCTAACCTCAGGCTCATTCCCCAGCATTTCTCTCGTTCCTTGCACTGATCTAACCAGATGTATAAAGCATACCGGCCGAGCATATCCTTCGCATAACATTCCTTCAACAAATGAACCACCTGTGCAGATCTAAGTCTGCATTTTGCATCTCGCACCATGTCGCTGTACAATGCGTGCTGGGCATCCAGTCGTGTAAAAGCAGCAATGAACTGAAGGTAGCGAAGAACATGGTGCATGGATGTTGTGTAACCTAATGCAACGGAATTACCAGATTGAAAGTTATTATCCTCCTGAATCACTGCCTTCCAAACTTGACGGACGGTCTCCAACTCGGGTGGAAATAACGCAATGTGTGAGGCCCAAGTACCCAAGTAGCCCAAAGCAGATTCATACAAAGATTGGTGTCTGTCTCGACTCGATCGCACTACAGCCGTAATAGCAGGCAAGTAGGCAGTCGGTTGATGCCAGTCAATGGCATGTGCTGGCACCGTCTTGTGTGGGTCTGCAGCAGCATACAAGAGCACTTCCAATAGTCCAATTGCTGTCGATGCAATAGTACAGTTCATGTCGCTGGCATCATCGCCAAGCACAGAGCGCAACCAGCCCATCAAAGGCCCTTGTAAGTCTTCCAAAGTCGGAACGATGAATCCGTAACAGGCCAGCACACGAACGAGCTTTAGTGTTTCAAGCTGAAGTGCATATGCTCTTCGTTTCAAGTTGTTACAAGCAGTGTCTGGCGAAGTAACCAAGAATCGCAACGTGATCGTTGCCTTTTCAACAATACTTTCCGCAATTTGTTTACTCCCCTGAGCCAACACAGTCAGGAGGCGCACAGCTGCTAAACTTGGGTAGTTTGAATGAGCAGCAGCATCTTCTGTCATGGGCCATTGTGTATTCGCCACTCCCCAATGCACAATGGGCTCCAAGAGCTCCTCTTCCTCAATCGCCTCGCATACGTCTTGTCCTGCTTCAGCCATACGTACCACAATACGCACCAAGCGGTCTACAGAGGCAGCATCGTATTGGATCAATTCGCTGCTATCCGATGCCAACAGATAACGAATACGAGCCAGTAGATCCATCTTGACCAGACCACGCATCAGATCCCGTTCAGCCAATGCCGCGTCATCTTGCTGCTCTTTCAAGGAAGGTTGACCTGATGTCTGACGTACGCGATCTACCAATTCAGTCAACTTGTCATTAAGGCCTTTGCGTTTGATCTCTGTCACACCGGGAGGCAAGGTAGGACGAGCGATATGACCCAGAAACTTGTTGAATTCTTCAGTCGAATCAATCAATGACGCCTCCCATACCTGGTAGTCATCCAACACAAGAGCAGCCAAGGCTTTGATGGCACTTACTAACACAATCAAGTTGCGGTCATCCAGAGCAGAGCGAAGGTAAATGGCGGCAGTGTGTTCTTTTCCAGTAAATACAGACAGCACATGATTCCATACAGGCTCGGTGGATGCTGCTTTCTTGGCGAGTGTAATAATGCGAGCAAGCATCGTCAACACCATAGATCGTTGTGAGGGCACTTGACTACGAACGAGATAGAACAATTCAGCCAATGTGTATCCTGCTTTATCAGGTTCGTCTCCATGGTGATGCAGTCCTTTATGACGAGGAATGTCCTGTGTCTGGTCAATGATACGGCCTTGCAGATCAAAGCGCACTTTGCGATACACCTTCTCCACTTCACTTGCTTGAGAGCCGCTGTTCTCCTCTTCTAATTCCTTCAGCCGTTGCGCTTCCTGCTGTCTGATCTCTGATGTCAAAAAGCGGTTGTCGATCCAAGCCAGCTTTTCGTTCTCCAAGGGCACATTGGCAAAGTATTCCTTCTTGATCTGTAACAAATCCTCTTTATCATCATCTGCCTCCTTGTCTCTTGTTTGAGGCTCTTCGAAAGACACCTTCTTTGTTTGCTTGATTGCTGCTGATGCTGAGTCGCCCTTGTTCTTTAGTCCCTTCATGAGCAATGCAATGGACTCTGGACTCAACGTGTTCATGATCTCCTGGCGAGCGTCCTCCAATTCCTGCTGAGACATCTCCTGAATGCGTCTATCATTTTCATCCAAGGGCTCTTCTGATATGACTTGAGGTGGTGCTTCAGGTCGAGGTGCCTTTGCTGATCCAGATGCTGATTTGTTGCGTTGTGCTTCTAGTCTCTTTTTGAATTCACTGCGATGTACAGGCTTTGGGAATCCATTGACTTGTCCTCTGGCAGGTTTGTTCTCTACCACGGATGGTAATGTAGGTGCAATTACCTGCTTCACATCATGCTCTTTGATTTCGCCCAGCACTTGGCCCAGCAGGGATGTCAAATCTATCATCTTTTTGCTGACTGGCACATGAGGCTCAGGATGAGGGTCCATGACAGGCTCGTATTCGTCCTCTTGCTCGTCTTCCACCACAGTTCTGGCGCTTTCCAGTGCGGGCGTAGCTTCCTCTAATGATGGCATTTCCAAGTCTGGCATCGATGACTCGACTGGATTACTGCTGCCGCTGCCACTTGTATTAGCTAACCGCTCAGCAAAGAGACTACGCTTCTTCTTCTTCTCTGGTTGCTTGTCAAATGAAGGTGGTGCATTGGTGCGATACACTCGAGCTGAAGGCATTGTTTCCTTTTCGAAAAACTCTTTCTGGAGCCTCTCTAGATCGTCGTCATCGACATTGAATGTGGGCCGAGTGAATTTACTCATTGTTGACAGAAAGTGAATAAATGTAGGAAAGAAAAAAAAAATATCGAACTTTTAAAAATTCTTCATTTGTCACCATTATGGGGCACATCAAACAAGTATGAAACTGGGATCCGGCGGCAGCACAGAAATAAACGCGGTACAAATGCGACGCGAGCTACGGTTTCACTCTTTCTTTTTCTCTTCTTCATGTCTTCCAAACAGAGATCCATTAAAGATCATTTCAAGACAGTGAAGCCAAATGAACTGGCAGAAAGAGAGCCCAATGTTTTTCCTCTGTTTCGGTCCAAGGTGATTGAGAAAAAGACGACCAAGAAGTCCAAGTCATGCAGACCGAAAGCAACCAAGATACTATCACCACAAACTGTAGAATCAGCATCAGCAGCTAAAGCTAAGCCAGCAGCAGCAGCAGCAGCAGCAGCAGCAGCAGCAGCCAAGAAGGCCAAAACTAAACCAGCTACCGCACCAGTAGATCTCACTAGCGTCGAGGCAGCTACAGAGAGCATTCGAATGGGCGTCAGATCCAAACAGCCTGCACCATCACTGATCGACCTGATAGCACAAGATACCCATCAATTTTATTTAAATCCGAGAAAGAAGCGAGAGCAAGCAGTGAATCAATCACAGTCGCAGCAGCAGCAGCAGCAACAGCTTAATCAGCCCATTGCATGCCCTGGACGCCTTGATATGAAAGAGATTGAGCACCAAATGGATGCATACCACACTGCCAGCTGGAAGCAGGATCGATGCTGCAAAGTGCTCTACGATCAAATACCGCACATCAGACAGAACAGCAACAAAAAGACCATGTGGCGAGACAAGTATCGACCCACTACAGTAGAGGGATTGCTTGGATACGCTCCAGACTACGCATATTTGAGAGATTGGCTAAATCAAATCAAGATCAAGAGTCCCACTGTGCCAGAGACATCCGCAGTAGCAACAGCAGCAAAGAGCAAAAAGAAGGCAAAACAGGCAGTGCAAGACAAGGAAGTGATCTATAATCTCATGTTGTTTGTGGGTGACCATGGCTCAGGCAAGACAGCTTCCGTGTACACAGCAGCCAAAGAAACTGGATATTCTATTTTCGAGATCAACTCAAGTTCACGGCGCACAGGAAAAGATGTTACAGACAATGTGGGAGAAATGACAGCAAGCCATCTAGTGCGATTCAACAGCAATACCTCCAAGCGGAAGGCGCAAGGAGAAACCATCATTTTAAGGGATACTGTAAAGACGAAAAAACCAAAGACTATTGATATAGCCGAACACTTTAAAAAGATGCTCAATATGCAAAATGGCACCAATGAGAGTAATCCAACAGTCGAACCAGCCAAGCCAGAAGCACCTTCTCAATCTGATCCACCCCCTCCACCACAAAACACATTAGAGGCATTCTTTAAAAAAGCGAAAACCAAGCAAGATCTGGTACTGGAGCAACTAGCAAATCAGCCCAAACAGAGCTTATTGCTGTTTGAAGAAGTAGACATCTTATTTGAAGAGGACAAGGGATTCTGGACAGCCATCATTGATCTATGCCAAAAGAGCAAGCGTCCCATCATCATGACCTGCAACGACGAGAGCAAAATACCCGTTGATCTTTTCAACATTCAATGCACAGCCTACTTTGAAAAGGCAACCACAGAGCAAGATCAAGCTAGTTTTGTACAATATATGCAGTTGATTTGTTATGCAGAGAACTACTCTATCCCTAAGCGCGAGATAACCTACCTCTGTGAATTACTGGAATATGACACAAGACAAGTGATTGACATGTTACAGTTTTGGCTAAATGAAACACCCACAACGGGACACTTTGTTTACCAACACTTGTTTGCTCATGTTATGGGATTGGCCAAACGCTTGGTGGAAAAGGATCGCATGCAATGGATGGATCACTTGAAGGGATGTCAAAGCAGAGTGATTGAAATATGTACAAGATACTACGATGAGTGCGCTGCTGCTGATGATGATGAGTATGAGGAACAGCAGCAAGAGGTCATGCGAATAGAGGATATATATCAAGCCATGGAAAATGCAGCTTTTGCAGATGCATGGGTTGGGTTGAAGGCCAAGCATAGACATCAGGTGAGTACAGTTCTGGTGTACATGCAATAATGGGTTATATTAAACCGACCTCTCTCCAGTTGTATGATATTGATCAATACAATGCACCTCAAGATGGTTATCATGGCAACGACACTCGAGTGATTTACAAGGATGCGACAGATCTAGACCATTGGGAACTAGGGGAGATCATGGATAATTCAATTACAGTGATGAATTTAGCTACAATTAACAAAAACAACAGTTGGCGTAACCATTTATCGGCATGGTCAAGTCATTGGGAATATTTGTGCAACATGCGAAAACTCTATTCAGATGATTGTTTAATTACTTGCAAACACATCCTATCACAACAGAAAGAGCAACGTCTTGATTTGATCCTGTCTGAATACATGCCCGCTATTCGAAGTCTATCGCAGTACGGTCAAGGCGTTGCTGGCAAGGGACGCATGGTACGCACTAGGAAGAGATTGCGCTACTTGCAGCTGACGGATGAATCAAGAGACGCACTTAATTGGCAACACACTCTAGCTTAATAGAAAAAAATAAGCCTCCCACCCCCCCCCCTTGTTTGTCAAATATTTGCATTTAACTATATAATAAAGTGATTGAATGATCGAAGTCTCTTTTTTTTTCCTTCTTTCTTTCTCTCTCTTTTTCTTCTTTTTCTTCTTTTTCTTTTTTTCCTGATATCCTAAACACACACACACACACATATATACAAGATGCTGAATGAGAATACTCAGTTGCACTTGCACAAAAGGGCCTTTCCAATATGTCCTAAATGTAATACAACATGTTCCACATCAACTTCTGTTGTAAGAGCATTCAATCAAGTCTATCATTACAATTGCTTTGTTTGTGAGGTATATAGAAAATCCATTTTAACCCCTTCCCCTTAAAAAAAAAAAAAAAAAAAAAAAAAAAAAAAAAAAAAAAAAAAGCACACAAAGGCGTTCAGAAGGGGAGAAATACTCACTTACTACTACTCCATTCTAGGATTGCTTTGTACCTGTAGCAGACAAGTATTATCCTGACTACAGCAAAAAAAAGGCAGTTTTATGTGAATACCACCATTTCAAACGATCTGGCTTAATTTGCACACATTGTAATACATCCATACTACAGCACAAATGTAATGAATGTTCTCAATGCGTTACACCAAAGACACACCAATACGAATTTAAAGGTCAAAGTTACTGCAAATTGCACTACTCAATGATTCACCAAACACACTGCGCTGGATGCGATCAAGCGATACTCAAGCAGTTTGTTGAGCATGTCGATCTACCGAATCAAATCTGGCATCCAGAGTGCTACATGATCTTCAAATTCTGGGGTGCTAAATTAGCCCCAAAGAAGCCAGCAGAACCAAAAGACATTTTAACCGTACAAAATCAAATCGAAAAAAAAGTTACACGTGTGTGGACCGATTTATCATCATTTGAAGAGTCATCTGCGAATTGTATATCGGATATGCTGTTAAATGTAGCTGCTGGTGCATACATTGAAGGTATCCGTATGGCTAACCAGTTCATCATGCATTTGGAAGTTTTATTCAATGCCTTGGACGCCATGGAACAAACGCCAAACACAGGTAATCAGTGCAAATGTGACAAATGTGCTTTACCAATTGTCTTTTATTGTAGACTTACACTGCAACAACGAAGCCAGCCTTACCTGCAAACAAGTGATTCGATTTTTTCAACTATTAACGACACCACCCAATGAGACGTCAATTACTCAGGAACTACTATCACTCGTAACTGGACTAGCACAGAATCTGAAATCACTGATTCGAATTGGATTGTCGGCTGCACTAAACTTGGTAAGGAATTTCTCCCCCCCCCCTTCTTCAATGTTGAGACAAGAAAACAATAAAACGATGAGCCTATCCATTCTTTATTCTCTTACAAAAAAAAAGAAGCTTCTTTGAATTTTAATATTTTTTACATGTCAAATCTCAAGGAACGAGAATGTCAGGTTGAAAATGCGATACCTCAGTTTCTAAATCAATTGCTGCAACTAGAAAAGAAGCGAGTGTGGATTGCTGGAAGATACTGGTTCAAAGACCCTCCAGAGACAACGGCAAGCGATCAAACCGCTCACAATTACACCAACATCTGCTGTCAATGTCAGTCTACGATTCAGGACACCGATTGCTACACCTCATCTCAATGGCAATGGCATCCAAGCTGCTTTCGCTGCTCCAAATGCTCGGCATCTCTCAACGAAACAAACGCTCTACTACTGGAGAATGCTCTCTACTGCCCATCTTGCTGTGAATTAGACGTCAATCATTCTTCCGTAGCCAGATGCACCCATGTCACTCTACTGCAATTCAGCTTGAATCAACTGAAGGCCTATTTGTCTACCATGTCTACCAGATCGACTCCTGCAATCACAAGTAATTTAAACGGAGGTAACAATCAAAAGCAACTCAGATTTATGCACAACATCATGTTAACACATTATAAACATACACAGTGAAAGTATCACCACCAAATCAAGTGCTTATGCCCGAGACCAAAAGACAGAGATCCATCTTGCGTGTGCTAGGTAGCAGACAACAACAGAAACGCAAGTCGAATCGATTGAATTCCGTGCATTTAGGTCAAATTGGACGCACATCTTCCACCACGCTCAAAGACTCGGCTTCTTCTTCCATAGGCAAAAAGAAAGGAGGAGACCTGATGATTTGCACAAATACGACCGATTCATCCTCGAGTCAACAACAACAACAGCAGCAGTCTTATTTGAATGATGCACTATCGTCATCCATATCATCTGTAGTGTCACCGCTTGTCGCATCATCACCATCCTCCATCACAAAAGGAGGGAGGTTTACACAGAGCATTCGACGTACATTCAGTACAAACAGCCAGCACTATGGCAAGCGCAGGCCTTCGCTTTATAATGTATTTCAGTCAAAGAAGCGAGAGCCGAGACGAGCCTCTGTGCTCACTATTGATGAATCTGGACACACATTGCACAAATATGTCCACCTAGCCACACTGACACCGTCTCAGGATTACATTGTTCGCCATGCCGCTGTCATTGCAATCGAACCGTGGATGAGCACTGTCTTTTCACTGGATGAGCTGATTGATTTGATTGATGAAAAAAAGAAGAAAAAGAAAAGGACATACACTGATAGCAACTCGCCTCATCATTCTCAAAATCCAGCGTCAGCACTCTGGGGTAAATTGATCACACACATCAAAGCATCCTCTTCAACTTCCACCCTGACCGCCACCACATCCGCAACTACAAAGCACAACAGCAATAAGACATTTGGCGTCGCACTCGCCATGGTTGCTCAACGGGATCACGATCAGTTATTACTACAGCAGAAGCCAGATGACGGCGGTGTCACATTACGAGACTACACACCAGCATTGGCTGCAGGCTTCTCTGATAATGCATTGATACCCATTTTCGTCAAGAGTTGCATTATGGTCATTTTGCAGTCAGGTATGTGAGGGAGAAAACTTGTTTGGTATCTGCTATTTTTAGCCATCTCACACAAATATAGACATGTCGATTGAAGGGGTCTTTCGTAAGAATGGCAATATTCGTCAACTTAGGACACTATCAGAATCAATAGACCAGCTCAAATCAACGACGACTTCGATGGCCGCCATGGAAGAATTGCTCGCAAATCAGAATGCAATCCAATTAGCTGCACTCCTCAAACGATACCTTCGCGAATTGCCTGAACCATTGATGACATTTTCATTATACAAATTGTTTGTTCAATGTGGGCGTATCGTGCAAGACCAAGAACAAAAGAAAAAGGTGCTTCATCTGGCATGTTGCTTGCTGCCAAAGCCAAACCGAGATACAGTCATGATGTTATTCTGCTGCCTCAAGTGGGTGTCTACATTTAGTGACACTAACAAAATGGATATCCCCAATCTAGCGCGTGTCATTGCGCCTAGCGTATTATTCGACAAACCTTCCCAGACATCCAGTGCATCTATTGCGGCGACTACTTCTGCTGCAGTAGATCTTCGTCAAGGGGCGCAAGAAGAAATTAATGTAATTGAAACATTGATTCGAGAAGTAGACGATTTATCTATAGTTAGTAAAAGCCATACCGCACGCTGTAGTCAATATGAGATGCTCATCAACATTTCTTTACGTATAGATTCCTTCTGATTTGACAATATTCACATTGCATGACATCAATCAGGATATGGCTGATCTGAATTCAAGGCACTTTGTACACCACTACCAACAATTGCTCACAGAAATGCAGAATCAGCGGTCAAAGAGCGAAAACAACAGCCCTGTAACACCAACCAGCTCTGGTAGAAAATTGACGCAATCTACACTGCTGCTGAAGCACCATATTGGCATTCCAAAGCCATTGAGTTTCCAAAGTAACAACAACAGCAATTCTTCACCCAAAGTGATTATACAGGCCCCTTCAGCAAAGCAAAGAAGGACATCATGGATACCTGGGTTAAAGTAGATTGCATTAAATCATAACAACAAGCGCGCAAACCAAACAAAAAATTGCATCTCTTTCTCTTCATCATGAATATCACCCTATTACTTACTTATTCTTATTCTTATTATTAATGTATACCGATTATTTTGTTTCTAATGTATGTCATGTATTAAAGTTCCTTTTAGTATTAAATCATTATTATCGCAGTGATTTGGAATAAACCATGTTATTGTGCAGCACTAGTTAATTACATATGAATCTCCCCTTCTTCGCCCCTTACTATTCATTTATGGCACTATATTTAACACATTTGCTGTTTAAGGCAAAATCGCCCTGCTTGGTGGTGAATGCTCTTTGTTTTTTTTTTATGTAAAATTGCATAATTGCCTTGCGTTGCGTAAGAGGTCGTGGGCAGACGGACAAGTTTGGACAGCTTTAGACTATCAATACAAGTGCACCTTATAGAATGCATTTACTAGAAATAGTAACATACTATCGAATAATGCATATACAATTTCTGTAATTGGGCCTCTTTGTATGACTAGATGGTACCCATTTAGAGAGTTGATTATTCTGTCCAAGGTGGCTACAAGGAGACGCAATGATCGTCGAAATAGAGCTCTAATAACGAATAAACGTCTTTATGAAAAATGGGATTCCCGCTTATTCTTCCATACCATTGTGCAGCTTGTATGCGAAGCAATGTATGATATAATGCCTCGTGATAATAAAAATAATTCTTATTTGGGGATATTTATTCGATATCAGTCTATTTATGTGTTATCTGATGGAATTCTTGTAATTACTATTTGAAAAATTAGCAAAGCATCTGCATGTCTAACCGGGCCATTCAAATATACTGGCAAGTTGCTTGAGTGTACATAAAAATCATTGGATTTTGCAGCGTTAAAAGTGCCCTCATTTCAGGCACATCTTGTGCAAGAAGCAATCAGTTTGGTCGTTTATTTAGCCCAGCAAGGGATTTTGTCATGTTAGTTTTCTTTCTTGTTCAGAGAAACGATTCAATATTAAGTTCTTCAAATCTGTTCAACTATTACAAGTATATGTTATACTTGTACAATAAATAATGTAGCAGATGTTAAAGTGTTTAATGACGAGCTATTCACTTTGAACTGCTAAGGTTACTACATGCACCATGCTTTGACAAGAGCTGACTCAGGCCTACCAATGCTATTGAGATAGGCCCTTCTTATTGCAGTAAAAAAGGGTTAAAAAAGCAGGCGGAATACTGTTAAAATCCTTCTTTATTCGAAATTAGGATAATGTGCAATAAAATGTATATTCTACGTCTCTATTTATATTATTTGTTTTATATCTCTTATCTGGCAGCAGTTTAGTAGCTGTCAGTGATTCTAGTATTTTGTATATTATTATTGGGTTATTTACTTGTTAATCTGATGGATCAAGAACGACATTTCAATATATGGTTTGTGGATCACGCGTAAAATAGCTCTATATTGATAAGCATATATTTTTTTAGGTTTATTTATGTAATAGCACATTGCAATAAAAATATCCTTGACATTTAGCTTAGTATCTGTCGTCTTTTATCTTTAGAGTATTTTATTCTTGCTATCATTATGCTAATACTACTATTATGTATGATTACCTGCTGATGGTAGCATGGCTTGATTGATATGACATTTATTTTAGGTCTTCTTGCTTATGATGATTGAAGTGAACTAGACTAGATTCCCATCATAAACAAAACCCAAAATAAATGTCATCTCAGTCAAACCATGCTACCATCAGCAGATAGGCATGCATAATAATAGTATTAGCATGATGATAGCAAGGGTTAAATGCTCTAAAATAAGAGATGACAGATACTAAAGTAAATGTCAAGGGTATTGTAATATGTTGTAACATAAATATACCTAAAAAGGATACAGGCTCAACAATAAAGAGCTATTCTTTACGCATGATTCAAAAACCATATATTGAAATACCGTTCTTGATCCATCAGATCAACAACTAAATGACCCAACAAAAATATATAAAGTAATGGAATCACTGGCAACTACTAAACTGCTGCCAGATAAGAGATATAAACCAAATAATATAAATAGAGACGTAGAATATACATTTTATTGCACATTATCCTAATTTCGAATAAAGAAGGATTTTAACAGTGTTCTACCTGCTTTTTTAACCCTTTTTTACTGCAATGATGATAATGATGATGGGAATCTAGTCAAGTTCACTTCCCTTAAAACCGATTCTCCTGGCCATAATTACGTCTAAAACCAAGAATGCAGCTATATTTATTCGATACTGTAGTAACAACAATTATTCCCCATTTCCCAGGTTTATTCTGAAAACTAACATTATATTGCATATATGTATACTTTTCTGAAATGAATCAAAAATCGGTAATTCTTTATCGGGTCAACAAAAGGCCAAGTAATTTCAAACTCAGTTATCGGAGTTTATGCTGATTTGAAACCACGCCCCTGCCAAGATGACGATGGTGTAAACCAAATCTGCGTAGGTAGCATGTTTGTTGAGAAAATGGAGAATTTTGAAATTGGTTAATATTAGACAGAGGGTATTAGTAGAACTTTTTAGATTACTATATGAATGCGGTATATATGTATAGTAAAAGTTGTAGAGGTTACTTTTGTTGATTAGGGAATGTTGTATTTGGGTTTGCTGAGAAGGATGTCGATGAGTAATAATGAAGAAAAAGAGTGAAAATGGACAAATTTCAAAGGGCCGTACCGGTTGATTTTACCAAGTGAACATGAGCTTCAAGCTTAATAGCTTCTGTTTCTTTTTCAATTCTCTATACGATAATATGGTTATTATTATAGATAAATAAAAAAAATTCTGATTATCCCCTGCTTGTAGCTCATGAAATATAAGATTTTGAGCAAATCTATGATGAAGGGAACGTACATCTGGTACTTTAAACCCTCACATTATGATGGATATAACGTAGAGCTATCGAATTGTTTTGTCTTGTGCGAGTCGGATAAATACTTGTTGAGATACAGCCAAAAAAGGGTATCATGCAAAATCATGGATTTTTCTTCAAAATCTGCCTGTGATAGCAAGCAAAAAATCTGGTGACGATTCTTTGGTCAGGACAAGATTGTCAATATTTCATAATAGAGCTATGCCAGAGCTTCAAGCAATAGCTCATTCGATGGGAAATTTTTTGCTCTACAATGTTTAGTAGTGCTTAACAAAATGTTTTGATGACAGATACTGTTTAATCTTTTGAAAACAGTCAAAAAGTTGCAAAAACAATTGTATCAAATATCAGGTGAACAATATATACCAGACACTTGAGACAAATACCATTGTACTCTGCTTGCAATTCTCTAAAAGTCCCATATAAGTTTGAAGGGGTGTTTACTATCAAGAAACGTGTAATTTTAAGGTCGATAGATTTCGGAATCCCATGGATCATCATTCAGAACAATAGAAATTGAAGCTCTGTTGATCCTCCGCATGTGTACATCACACAAGTGTGCATTTGATCCAGCATTTTAAAAATCGGAGCGTACGAAAAGGGCCATATTAACTTGCTGGTTTCAAGTTATCAATAGATACCTGACATGCTGAAGAATTTTGATGTTGAGACTATACAACTGTAACTTGCTTTGTTCGATTACAGTAAGATTTGCAATTTAAGGTTTGTATATTCCTCAAAATAAATGTCATCTCAATCAAGTCATGCTACCATCACAGGTAAGCATACGTAATAATATTATTGTTAGCGTGATCATAGCAAGGGTAAGCACTCTAAAAATAAGAGATGACTGATAATACAGCAAATGTCAAGGGTATTTATATTGCAATGTACTGTCACATAAATAAACTTATAAAAGATACATGCTCAACAGCAAAGAGCTACCCTGTGCGCATGATTCACAAACTACATATTTAGATTCCTTTCTTTATCCATCAGATCAATAACTATATAACCCAACAATCATATTATACTGTAAAAAATAATGGAATCACTGGCAGCTACTACACTGCTGCTAAATAAGAGATATAAGCCAAATAACATAAATAGACATGTAGAATATACATTTTATTGGAGAATATCCTAATTTCGAACGAATAAGATTTGTAACAGCGTTCTATCTGCTATTTATAAGTTGGATAATATATAAGTGTACTAATTGCCGCATGATCTAGTTGTGGAATTTGAGGCTTTATAGACTAAAATTCACGGGAAAAAAGAATAAGAAAAACAGTAAAGTCAACTTGATAAAGGTATGTTTCATTATCACACTGACAGGTGTAAAGTAAATTGAAGTCTTTCTACTGGCCAGGTAGATGATCCTTCTTATTATATACTATAACAATGGATAAAAGGTCTATTAATTAGATTGACAAATAAGTCAACTCAGCTCCAGCAAGCTAATCATGGTTTAGCTTTTGCCTGTATGAGTAATTAGACTCTCATCCGAAGTACCTTGATCTATCCTTTCTATAAGGATAATTAATATCTATCTAGTAGCATGTATCCGATAGGTACAGTCTCCTTAGTCTATATCAATAGTACATATTTGAGTGTATATCGCGAATACACTGTGATCAGGAATGATTCATTCACACGATGTGCGATATAAGCGTGTATCTTTACTTTAGTATGTTTAAATGGTTGTTGATGTACATTTGAGCGCTTTTACTAATAGATCCAAATAGCATGAATTTGAATGAGTACTATTTGATGAATTTCGGTTTTCAATCAAGTTGCGTTTGGGTGGCTATTTCATTATGCCTTGAAATACTACTAGTAAGGTTTGAACACATTGGCATTTAATTTTTCAATGTTGCTATAATCCTAACGGTAAAGGTGCTATAACCATGTTCTCCGTAGTAGTCAGCGCTTTTATTAAACTGTAATAATGCTTATGCCATATTGGCCTTGGCTTATATTTTGTGGTAGCAATTCTTGACCATATTATGGTACATTAAAATGAAAGTAATTAGGAAGCCTAAATTCAAACATACAACGCTCTGAATTGTATGAGACTTTCTAAAGATAAAACAAAGTTCGTTTGTATATAACGAGCTACACAACGAGGTCAGTAAAATAAGAGTAACGAAAATATATGCCTTACAGCAAAAAAACCAAAAAATATTGCTATTTAATTATATTACATTTACAAAACGAGCGGCGTGTCAGGGTTGATGGGTATTCTGACAGTGATTTAGATCTGCAGGATATCATTGACAGGCTAAACACAAACAAAAATTAGAAGCGCAGGTTTAAATTTAGAGCGCCAGCTCCCAGGAACATCAAACAGCGATTAACCTGGATAACACACAACATTACACAGACTATATTGGATAAAATCAATATCCAAATCTAATAGTAATAAAGACACCTTTTTATCCACTCAAAAGGCTATAACATCTTCCTACACACTCTCTATATCAACTTCCATTTATATCTCAATCAAATCTCAGATTGCATATACTACCTCTACATATTAGCATCTGACAGGCGATTGCGTGCCCCCGTGGCCTAATGGATAGGGCGTGAGACTCCTAATCTTAAGATTGTGGGTTCGAATCCCACCCGGGGTATCTTCATTTTGCATAGGACAAATTTGTGATGGAAAATCAGAAATAATTTTTATTTTTGAATCAATGGATTACATTATTTTTTTTTATTTTATTTTCTTTGCTTGCAATCATCACTGAAACAAGGAATCCGATAGCTTGAGTTCACATTTGCTTGGGAATGAAACGAGTAAACGGATTCTCCGATTCTTGCTGGATTTTTAAGCAACAATATTGTTACTCTCAGGAATTTGCAAGAAGAATCAATGCATTATTCAGGTTGTCAAGACTTTATTTGTAGATGTATATTAAATTGGAATTCAAGCATCTGTATTGCTTAATGCAGTCATGCGTTGAATAAGATCAGTCATTCTATCATCAATAACTTTGATGTTGTTGTTAATTGATTCATCATTCTCTTTCAAACTCTGATTGAGCTGTTATTAAAAATATTAGACTCTGCTCCTTATACAATGTACATGTACTTACCAAATCACAAGTTGTAGTCAAGCTCTTCAGCTCATCCGTCATCCTGGTCTGCTCCTCAGAAATAACCTTGACTGATTTACCAAACGATGCGGCTTCTGTATGCAATGTTTGTAATGCCTTGAGTCTTGTCAACAAGGCAGGCGTTAAATTCAAAAGTGGGTCCACTTTTTCAAGGGTTGCGAATAGTTTGTTAATCTACAGGAATGAGTCAAAACATTGATCTACCCCTTCCACGCCACTGTAACTTTTACCTTTGCCTCATTATCATTGCTATCCTTATTGGCTGCTTCATTTGCAGAAGGGGTATTTTGAGGATTGATGGCACTGGATAGTCCAAATCCCAAACTGGAGGTATCCTTACGACTAGATTTCAATTCATTCAATCGATCCAAATCGCTGTTCAACACCTTGACTCTTCTAGCAACCATTTCCAACTGTCTAGGTTGAGCCAAGACAAGCACTTGTTGTTCCAATTTAGAGAGCGAGTTGACAAGCGAAGTAGAAGCAAGGTTTTGTGGCTAAATCATCTCGTCAGAACACATGCAATGGTTAATATGCACGCCTTACTTACCAGTTCATCCAAAGCTTGACCAGCATTCGATCCAACAAGCTTCTCGATCTTTGCAATACGCTCATCAATATCTGATAGTTTGCTTTCTTTCTGCATCTTGGCTGTCTCAGGGGTATAGAAAAGTTCATAGGTGACCATATCATTCTTATCACTCTTTTCTGATACAGCTGTGTCGCTCTCTTCCTTCTTATCAGATGCTGTAGTGGCAGGTATATTCTTGAATGCTTCCAATTGCTTGATGAGTGATTTTGCGTCCTCGATGGATTTGCCATAATTTGACTTTTGACTCAAACCATCATCTCCAATCTGTTGATTCATTCTGACTAGATCTGATTGCAAATAAGCTATTTGTGAAAGGATATCAGATTGCGAAATGGTTTCTTTGGCATCTGCTGGTTCCTAGAGACAGAAATCAGATTCTGAAAGGCTGAATTCAGGGTATACTCACTTTTGCCTTCTCCATTTCATCATTCAGTTCCTGAACTTCATACATCAGACGACGCAATTTCTGTAAGGGTGTTTCATCCAAAGACAAGTTCTTGGGCAAGATTTCATATTCATTTGTTTCCATGGCTGGTGGACGCTTAACGTAGGTGCGGTACATGGCCTTCTTTCTGCGAGTCAGGCGATCCGAGAAATCTAATACGTTGTTAACAGTGCTGTTTCATGTATAAAAAATTGCGAATCATACCAGTATCCGTGGAATCAACAATGCTTCCTTTGAACCTATTGGCAGCATCTTTAACAGAAACACGAGATTTCACAACATTCTCGTTGTCGTCTTCATCACTTGACTATGGAGGATGGGGTCAGTTTGTTTATAAACGTAAATCCAGAGCAATACTTGTGTACCTGGTTTTCATAAGAGACGTTGGTAACATTGTCAGTTGAATCAGGCGTCTCGTAAACGTCTGGCTGATCATCCTACGCACTTGTCTATCAGTGATTTCCGTTGTCTATAACGATCTCATCAACTTACAATATCCGGGAGAGTAGAGTACTTTGAAGACATGATCACTCAAGATATATATATAAAAAAAAAAAGTATCAAAGGTGAAGAGCCCAATTAACGAATTATATTAGCACTTTTATTCATTTGAAAGAGTGAGCAGCTGTGACACGCACAACTGAATTTACACAAAATCATGGTAGTACTCTTGACTTGGTTGCTGCATTTGATGGACCTTGCTTCTCAGGTATGCATTTTCCTGCTCCAATTCATACATTTCCCTACATCCTGCATTATTAAACAAGACTTGGCAGAGGCATATATCAATACCGACGATTTGTAGTATTTCAATTGTTTCAATTCGTGTTTGGCTTGATCAATCACCTTGTCCTGCTTTGCGATTTTCGATCTTAGATACTCTATCAAGTTTGTCATGGCATTGAAGCGGAACTATAGACATGAGCACACCATTCCAAGACATTTGCAATAGAGCAACAGTCTACCTCAATAATCTTTTCAGCATTGTTGAACAGACTCCTCGTCGATGTCAGAAACCCCATGCCATTTCTCGGTACCTTGAATCCTGGCATCAGCACAACCACCCTCACTCACTCTCTCTCTCTATTGTCAGTAGCCTGTACCTTGTCACCTATGCATGCAAACTTGGATCTCTTTTTGCAAATAGGACACATTTGCTCGTTTTCGTTGTAACAACTGTCTCCACATATAAGATGGCCACAGTCCGTCATGTAATCCCATTCTGTCAAAGCCCTTCCACAAAAATCACATCCAAACATCTTGTGTGTGTGTGTGTGTGTGTGTGTGCGTGTTGTAATTAATATTTAATCAATGATCAAAGATTGAAATAGCAGAGAGCGTGTGGTGTAGTGGGGGGGGGGGGATATGCAAATTTACAAAAGAGAAAAAAAGAAAAGAGAGAATAAAATAAGAATCTAATTGTTGACAGAGTATTTGTAACTATTAAAAAAAAAAAAGCATAAAAAATGAGTTGCATGTCATGTAAGCCCTTCTCAACAAAACCTACCCGCATTTTTTACAGTTGTAAAAGACTGTTTGACCTTCATCAGCAGAGCGCAATTGCATAGTGTGGTATTCCATTTCATGATGACCACAAGAGGGGCATTTTTCTTTGATCTAATATCAAAAGGCATGTTAGCTATACATTCAGATGTCACTCTGCAGCACTTACAATAGCTCTGGCTTGCTTGTTTTCCTTGCTTTGTTGGACTAAATGACGCTTGGATTTCAAAGCTGATTGGAAAGAACGTTCAGATGAAGTGGTGATGACTTCTGTGGCTTCGACACCGGCTGTTCTAAATGCACAGCTACATTGATTACATAATAAAATATCGTCGTCGCCACCTGCCATATCCAAAAGGTTACCGCACTCAGGACAAAAGGTGAGTGAACCGATGATATTAGCAGGAGATTCAGTTGCCATGTTGTGTGTTAAGAAAGTTGAAATTGACAGTTGAAAGCAAGTAGAAATGTTCAAATCGAAAAACAGATAAAAAAAAAAAATATTACAGTGGCTTATTGAACATAAGGCAGTCAATTTGCATTGATGTGCCAGCTTTATTACATAATTTACTCTTCATCGCTCTCCTCTTCCTCTTCTGATTCCTCCTCTGCTTCGTCTAACCACTCAATGAACTTGGTAGCCTTTTCTCTTAACTTGGCTTCTGCGGAAGTTGCCTTTGACAAGTCAGTATTGTACCATCTTCTGATTGCTTCTTCTTCCACAATGTCAGCATTGTAAAATAACTGTAAGGCGCCCAAGAATAACTTGCCTAGGTATTCTTGGGATGCACAATGCTTTTGCAAGACCTGCAAGACATGCAGTTGGTCTTCTGGTAAATGTGTCATCTTGCCAATGAGAGGTGCCCATTTGGTCAATACAGTCTTCAAGCTTGCAACAGAATTGTTGCGATCAATATGGTCCATCACGATGGGGATCATGACCTCACGAATGTCAGTGTAGGAACCATTACTGGACATACGCAAGCCGGTAACTTCTAATGCAGCAGTATATACAGTGTGATTCTCGTCCAGAGAGCGTTCAATGGTTTGTGCAATTTCTTTCTTGAATTCTTCTGTCTTGCGGGCCATGCTGTTTTCAAGTGCCCATGATCCATTGAGTGAACCAATGTCTGAATCGTCGTCGTCAGATTCTCCCACTTCACTTGCACTATCAGTGATATCTCCATCCTTGAGAACAAGATCAGCCATGTCATAGGCCAAAGAACCCAGTTTCACATTTCGAATATCCACATCATCATCGTCGGATTGCAGAGTCCAGAAATAAACTGTAGGGTGATCACCTGTGAGAACTTGCTGGCGTTCTTCCTCATCATCTTCCTCGTCGCTGCTTTCGTCAAACATGCTGTTCTTGGGTTGAGGCAAAAGACTCAGTCTAGAGTATTTGGGAATGTGGGCTTCAGGGCCAAGAGTGACGCCAAGTGATACAAGACAACCTTGAGCAATAGTGGTATTTTCCAGAATGTTGACATTGTTGGCAATGATACTCTTCTCAACTGTACAGCTGTCGCCAATGGTGACATTATCCCACAGAAAAGCGCCTTCCAATACAATATTGTCGCCAATGGTACAGTTCTTTCCAATGATTGAATTTCCAATGCGCGTGTTTTCTCCAATGCGTGTGCCTGATCCAATTTGCACATTTTCATCAATGATACAGGACCTCGATAAAACGACATTCATAGATTTGTAAATGTTTCCTCTCACAAATTCATAATCATCGCCTGCTCTCAAGTTGGTTTCAGGCACAATAGGGAATGCCCAACGGTTGAGAATATGGTTGCTGGTAGTGCTGTACAGTTGTTCGTTCTGCACACGAGCGACGTAGGGCTCAAACACAAGGTTGGTATAGATGGTCTTGCCCAAAATATCAGATGTCAAAATACCGTGAACGAAATCGCTGCGTAGACGTTGCCAGTCAAAGTTTTCTGTAAACAAAGCAGGCACTTCAACAGAGCAAATGTCGAGATAAGGATCAACAAGGTCGTTACGGAATTCGATTTGAGGTCTATTTTCAAAAATCTCGGGTGAAATCTCCATGCGATGTTTGCGAGGAAGTGACACGACAGATTCGTAATAGACGCATTGGTGTGTGTTGGGATCCAAGACAAAAACACTGTTGGAATCCTTGGCTCTACATACCATGCTTTAGCTGTATTCAGTTGACTCACTCTGTTCCATATTGACATACCTTGCAGTGTGAGTACGAGAGGCTTCCTTGAGAAGCATGGTCATTATGGAGTTCTTGTCTGTTTTTTTGCGAGCACGATGTTCTTCCAGAACCTTGTCCAGTTTGATGTTGGAGATGAGTTCACCAGTTGTCAAGATGAAATCGGTGGTGATCAATTGGCGAGCATCGAGTTCACGCAGTGCATCGCCAACAGACATACACTCGGGTGTGGCTACAATCTTTACGGAAAGTCTAGAGTTGGGTTTCATCCATTCAGATTGTCTAGTAGTAAGCGAGGGATGAGTCAACAACCTGCGTTCAAAGTGTGTGTGCGAATACATACTCAAAATACGCTTTGATGGCATCGATGTGTGTTGTACAGACAATGAATACTTCAAAAATATCTACAGTAGCCAGCAGTTCCATGGTGTATTCGATTAATGGAATATTGCAAACTGGCATCAAACACTACACACATTGTTAGTACTGGTATCGACATGTGGTTGAGTCGACATTTACTTTAGGCATCTCGTGAGAGATAGGGAGGAATTGCTCCTCGAATGAGTCTGTTAAAATGACAGCTTGGAAGGGTGCTTCCTCCTCTTCGTTGTTCTCGTGGTTGTTGGGCTTCTTTTGCTTGGGAGGCATGATGTTGATGGTTCACTAGAGAGTACAAAAAAGTGATATCGCGTTCATTTAATCCCATGAAAAACTGTGCCTCATATTTTTTTTCGTCCTTGTTCCCGGTGACTACGTTTACTTTTGAAGGTTTGCTTTGCTTGATCCATAGCTGCATGAAAGCATTTAATCTAGGCACCAAAGAGAAAAGAAAAAAGAGCAATGCTCGAGTACCAACTTGTACTCTACGCTCTGCTGTTGCGATGACGTACCTGCTCGAAATCTGCTTCTATGGAGCACTTCTTCATGGCAACCAAATGAGATGTAGATGTCAAGCAAAGAGCACGGACAAAGTGTAGTATTCTCGGCGTCTTGATTTCAACATGGCCATGACACCAAGTACATCTGATCCGCCATTATATACTAAAAACTGGATCAACACTTTTCTTCTTATGTGAGGGTCGTTCAAATACAATCTAAAATTGTAGATTTGACGCTCCTATGATGCTCCACATCTGTATCAATGGGAGCAACGCATTAATGGACCTACATCATACCTCGCGCAACCTCTTACTGTTCAAAAAGTATGCAAAAGACAGCGAAAACTGCGTGCATTTAAGCAATGATTTCTCGTGTTAGAAGCTGTATTAGACCGCCAGAGCAGTACCAAACAAATGCTTTCAACTAGTAGTTACTTCCTGACATTTTTGCTTGATTTTTTTGGGATCGCCAAAAATCGGCTGCAGACTATGAGGAGTACCTCATGGTTTTCATCGAAAATCAAACGATCGCATTTTTCTCCTCAAAAACGAAGACTTTTGCTATGGTATATAGTAAATCAAAATGTTCCTCTCAATCCAAAGCAACCCCTAAAACCTCTCCTGTGAGAACTTCATATGCAAAATCTCAACATTTTGGCCAAAAACCTCATTTTCTATTTTCAAACATTGCTCAAAAAGCTTATTCAAAGCAACACTTTTAAATGGCACCATTAGATGCATCTCAAAAAGCACTCCTAGATAGCTTAAGGGAGCATGGGATTAGGACTACAGTTCATATAGTCGAATCTGGCAAAATAGGTCGAATAAGGTCCTAAACGTTCAAAAATCATCAAATCAAATCTCGAACGATTCGCGGAGATTTAATTAATTTTGGCTTCTTTCTGGCAGAAAAATGTCACTTTTTTGGTCATTATTATTATAATGCCTATGAAAGCTTTTAAGAAGATTACGAATTGGAAGTAGCAGTACTACTGTACATCAGGTGCATCAAGTGTAGTCTGTAAGATACATCAACAGGTCCTTATACCCGTCAATGAAAAGCATAGTTCAAACAATTGATGATTATATAAATAATAGTAGAGAGCTTTTTTATTCAATATTGTACAAAGATGATGTGATCCCTGATCGCCATTGTAAGTTATTGGCGTTTTTTGTTGGGTTTATGCAAAAGCATAGCATGGGCAGATTGAGGAGCAAACTTCTTGATGGCTGCAATTAACTCGGGAAATCTCAGAGGCTTGGTGACATATTCATCCTATTGAAGATTCATGTTAATATTTATGAAATACTTTCAAGCATACGTGATTGAATGCGTACCATGCCAGACTGCAGACATTTTTCACGATCCCCAATCATTGCATGTGCAGTTAAGGCAATGATAGGTACATGAGAGTGGGTACCAGCATTGTGTTCAAGTTCACGAATCTTTTGGGTTGCTTCAAAACCACCCATGATGGGCATTTGAACATCCATCAGGATCAAGTCGTAGGTATTGGCTTCAAATGCTTCCACAGCTAATTTACCATTGGATACAATTTCCACCTTGTGCCCAAACTTCTCCAAGATACGCACGGCCAGCTTTTGATTCACAATATTGTCCTCTGCCAACAAAATTTCCAAGGGAACGGGTATAGCGGAATCACTTGGCAGAGAAGAATTACTTTCAAGTGCAGGCAGCAGCGTGTAAGCAAGATCTGACATGCTCACCGGAGAATTGATGTAGCCTGTAATGCCCAAATCGATGCACAGCTTCATGTTGAGACGATGAATTTCAGGTGCAATGAGGATAATGGGTGTATAACGCAAGTGAACAGCCTCGCGGATCTTTTCTGCGTACGCCATGTTGTCTACTAGAACAGTGTCAAAGATGGGCGGCTGCTTGTTGTTTTGTGCTTGGAATACAGGCAAACTAGTCATATTCACTGCTTCCGATATGCCAGTGACGCGGAAGGGGTTCAGTCCAAGTTCCTTGAGCTTGGATTCTACTTGCATCTGGTCTCCAGTACCGTCCAAAAACAAAATATTACGTCCCTTGAATCGCTTCATCTTTTCAAATGCGTCATGTTGCTCCTTGGGGTATCTCTTGAAGTTGAGCGTAAAGTAGAATTGAGAGCCACGACCGTACATGGATGTCACCCATAGATCACCGCCCATCAACTGCACCAAATGCTTGGAGATGGATAAACCAAGACCAGTGCCACCGTATTCACGACTAGAGTATATATCGTTAGCACTTTATCATCATCTCTATGCTACTTTTCACTTACGTTGTTGAACCATCAGCTTGACAGAAAGTATCGAAAATGACGTTCAACTTGTCCTCTTGAATACCGATACCAGTGTCCTTGACACAGAGCTCAACAATCACATCATCACCTAGAATGCTGACCACCTTGGTTTCCAAAGCAACTTCACCTTGTGTAGTAAACTTGACGGCATTGCCAATCAAGTTGGTAATGACTTGTCTCAAACGAAGAGGATCGCCAATCAATTGATCAGGAATAGCACTGTCCACGTTGTAGATAAGGTCCAGCTTCTTTTGATTTGCCTTGACAGCTAATGTCTTGAGTACGCTAAAGATGGCAGATCTCAGCGAGAATGGAATTGACTCTATTGTCATACGACCAGCTTCAATCTTGGAGATATCCAGAATATCGTCAATGATACTCAGCAGACTGTTGGCCAGACTGGATACAATCATCAGGTTCTCTCTTTGTTGACGCGTCAGTTCAGTTTCCAAGGTCAAAGATGTCATACCAATGATACCATTCATGGGCGTACGGATTTCATGACTCATGTTGGCCAGAAACTCACTCTTGGATCGATTGGCTAATTCAGCAGCTTCTCTTGCTTGTCTGTTCTTTTGGATGGCATCACGCAAAGAGTTGACCATTTGATTAATCTTGGTCTTGAGAGAGTCCATTTCACCAGATGCTTCAACAGTAATCAAGCGAGAGAAATCGTTCTCGGTAGCAGCAGCAGAGATTTGAGCAAACGCACGCACTTGCGTCGTCAGATTGGAAGCCATGGTATTGACGTTGCTAGTAATGTCTCTCCACAGACCCTCAATGTCTTCAACTTGAGCCTGGACACCCAATTTACCTTCTGTACCAACTTCCATGGCAACTCTGGTCACCTCAGAGGCAAACGAACTCAATTGATCCACCATCGTATTGATGGTATTCTTTAATTCAGCAATTTCGCCATGAACTTCAACTTCAATCTTCTTGGATAAATCACCTTGCGCAACAGCCTTACATACAGCAGCAATAGAACGCAATTGATCCGTCAAGTTGCTGGCCATCAGGTTAACATTGTCCGTTAGATCCTTCCAGGTGCCATCCACGCCAATGATGGTGGCTTGACCGCCCAGTTTGCCCTCGGTTCCTACTTCGCGAGCCACACGTGTCACCTCAGATGCAAACACTCTCAACTGATCCACCATACTGTTCACTGTGATCTTGAGTTCCAGAATCTCACCACGCGTCTCGACATGAATCTTCTTGCTCATGTCGCCACTAGCCACAGCTTTGGTTACTTCAGCAATCGAGCGTACTTGAGTTGTGAGATTAGCAGCCATGATATTGACGTTATCAGTCAGCTCATTCCAGGTACCAGCAACGCCCTTGACAACAGCTTGTCCACCTAGCTTGCCCTCAGTACCGACTTCCTTGGCTACACGCGTTACTTCTGAGGCAAATACACGAAGCTGATCTACCATGTCATTGACAGTGTTCTTGAGTTCTGATATCTCACCACCAGATTCTACTTCAATCTTTTTGGAAAGGTCACCAAGAGCAACTGCTTTTGTAACTTCAGCGATAGATCTAACTTGGTTGGTCAAATTGGCGGCCATTTGGTTCACATTGTCAGTTAGGTCCATCCAGGTACCGTCGATATTTGGCACAAGAGCTTGACCACCTAGCTTGCCGTCTGTACCGACTTCTCTGGCCACACGAGAGACTTCAGAAGCAAAGACATTCAGTTGGTCCACCATATCATTCACCGTATTTTTGAGCTCGGAAATCTCGCCACCAGACTCAACTTCAATCTTTTTTGAAAGATCGCCAAGAGCAACAGCCTTGGTTACTTCTGCAATGGAACGCACCTGAGATGTCAAATTGGCAGCCATTTGATTGACATTGTCCGTCAAATCCATCCAAGTTCCACCTACATTGGGGACTACAGCTTGACCGCCTAGCTTACCATCTGTGCCAACCTCCTTGGCAACACGAGTAACTTCTGATGCAAACACATTGAGCTGGTCTACCATACTGTTGACTATGTTTTTCAGCTCGAGAATCTCGCCGCCCGATTCTACTTCAATCTTCTTTGAAAGATCGCCCAGTGCAACAGCTTTAGTCACCTCCGCAATAGATCTAACCTGGGTGGTTAAATTGGCAGCCATCTGGTTGACATTGTCTGTGAGATCCATCCACGTGCCGCCCACGTTAGGCACCACGGCTTGGCCACCGAGTTTGCCATCAGTTCCTACCTCGCGAGCCACACGAGATACCTCAGAAGCAAAGACGTTGAGCTGATCCACCATGTCATTCACTGTATTCTTCAATTCAGAAATCTCACCGCCAGATTCAACTTCAATCTTTTTAGAAAGATCACCGAGAGCGACTGCCTTAGTAACTTCAGCAATAGATCTTACTTGAGACGTGAGATTAGCAGCCATTTGGTTGACATTGTCTGTCAGATCCATCCAAGTACCACCGACATTAGGTACCACAGCCTGGCCACCAAGTTTACCATCAGTTCCTACTTCTCGAGCCACACGAGACACCTCAGATGCAAACACATTCAACTGATCCACCATGCTATTGACAATGTTTTTGACTTCCAGGATTTCACCACCTGATTCAACTTCAATCTTTTTAGAAAGATCACCGAGAGCGACAGCCTTAGTAACTTCGGCAATGGAACGTACTTGAGACGTGAGATTAGCAGCCATCTGGTTGACATTGTCTGTCAGATCCATCCAGGTACCATCGACATTAGGCACCACAGCCTGGCCACCGAGTTTTCCTTCTGTACCGACTTCTCGAGCAACACGAGACACCTCAGATGCAAACACATTCAACTGATCTACCATGTCATTCACAGTGTTCTTTAGCTCAGAAATTTCGCCACCGGATTCCACCTCGATTTTCTTGGACAAATCACCGAGAGCGACAGCCTTAGTAACTTCAGCAATGGAACGTACTTGAGAAGTAAGGTTTGCAGCCATCTGGTTGACGTTATCCGTCAGATCCATCCAGGTACCCCCAACATTAGGCACCACAGCCTGGCCACCGAGTTTACCATCAGTTCCTACTTCACGAGCCACACGAGACACCTCAGAAGCAAAGACGTTGAGCTGATCCACCATGTCATTGACAGTATTCTTCAATTCAGAAATCTCACCGCCAGATTCAACTTCAATCTTTTTTGAAAGATCGCCAAGAGCAACAGCCTTGGTTACTTCTGCAATGGAACGCACCTGAGATGTCAAATTGGCAGCCATTTGATTGACATTGTCCGTCAAATCCATCCAGGTACCATCGACATTAGGCACTACTGCCTGGCCACCGAGTTTGCCATCAGTTCCTACCTCGCGAGCCACACGAGATACCTCAGAAGCAAAGACGTTGAGCTGATCCACCATGTCATTCACTGTATTCTTCAATTCAGAAATCTCACCGCCAGATTCAACTTCAATCTTCTTAGAGAGATCACCCAGGGCAACGGCTTTAGTGACTTCAGCAATAGATCTTACTTGAGACGTGAGATTAGCAGCCATTTGGTTGACATTGTCTGTCAGATCCATCCAAGTACCACCGACATTAGGTACCACAGCCTGGCCACCAAGTTTACCATCAGTTCCTACTTCTCGAGCCACACGGGAGACCTCAGATGCAAACACATTCAACTGATCCACCATGCTATTGACAATGTTTTTGACTTCCAGGATTTCACCACCTGATTCAACTTCAATCTTTTTAGAAAGATCACCGAGAGCGACTGCCTTAGTAACTTCAGCAATGGAACGTACTTGAGAAGTAAGGTTTGCAGCCATTTGGTTGACATTGTCTGTCAGATCCATCCAGGTACCATCGACATTAGGCACCACAGCCTGGCCACCGAGTTTTCCTTCTGTACCGACTTCTCGAGCAACACGAGACACCTCAGATGCAAACACATTCAACTGATCTACCATGTCATTCACAGTGTTCTTTAGCTCAGAAATTTCGCCACCGGATTCAACTTCAATCTTCTTTGAGAGATCACCCAGGGCAACAGCTTTAGTTACCTCGGCAATCGAACGGACTTGATCCGTCAAATTGGCAGCCATGATATTCACATTGTCTGTCAAGCTTTCCCAAGTACCAGCTACACCTTGCACTACAGCCTGGCCTCCGAGTTTGCCTTCCGTTCCTACTTCTTTGGCTACACGCGTCACCTCAGAAGCAAATACACGAAGCTGATCCACCATGTCGTTTACAATATTCTTAAGCTCCAGGATCTCACCGCCAGACTCGACTTCAATCTTTTTAGAGAGATCACCCAACGCAACAGCCTTAGTGACTTCAGCAATGGATCTGACTTGATTTGTCAAGTTGGCAGCCATGATGTTGACACTTCGAGTCAGTTCAAACCAGGTACCAGCTACATCTTGAACAACAGCCTGTCCACCCAATTTGCCCTCCGTGCCAACTTCCTTCGATACACGGGTTACTTCAGAGGCAAAAATTCGCAATTGATCCACCATATCATTGACAATGTTCTTTAGGTCCAAGATTTCACCTCTCGTCTCAACGTCAATCTTCTTTGACAGATCTCCCAGCGCTACTGCTTCTGTCACTTCGGCAATCGAACGCACTTGTGTAGTTAAATTGGCTGCCATCATGTTGACATTGTCCGTTAGATCTTTCCAGGTACCAGCAACGCCTTGAACTATTGCTTGACCGCCTAGTTTTCCTTCTGTACCGACTTCCTTGGACACACGGGTTACTTCTGAGGCAAAGATACGTAACTGATCAACCATGTTGTTGACGGTGTCCTTGAGTTCAAGGATTTCACCACCGGATTCAACTTCAATCTTCTTGCTCATATCACCATGAGCGACAGCCTTAGTTACTTCGGCAATAGATCTGACTTGATTGGTCAAATTAGCAGCCATGTGATTGACGTTTTCCGTCAAATCCTTCCAGGTACCACCGACATTGGGCACCACAGCTTGGCCACCAAGCTTGCCATCAGTGCCAACTTCACGAGCTACACGAGACACCTCAGAGGCAAAGACATTCAGTTGATCTACCATGCTGTTGACAATGTTCTTGACCTCTAGAATCTCGCCGCCAGATTCCACCTCGATTTTCTTGGATAAATCACCAAGCGCAACGGCCTTAGTTACTTCAGCAATAGAACGCACTTGATTTGTGAGATTGGCAGCCATAATATTGACATTGTCTGTGAGTTCATGCCATGTACCAGCCACGCCTTGAACCACTGCTTGACCGCCTAGCTTGCCTTCCGTGCCTACTTCTTTCGACACACGGGTGACTTCAGAGGCAAACACTCGTAACTGATCCACCATGTCATTCACAGTGTTTTTGAGTTCAGAGATTTCACCACCGGATTCCACGGCAATTTTTTTGGAGAGATCGCCCAGGGCAACGGCTTTAGTGACCTCGGCAATGGAACGGACTTGGTTTGTGAGATTAGCAGCCATTTGGTTGACATTATCGGTCAGGTCCATCCAGGTACCGTCGACATTTGGAACAAGAGCTTGTCCGCCAAGCTTGCCTTCAGTGCCTACCTCTTTGGCTACACGAGTGACCTCGGACGCAAAGACATTGAGCTGATCCACCATACTATTGACAGTATTTTTCAAGTCTAGGATTTCGCCTCGAGTTTCAACATCAATCTTCTTGGAGAGATCACCTTTTGCTACGGCTTTCGTGACAAGAGCAATAGAACGGACTTGCGTAGTAAGATTTGCAGCCATGGTGTTGACATTATCGGTGAGATCCTTCCAGGTGCCACTCACTTTGGGGACGTTAGCTTCGCCGCCCAATTTACCGTCGGTGCCAACTTCACGAGCGACACGAGTCACTTCAGAAGCAAACACACGCAATTGATCCACCATGTCATTGACGATGTTCTTGAGCTCTGAGATTTCGCCACCTGATTCGACTTCAATCTTTTTCGAAAGATCGCCATTAGCAACAGCCTTGGTAACGACAGCGATAGAGCGCACTTGGGTTGTCAGATTGGAAGCCATGGTATTGACATTATCAGTAAGCACTCGCCATGTGCCGTCTACGCTAGGCACCCGAGCTTGTCCACCCAGTTTGCCCTCGGTGCCAACTTCTTTGGCCACACGAGTTACTTCTGTGGAAAAGACACGAAGCTGGTCCACCATGTTGTTGACTGTGTTCTTCAGATCGAGAATTTCACCTCTAGTCTCAACATCGATCTTTTTAGAAAGATCACCCTTAGCAACAGCTGTTGTTACCTCTGCAATAGATCGCACTTGTGTTGTGAGATTAGCGGCCATGGTATTGACATTATCAGTTAGGTCTTTCCAGGCACCACCAACATCTTTGACGACAGCTTGTCCGCCTAGTTTGCCCTCCACGCCGACTTCCAGCGACACTCTCCTCACTTCAGCCGAGAAGTTTGTGAGTTGATCAACCTACATACAAAAGCATCAGCCATCAACATGTTTCAATTTCCACCAAGATGTCCAACTTACCATTCGGTTCATGGTATTCTTTAGTTCCAAAACTTCGCCCTGAGCATTGGCCTTTACTTTTTTGGTTAGATCACCTTCGGCTACAGCTTTTGCAACAGCAGCAATGTCTCGCACTTGACTTGTGATCTTGAGTGCCATCATGTTGACATTGTCTGTCAAATCCTTCCATGTGCCTCCGACATCCTTGACTACGGCTTGACCGCCTAATTTGCCTTCGGTGCCAACTTCCAATGACACACGGGTCACCTCCACTGCAAATGTAGACAACTAAAAATTTAGGGTTAAGTTGGTAATTTAAATTTATAAATTGGCCAATATGCGAGGCTTTAATTACCTGATCCACCATGGTATTGATTGTGTTCTTTAAATCCAGCATCTCACCCTTGACTTCAACCTTGACCTTCTTTGACAAATCGCCTCTAGCAACAGCCTTGGATACGTGTGCGATATCTCTGACTTGATTGGTGAGGTTTGTTGCCATTGTGTTTACGTTGTCTGTCAATTCCTTCCAAATACCATCCACACCGGCTACTTTGGCCTGTGCTCCGAGTTTTCCTTCTGTGCCGACTTCATGAGCTACTCTGGTCACTTCGGAAGCAAACAAATTCAAATGATTGACCATGGTGTTGAATGTGTTTTTCAAAATCAAGGTCTCACCGTAAACTGGTACTGTCATTGCTTTGCTGAGATCACCTCGAGCGATAGCTGTTGATACATCAGCAATGTCTCTCACTTGCTCCAAATGATTTCTGGTCATGCTGTTCAAATTCAAGATAAAATCACGCCAAACGCCTTCCATATTGTCATCGCATTCTGCCTGAACACCCAATTTGCCGTCGACAGCTGTCTCATGAGCCACTTTCAGCACATTTTTAGTGATTCGTTGTAATTGGTCTGCCATTGAATTCACAGCAGTTTTGAGAGCATTGTGGGAGGAGTGGTTACATGTGATGCGTTGGTCTAATACACCGTTATGAACGGCTTTAGCGACTTGAACTGCTTGATCTACACAGTTTTGGCAAGTATCGGTATCAATATGAACAGTAGTATCTAATGAAAAAGAAACGTTAGCATCCAATGAAAGCCATGACCATCACTATCATTTACCTGCGGTAGGAGACAATTGCAATTTTTCCAACATGGGCGATTGCTGGAAAGAAGAAATACAATCCTCAGGAGTCCCATTACTTTTATTTACAACAGATTCGTTTTCTTCTTGTTCTTGCTCTTGTTCCTGGTCGCTTTTATTTTGTTGTTGCTGTTGAGTTAATAGATGATGTTGCTGCTTGATGGCTATTTGGTATCTTTTGTTTTCTGTCTCCAATTTCAACTGTCTCTGCGCAATGTTCTTCAGGGCTTTATGCAGTGCTATTGAGATATCGGCATCGCCGTCCTTATCGTCGTTTTGATGATTGTGTATCGATGAGTGTGTCGGTGGTGTTTGTGAAATGCAAAAGTCCAGATCGCCTTTATCCAGATGCAGGACCATGTCCTTGATTTGCTCCATGATGTTTGTCATTGTATTACTATTATTATTACTATTACTGTTATTACTGGTATTATCACTGCTGTGTGGAGGTGATGATGAAAGACACAATTTCTTATTTTTCGTAAAATCGCCAGTTGAGGAACGTTTCATAACCTTGCAAAATTATAAAAATAAGAGAGAGAGAGATGTAAAGAGGCTCAATGTGGATGCTGTTTTTTTTTTCTGCGCTCTCTTTATCTTGTGCTAGTTGTGATGACTCTAGTTCAAACAAATAGAAAGAGAAAAAGAAAAAGAAAGAGAGCAAAGAAAAAACCAAGAAGAAATATCAAGGAAATACACAACATGTGTGTGACCATCCGTCGGCACATCCCAAACAAATCAATAGGCAATTTGTCGTTACACCTCATATTGATTGGCTTCATTCATTATTTTTTCCATATTTGACATCATGCCTATGTTGGATTTGAGCTTCTTCAAGGCGAATCGATCCATTTTTCATTACAGACTCCATTTGAATGAATTTGAATATCTATTATATATATCCCCTTGAAGGTAATCCAAGCATTTCATTGGGCTCTCTTAAATCATACTTCTGTGAGAACGTAGCACAGCCTTCTTGTTCAAGCATTGCGTTGCACAGGACGCAATTTTTCAACAACGTTGGTTAAAATCAACATGTCGACGAGTAAATCGCCAAGATGGAGCTGGAAGCCCCAGAACATCCACAGATCTCAAGCTCCTAAGAGCACTCTTTGATACTCAATTGCCTGGAGTTCAGCCTATGGCATCCACAGAATCATATCCAATGTTGCAACTCTACTTGGAGTTCCGAATGTCAAAACGATCTTTGAGCTTCTATGAAAATAAACAAATTCGAAAGTTCTCGGCCCCACCCAAGATGTCATTCTTACGATTTTGGAAAAAAGCAATAGTTTTCTGGGTAATTGTATGATTTGCCCCCCTCTTTTTTTTTGTTTGTGTAGACAAACAGTGCAAATGGCGCAACAGAAAAGACGTTGATAAACATGTGCCTTTATTTTTTGAAACCATTCATCATTTGTTTATAATCTGCCACTCTTTATGCAGTTTTCCGTCGCCTGGTTCAGGGGAGGGCAATAAATCCCATCACATGGAATCCAGAGGATGGTAATTTGAGTTTTGCAGATCAATATGAGACATTCCAAAACTCTAAAATCCAGGTATTTGTTACCAGCATTGGAGTCGCTTGTATTCTTTTCTTTCCAAACAGTTGATGCTGCCATTTACCACTGTCTTTTAATCGCTGTTGGGCAGTATGTGTGTGCAAAGGATTTATTAATACTTTTCGCTCTTGTTACTCCAAGGATATGGTAAATGATTGAGGTGGCACAATCAAGGTTGTCCAAATAGAGGCTGTATTTGTCAAGAACCGATGATAAATGTATTAAACCAATAGGAGATAATGCCTCAATTACACAGAGCTTGTTCATTCCTAGGCTGGTTTGTCATTGAATATGCTCAAAGCCTTCAAATCCATCGTAGTGTGTCGAGACGATGGCATGATTTGCTGTTGAGGTCAATCTCATAGCACTGTTGCCATTTCCAACTAATTTAGTAGCGATCTTATTGATATTCTCAGTATATAGCCTTAATTAATCAAGTAAAGATACTAAACTCGACAAATTGAGGGTATTTGGGGAAATCCCTTGCGTAGTAGTGAGTTTGCTTTCAAATCATCAATGATGCAATAAAATAGGAATCATGGTCTACGCTTTACTTTCATCGTGTAAAAGCGGCAAAACTATTGATGAGTTTCATGCATCTAGCACGCTCTTTGATTAGTAAATGTTGCTGTTGATGTGATACCAGTCAATTGATACGAATTTAAGATTTGCAATTGTCTTAGCAAAATCCAAACAGAAAATCGCAATGCTCTGGTTTATGTACTTTCAAGAGGTATGAAACTTTTATATCTCTATTTAGTAATAATCAATTGCGTTAGTCGCTGCCAAACAATACTGATATGATGGTGTATGATCTGTGCAGGTGTCGAAAAAGCACGCTTGAATATCATACCAAGGTAATTTTTTTATCCCTAGACATTTTGGAAGCCTCAAAAAGAAAAGAAATTGAGTTTTCAAGTATTTTGATAGACTGGTGTTATTAAATATAGAATGCAAGGAAAATAGAATGACTAACGATAGTGTTATTTAATTTTCCACTTACTTTCCATACGCTTTAAAAGCACCTATTACTGTATTGCCTTCATAATGGAAAGGGCATTGAGTTTGCCAGCCGGCCACACCAGCCAAAATTAATTCAAATCCAGACCCATAGTCTGTTCCAGATTGGCCAAATTATGACGATTTTCGACTCGATTGAACTATTTTAGTAGATTCGACTATATAAGTTGTGATGATTATCCTTTGCTTCCTAATACAATCTCGAAGTACTTTTCAAGACGCATCCAATGGTACCAAATAAGGTAGATGTTTTGAATAAATCTATTGAGCAACTTATGAAAATATGAAAAGAGGTTTCTGGCCAAAAAGTCGAGATTTTACATATCAAGGTCCCACAAAGATGATTTCAGGGATTGCGTTGGATCGATAGAAACATTTTGATCTAACATCTACCATAGTAAAAGTCTTCGTTATCAAGGTGAAAAACGCGATCGTTTGATTTTCGATGAAAACCATGAGGGGTACCTCATGCTTTTTGGTCAATTTTTGTCCATGTTTTTTGGGTCCCCAGAAAGTTGAGCAAAGGTGTCAGAAAGTATATGCAAAAAGAGAGCAATTTTATGGTGCTATTCTATCAGTCTAAAACGGCTTCTAACGCGAGAAAACACGGCTCAAATACGGCCAAATCTCGCTGTATTTTGCACAAATTGGAGCAGTAAGAGATTATGCTAGTATGCTGCCTGCCAGTCTATAAACTTTTCCTGTTGGCGCAGACAAGGAGCATCGTATAAGAGTTCGATCCACAGGTATGCGGGCCATTCAAGTGATAATAGTACGCTGAAATGTGGAGCTTTAGAATAGAATACTGCTCTATTCTGCTACAACTTTTCTATCCTTGGCACAAGCTTATCATTAGAAGCAAGTGCAGTGAAATCAGCGAAAGCTGATACTTCTCACTCGAAAATAATTGCGTATAAACTATACACTGTGTTCTTAATTTTTATTGATATTTGCTACATTTATCAAATTTACTGTATTTACATATTATTCACAAATTATACAGGGAAGTGGGATCATGATATTTAAGGATATAGCGGCATACAACAGTGATATTAATGGGGAAGTTTTTCTCTTCTTTCGTCTGGATGGTGATGAGCTTTCTGGTACTGACATGTAAACGCATGGAGGGATGGGGGCTCGTTCTCCAACATCAAACCCTTCAATCTGGTTTCGAGACATCAATCTGGCGTTCTCCATGAGTAGACGAGACTGATATACAACTTTGAGGATCTTGGGAAATTCTTTAGCAATGGAATCTTCATCGTCAGGATACTTCAAAGGGTGTCGATGACTAATGCGGCATACATAGCCATCAGGGATATCCAGTAGGAGCAGGGACAAATTCAGTTCCGAGAGAAGAAACCCAATGACCGAGACATCTCTGAATGATTGTGGAGAACGTTTTACCAGCTGGTATATCATCTCCTTCATGATCTTTGGCATCTTGAATCCGCCATCCATCAGCTGTTTTGTGTCATTCAAAGAGTGGTAGCGACTACACTCAGCAAGGCCATACTCAGTGTCAGCACTTTTGAATACCAAGTCTACCTTCCGTCCACAAAGCTTTTTTTGAGATGGGCTGTCTTGAGCCTATGGTACGACCAATATTCCTTCCAGCAGACGAAGACAAGCTGCTCTTTTCGCCTCTACATAGAGACAGTACATTAGATAGATAGACTTCTCCAATTTGCGTCACGTTATCGCCATTTACTTACCCTTTGCAATGTATTTTTGAAGTGTCAAAGCAGGTATCTATGAACATCCAAACTCGTCGCAGTAGATCGGCTTCGCTATGGTCTGCTAATGGCAGATAGCAATGTTTGAAAAGCTTTATGCAACTTTCCATGGACGAACACACCCATTCCAAGGCAGGGTTTGTCTGTGGATGATTTAAGATAGTATCCTTGAGAGCGTTTAAATCATCAATATCCTTGATTGTGTTCATGAAGTTTTCGATATCAGTGGGCAGTGATGGCAAAGAGTCGAGTCTATATGTCTTAATCTCTGCAAGATCCTAATCCCTAAACACTTTCTCCCAACATTTGTCCTTTGTGTCTAGTATTAAAGAATGAGAGGGACTTCATGACCAACAAGTATAAAAGTAAATTGAATTAGTATATAATGCTCATTCGATACTCTTTGTATATAAAGTTCAATACGAATGCTTACTGCTCCACAGAACAACTGATAGCAAACTGCTTCATTTCGTCCTCCACTATAATGCCAGATGATAACACCCATTTCTTCTCGTCTTGAAGATTGTTATACATGGACTCAATTTTCTCGTAATCCGCTGTTGTCAATGGCTGTTGTTTGATACTTGTCGAAGAGCTGGGAGAGGAACTGGAAGTGTATGTGGAGGCTTCTTCGCTTGCTTCTTCATTAGAGGGATGATGCTCAATGCTCTCATTTGTTGTCTTTTGTTCAACAGAGTTGTCGATTATCATTGTCAAGATAGATTCCCAGTCCTGTTTTTTTCTTATTGTCGTAAGGCAGATGTAACATTTGTAGAACGTCTATAATTCTGCGGTTCCAAATGCTCTTGTATTTCGATACTTTGGAGCCATCATATGCATTGGCAATGAATGTTTGGAGATGTTTAATGATATCCCTAATTGCAATTGGCTTGTTTGAGTCGCTGAAATGCTTGATAGCACTAACAATCTCTGAAAATAATAACATATCGTCAGCTTTGCGACTTGTTTTGTCCTCATCATGTATGACATACCGTCTTTGTGTAGTGGATCAGGCAATCTGCTTTGCATTTGTAAGGAAACAAGAGGTGCGTTGATTTATCAAAGTATGATCTGACCTCCTAACGCATTAAAAAAAATATATCGCGACTTGGTGGCGTCAGAATGGAGTTCGTACTTAGTATCGAGCGTTCCTTCATTGTAAAAGTTTTCTAGTAATCTCTGTATCTTAAACGATGCTCTTTTCTTTCCTCAAGATTTTGAGACGTATAAGCCGCTCCAGACTGTCATCTTTGGTACCGCATCGTTCAATCTTGGGCACCATTTTGCTATTGAGAATGTGAGCCGCTTCAGACTTTCATCTCTGGTACCGCCTTTTTCTAGCATTTGATTTTATTTTCCTTTGGGAATAGATGTGTTTCCACCTTCTAGCGGTTATTCCTGTTGTTCACTATTTCAAAATCTTGTGAATACGAAGAGAAACACAGTTTCAATTACTCAAGATGATCGTATCTCGGTAGATGCTGTTCATCTTTTTTGTATGAATGATTATATATATATAGTTTTCTAGTAAATTATTAAAGGATTGAAACGAGGAAAGGCACTGGATCTCTTCCTAAATGAAATCAAGGACAACAAATCTCTCATTCCCGACCAAAGCGATATGATCAAACTTCACCATGAGATGCAAATAATATTGAACGAATTTGGTCAAGTACAATGTTGACGATCTTCTTGTGTATGGTCTATTAGTAAAAGGTAAATAGCAACTTCTTAAATATCATTCCTCGTCAGATACACTTTATTTTTCATGATAAATCACAGATTGTGAATACAATTTGTACAAAACGGCCCTTTAATAGGTGTTCTTAACTGATGCAATTGAATTGCTCTTCTTGCCTCGTGGCCTGGTTGATGTCGCTATCGTTCCAGGTCTCGACAATATTCATGCTTACTAAGGTATTGTCACTATTGTCGTCAGCAATGCTCGTAAAATAGCGATCGCACACAAATTTCTTTTATTCAGGCTGAAGTGGACTCGTTGATAAAGAGAATCAACAAACGCAAAGCAGGTGTTGTCTTTCCTCTAACTACATTTACAAGATCAAGACCGGGAATGTCAATTGAAATCCAAGACCCTGTTTCTTCCTGCATTGCAGCCGATGCCAATGGCTTCTTGCCCCTTGATTCATCCATGTATTCATCTCTGTAGCCGCAAGGGAAATCATACATTTGCTTTCATATTCACTCTTTCATTTTTCCTATTGCCCCTTTCATTTACTGTTTTTTTTTTTCTCGAAAAACCCACGTTGTAACGATCGATTTCTGGTTACTCATCGCAATTACGTTTTATACCATTTCGGATTAGACTCTCCCTTACCTGCTCGTCTCGTCCTTTCATTATCCTTTTTTTTTCTTTCCAATATTACAGTGTTCATTTACTTGCACAATAAATATGACAAAAGCATTTGAGCCTATCAAAATTGGTCGTCATCAGCTTCAACACCGTATTGTGTTGGCCCCTTTGACTAGGTATTTACATTTACTTTATTTTTACAGGGCTTCTCTATTGACAATTCTTTGCTTTGTATCGCCACGACAATCAACAGATTCAGAGCAACTTTAGAACAAGCTGTGCCAACAGACTTATTGATTGATTACTACTCACAAAGAGCCAGCCCTGGAGGTTTATTGATCACCGAGGCAACATTCATTGATAGACTTGCTGGTGGTTACCGTCAGGCACCCGGTATTTACACAAAGGAGCAAATTGAAGGCTGGCGCAAAGTTACAGATGCTGTTCACAAAAAGGGGACTGTCATCTTTTTGCAATTATGGCATTTAGGAAGAGCTGGATCATCCAATTTGAATCCTAACAAAGAGCAAATTGTGTCTGCATCCGCCATTCCTATCCCTGGTACAAAGCCCAATGGAAAGCCTTATGAGACTCCTCGTCCCCTCAAAAACTCAGAAGTGAAAGAGTTGGTCAAGACCTACCGTCAAGCTGCAACCAATGCTATCGAGGCTGGCTTTGATGGCATCGAAATCCACAATGCTAATGGCTATTTGTTGGATCAATTCGTCAATTCCAGCACAAACAAGAGAACTGATGAATATGGTGGATCCACCGAGAATCGTGGTCGCCTCACACTTGAGATTGTAGATGCTATTGTAGATGCTATTGGCGCTGATCGTACAGCTATTCGATTCTCTCCTAATGGCTCTGTTCAAGGCATGAAGGACGAAGATCCCGTCAAGACTTGGGGTTATTTGACCACGCAACTTCAAATCAACCATCCTGATTTGGCTTATCTCCATTTTATTGAAGCTCGCTCTGATTTCAGCGTTGATGGCAAGGTAAACACTGTTGATACACTTGAGCCGTATCGTCGCTTGTGGAAGGGGCCCTTCATTACTGCCGGTGGATTCTCTACTGCCATCAAGCATTCTGTTGATCTCGCCGAGAAGACTGGCAATTTGATTGCTTTTGGCCGTGCTTTCATTGCAAACCCTGATCTGCCAGAGAGAATTAGAAGCGAATATGACCTCAACAAGTACAATAGAAAGACTTTTTACACCCATGATGCAATTGGATACACTGACTATCCTTTCCATGGCGAAAAGAGCAGTAGACTTTAATACAGTAGTTGAACTCACATCATAAAAGACCGATTCAAAATATATTACTGTATCACCCACTTTTTGTCAACTCTAGTGTTGTCCTAGTAGAAAAGGAAGCGTGCACACATTGAATGTCATTGAGACACATATAGATTATAGTACATTTGAACAAATGCTCATCATTTATTATAAATACAAGCAATTTTTGAAAAGATTTTCAATAGCAATTGAAATCATTTAATCGACAAGGGAAATAAATAGGTGTTGATTTTTGAGAGAAAAGCAAAAGACGGGCGCCTTTAAGCCTTGGAGCTAAGAGCCAAGATGGTCTCCTCGATACGGGAGCCATATTCAGCATCAGCACGCTTGAAGTGAGCAATTTGACGTTCGCGAATGTGCTTCTTGGCGTTCTTCAAGTGACCAGCAATGTTGTTAACCAAGTCAGTCTTCTCTTCAGCGGGCATGAGGCGATACAAATCACCAGCTTGAACGAAATCATCATCACTCAAACCATAAGTGAAGCGACCAGTAGCACCGCTGATCTCCTCAGCAGTAAAAGTGGTAGCAGCAACGTTGGTTTGATAGGGACCACCGAAAGAGTTGGGTTCATAGTTGGGGGTAGAACCACCGTTACCCAAGACGGCCATAGCGCCATCACGTTGATGGTTAGCAACACGAGAGTGAGGTTGGTTGATAGGAATCTGAGCATAGTTGGCACCAAGACGATGACGGTGGGTATCAGGGTAAGAGAAGAGACGACCTTGCAACATGCGGTCGGGAGAGACATCAATACCGGGAACAGTGTGAGAAGGAGAGAAGGCAGCTTGCTCAGTCTCGGCAAAGTAGTTCTCAGGGTTGCGGTTCAATGTCATCTTACCAACAGGTTGAAGAGGGTAATCCTAATAAGCATAATATTAGCATGTGACGAGAAAAAAAAAATCAACCAGCCCCATATTTCTCAATAGCTCTCTTTCTCTCTCTCTCTCTTCCCCAATTCATATTAAGATTTGCATTGATAATTTACCTTGTGAGACCAGACCTTAGTGACATCGAAGGGGTTGAAACGATACTTCTTGGCATCCTCAGGATCCATGACTTGAACGTAGACGGACCAAGAAGGATACTCACCGTGTTCAATAGCGTTGAAGAGATCACGAGTAGCATAATCAGGGTCGGAACCAGCGAGTTGACCAGCTTGATCAGCCTTCAAGTTTCTGATACCTTGATCGGTCTTGAAGTGCCACTTGACATACTTGAAGCTACCATCTTCAGCAACCAACTTGAGAGTGTGAGAAGAGTAGCCGTTGAGGTGACGGTAGCCATCAGGAGTACCACGGTTAGAGAAGAGAATGGAGACTTGATGAATGGATTCAGGTACGAGAGACAAGAAATCCCAGAAGGCATCGGGATCACCACAGTTGGTCTGAGGGTTTCTCTTTTGGGTATGGATGAAGTCTATAATTTATCAACGGAGAATCAAATGTCAGAGCTATATTTCAAGATGTCTATAATTTGCCATTACTGCTTACCAGGGAACTTTGCGGGATCACGAATGAAGAAGACTGGAGTGTTGTTACCAACCATATCCCAATTACCTACAAGCGAATTGTAACGTTAAACCAATTGAATACAAGCGCTAAACTATGTGACGCTTACCTTCTTCAGTGTAGAACTTGACAGCGAAACCACGAGGATCACGAGCAGTATCAGCACTACCCTTCTCACCACCAACAGTGGAGAAACGAGTAAAGACAGGCGTCTTCTTACCAATGTGGCTCAAGAACTTGGCCTTGGAGAGGTGAGTAACATCATGAGTGACCTCTACAAAACATACAATTAGCAATCTACAATCCAATGTTCATCTAGATCAAGTCCTATCATACCAAAGACACCATGAGCACCAGCACCCTTGGCGTGGACAACACGTTCAGGAATACGTTCTCTGTCAAAATGAGCTTAAATAGAAATGTCAGCATACAATATCCAAATCTAGCGAGTCATGTAAGACAAGAATTGTTCAATCAATGCCATACCAAGCTTATCGATCAAGTGGAAATCTTGAATGAGGCTATGCATGATTGAAAGAGGTAAGTATATATATATATATGAATGCATTTATATGCTTGCTCAAAAAGACTTACACAGGGCCCCATTGACCAGCAGTTTGAGAGGTTTGGTTGTTCTCAACGGGGTTACCGTTGGAGGTAGTCAAAGTGTTCTTGGACATGTTGATTTGTGGCAAAGAGAAGGGGGTCGAAAACGGTGGCAAAGAAGTATTTGTAAGGAAGAAAAAAAGAAGAGAAAAGAGAAAACAAAACAACTAGAAAGGGGAAAATCTATAAATTTATAGTCTCCATATCAGGCCTAACCTTAATGCTTTCATTTGGTGAGAATAATGGGGGAGAAACAATATCACGCGGGCTTATTAAAAAAGGTTTGTCATGACAGCCAATCAGTGTACAATTATACTCCAATGTAGCATTGGGTAAAATATACTTGAGAGCCAACATCTCCCAATCAAAAGTGCAAACTACAGGCTTAATCAGCGCAAGTCACCTGTACAACACATCAAGTTTGATAATAATGCCGAATTCTTTTCTACAACACTTTACCCCGGATTCTGTAAGCTCTTAAAATTTGCTATGTATGCATTAACATTGGGTCTTGGAGAGGCCAACGAAGGCGAGATTTTGCATGAGTCGCCCAGGCGCTTCCATCTCAAAGTAGATGCATTGAACGTTTGCTTAGATCCAAGGCCGTTAGATATACCGGCCAATCGACTTTTTAGTGTATTTATGCTTATGCCATTGCGAGTGTCGTGCGAATATTTGGAGATGCAACTTGTTTTTGCACCCCAGATCAAATCGGGTGCCACTGGTCCAGATATTCATTGACAAAGGCGTACAAGACCACAGTGATCTTTTAAGAGCAATGTTGCTGTTTGTACTACTCTTTTCAACTTGTATAAAAATAATGGTGTATATTTCTCTCAATCAGAAATTATATATTTCCATGTGGCATGTTGTTTTTCGTTTGTGTGTTTTTTTTCTTGGGCTAAATGTTTGCATGATGGATACTAGCACTAGTGTACTTTTCGATGCTACCCACATTTGAATACGTCTCAAGGTATTGCATACATATATAATATGGTACCGTGTACTCAGAGACTTGTCCTCATTTTATAACAATTCAAGTAATTGAAACCGTACCTGAATTTGTAATTCAATTTCAAAATGACAAAAGTTAAATATCCACCGTCATTTTGATTATAATGAGACACTGCTGAAACAAAAGCTTCTACCTGTAATTATGAATGAACTATATGTGTATTTATATAACTAGATGCATACTTTTTATTGTGTCTTGAATGTCCAGCGTACCTTACAAACGCCATCACCTTACTAATACTGTATAAGCTGCAACATTGTGCTTTTATACAGCAATACAACCAGTGCTACTCAACCTAGTATTTCCAACTAAATTCTTGGGTATAATAACATGCTCTCTATCTAGATGAATGAATACAATGTCTTTACGACTTCGTATCGTAACAAAAAACGTGCCTATTGACAAGCAAATGCATAGAACACAGCCAAATTTGACAGTTTTCAAGCCGTAATATCTTGATATGGAGACCTTTCTGAGCCACTGGAATAACGCCAGGCTCAACAGTTAAATGTATGTAATCCCAGCTTCCTAATCATGGTTTGTGGCATTTCAACATGGCATGTAGGCAGTATGCGTTTCATAGATTCGATCAAAAGCGGCTATTACTACTGGCTGAAAGGCTATTCCGGTATATGATAAGGATATTTTACATCTTGTATCAGACTATTAATTGGGAATCATGGTTGCAATCTTGCGGATAGTTGACAGATCCCGAATGCGCCTATCTTCGCTATCAATTAGAGAAATGAGTCTAATGTGGGCATCCTCGTTGATATGATATCAGGTTTGTCGTCCTTCTTCGCTCAGGATCTTGTGTGCGTACTTTGTAGATGCAAACAAAGGTTTTTTGAGCCTTGCCTGGTGCTTGATATTTGAAATGTTATATTCCTCTAATTTTTCACCAAGATACTATGATTTGAGCATATTATATGACGCTTGTAATGATGAAATGATTGCCTACATATCCTTTTCAAAGACATAAACTCGGGCCGCTCAAAGTCGCTATTGAGCACCTATATTGAAAATTGACTTTTGATCCATTTTATGAAGGGATTCGTCGCTTAAAAAGCTAAAGCACCGTTTGAATAAGCTATTTAGCGTTCTGAAAATACAATTTTATTGCGTTTGTGAATGGCATCAGGTTCGCTCGCCTGGAACGCATAAACCTTCCTCAAACCAGCCACAAGAAACTTTGACCTCTAGTCACAAGAATCGTGCCAGAGAGAAGCAAATTCAAGGTTCTCCTTTACTTACATTCAAGCCATGAGTTTAACACCACCTCAGAATCGAGGCATGACAGCCTTGAACAGAGATGCATTCAAAAAGACATTTACAACACTTGCCATTCGAGCTCCAAATCAACTAGTGAAGCCATTGATGACACAATTAGAGGAGTAAACATCTTGTCGATTTGTGATGCTAGATATTCAGTTTTAATCAAAAGCCTAGTGAATTATTGAATCAACCACGAATTCGTAATGTAGTTTCGGATGGCACACGGACAGATACAAAGTTAATTTTATTAAGATTAGATATCAGAGGTACATTACATACACAGTCAGGATTTCTGCATGAAAATCGTTGCATATTCATCATAGTTATTCTGTTTAGATATCAAGGAGTCATTCCCAGACAGCAAGTCTGATCTCATCAAGCAACTAGATATCGTTGAGCATGATTTTGAGGTGGATTACGATTATTGGACTACTGAACAAATCTTGTATTCCGTGATGCCTGAAGGCGACGCTGAAACTCCTTCTTCATTTACAACCACCGGCCACATTGGTAAACATGTGAGAGCTGTGTTGGAGTCCAAGCAGAATCAAACTAATGCATATAGGTAGCTCATGTCAACCTCAAAGAGGAGAACATGCCCTTCAAGCGGTTGATTGCTCAAGTCATTTTGGATGTAAGATTGAGATGTTGATGCCGATGCTATTCATACTCATTCCATGCTCATACAGAAAAACAAGAAAATTAAGAGCGTTGTAAACAAGACGAACCAGATTGACAACACCTATAGAAACTTTCAAATGGAAGTCTTGGCAGGGGATACCAATATGATTACAGAACTGGTACAAACATCGAGCTTAAATGTACACAATTCAACATTGACACTTGGAGACATAGAAAGAGAATGATTGCAAATTCAAATTTGATTTCTCCAAGGTGTACTGGAACTCAAGGTTACAAGCAGAGCATCGTAGACTGGTAGGCCTCTTTAAGAAGGGAGACTATATATGTAAGTTACTGAAAATAGAAGAGAGATGGATCACTATTGATTTGCGTTGATGTGTAGGTGATGTGATGGCAGGTGTGGGACCCTTTTCCGTTCCTGCAGCTAAAAAAGGTGCCATTGTCTATGCGAATGATCTCAATCCCGCTTCGTATGAATCGCTATGCGAGAACATTAGACTCAACAAGGTACACTTGGTCAACATGTAAAGGAACGACACAGCTCATCTGTCCTGTAGATCCATCAACATATCAAGGCCTACAATATGGATGGACGTGCTTTCATTAAGCAGGCAGTACGCGATCTGTCTATTGAAACAAAGGATGATCGTACATTTGATCATTTTATTATGAATTTACCTGCAACTGCAATTGAGTTTCTAGGTAACATAGTCTAATCAGGATAAACATTGCATACGAGTGCTCACATTCACGTTATACTAGACGCTTTTAAGGGCATTTACAATGGCAGAAATATCAGTTCGGATAGACTCCCGATGATTCATGTTCATTGTTTCACAAGAAGCTCGGATCCTCATCAAGACATTGAGCAGGTAAAAAAAAAAAAAAAAGCACTTTTCTCCTTAAAATTGGAATTGTCCTTAAATAATGATTTATTTCTAATGAAGCGCGTATGTCAAATCATGGGAGGTCCGATCGATAGAGCATCCTGCCATCTGCATTGGGTGCGCACTGTTGCTCCCAAGAAGGACATGTATTGTATATCATTCCGTCTGAGTCCCGACATTGCCTTCTTGTAGGTAAACGGATCCTCTTTTCGCCTCCCTGCGGATATTATCGCGCGAAAATAAAAAGGAAGCAGACAGCATATCATCATAACTAACATTAGACCCTATCATAAAAAAGATGATTCATGATACTAGTTGTGGCGCAAATGCAGGGAAACAAACATCGTGGTGTTTGACCCGATTCAACCCAGACTTGGATCATTCGCACGAGACTAAATGTTATTTCAAGTGGCAATGGCACTGCACAGTTTTGATCCTTCTTGTCTTTCACTTGGATTTTGCTCCTTTTTTTACCTCTTTTGCTCGTTCACTCGCTCGCTTTTCTTATATATATACATATATACATATATACATATAACTAAATTTCGCCCCTATAGCGGATTCTCCTTAAAATTGGACTTACCGTCAGCATCATCATTAGCGTCATTTTCCCTTAAAAATCAACAAGAGAAAAAGACGTAGATCACTTCTATTTTAACCTTTTTATATTTTTCCCTTTCTTCTCTACCCTTTCTTTTTTTTTCTTTTTTTTTTTCCTTCAAAACTATGAACCAAAATACAAAAAACATGGTTGATGGAGATAAAACCAGACGCAAAAGACTCAAGGTCGTCAGTGCATGCGGAGAATGCCGCCGGAAAAAGACCAAATGTAACGGGGAAAAGCCTTGCGCAGGCTGTTTAAAGGCTCATGTAGAATGTAAATATGTTACTTCCCAAAAGACATCAGCATCTGCTATCACGGCTGCTAATGCCACTGCATCTGCTGCTAATGCCACTACGACACTCAGTGCTCCTGTGTCCAACACCTCCACCAAGACGGCCAATACAGCCAAATCACAAAAGATGATCCATCCGCCAACTATAGAGACTTCACATGAACACACCATGTTGAACAATGCATCATTATTGACATCAGCAGCATCCACAGCGCCATCCTCTTCCACATCCACATCTACGCTTCATAGCCATCCGACAGCCAGCTCCATCGAGTCAATTGAAGAGCGCCTAGGTACAATCGAAAACATCTTGCGGGCACTGCTCGGTTCCGGTAAAAACAAACATTTGTTACAAGGTTTCCACCCTCAGCAACAACAACAACAACAACAAAGATCGGAATCAAGCGTCTATATGGACCCGAAGCCTCCTCATTACTATGGCCATCACCCACACTATCATTCCGATGTGTCCTCCTCCTCCAACACATCAACATCTTCTTCTTCATGCGGGGATATGTATTCTTCTCCTCATTTAGTGCATGCTCCTCATATCCAAAATAGGCCTAAACCACGGGAAAAGAGGCAACGGCATGAAGAGGATGAGGAAGGTATGACAGAAAATAAAAGATTAAATGTTCGGGATGACTTCGGTCATGGGGATCGTCAGCATCAGCAGCATCCACATCCTTACTCGAAATTGCAACTGGCTCCAATCAAGATTATAAATCACACACCCGGGACACCTACGACCAGTATCCGTAACCTGCTTAATGAGCAGACAGACGAGGACCAGCATCTAAAGAAAAAGCCTCGATGGTATCCAACATCTGCCTCATCTACATCCACTTCCACTACAAACTCTGCATTTTACCGAATGTCATCATTACCTCGCAATGAGATTATCAACAGTAATAATTCTGCAACGACTGCAGCTGGCAATTTTACCTGATCTTTCTAATTTTACATATATTCACACATTCATATACCACTAATCCCCGTTTAGCCTTGCTATTGCAACAAAATTGTAGTATTATTAATCAAAGTCTATCGTTTTATTACCATCATCTTATTATTATATTATATTTTACTATTATCTTACTATTAAAAATGCTATTAATTTCAAAAAAAAGGAGACAATCATATACGAGTGAGAGAGAAAGGAGGAGGGGGAGGGGAGGGGGGGGGTATCGTTATATACAAGTATGCTTACAATCCAACCATGCCAAACACGCACAGTGCTCCGACATAGGGCACAAGCACAGTTTTTGCTACAAAGTAGAACAGCATGCCAAATGCGATGGAGATAGGCAGAGCAGGCAATGCCTTTTTGTAAATAGCCAGCAAAAAGATGGTTGCTGTTAGACCTGTCAAAACGGCAATAGTACAACAAACGGTAGTGATCCAGTCATACGTGGCTATCGTAAAATCTGCATCAGTATCACGGCATCACGTGTGTGAGATGTTGTGTTTGCTTTACCCGCTCTTGCAATCAAAACACTGTAGAACACGAAATCACCTAATCCAAGTTTGAGGCCACTTCTCTCGGCTAGTAACAAAAGCATGAGCATCGTATCTAAATGCCAATCATGGTGTGATTTACCATCTTCTTCATCATTCTCAGGCTCTGCTGGCTTTCTTGCAGTCTCTTCCTGTCGTGGGGTGCTTGGTCGATTCGCGCTCTCTGCTGGCACATTTAAAGTTGTTTGTGTTGCAAATGGATTACTGTTCCCACTGTGACTATCTATGGTAACATGGCTATCATCAGGTAATCGCATAAATCCGTCATGACTCTTTCTGAAATTGTGCTGTATAAAAGACGAAGGTGAATGATGCTGTACAGATAATCTGTTGTTATTGCTGGATGATGAAACAGTTTCATGCGTGGTGGTAGTAGACTCGGCAGGAGTGATGGTACCCAGCATGCTGTTTGATAGTCGAAAATGATCGTTCGAGGCCATCATGAACCACACCGCATTTACCGAATATAACAATGCAGGCACTTCCCTTTGCTGATTTCTCGAACTTTCAATTAACAAACGAAGTGGCCCAAACGGACACAACACCGCTATAAGATCTAGTTCTCGGATGTTAATATATGCTTGATGGCGCCTCCCCTTTATCATTGTTTTACCCCAAATAGCCAGGAGTCCCAACAAAATCCACGTAGTCCACTGTTCCAATCCAGTCAGCGAAAATGCCATCAGTGAACTCATGATGGTGAGATACGATTGTTGCAGCCACAAGGGTCCTCTCCAGAAGATTGAAACCAATCCTACAACTGCAAAATTCCATAGTGCGAATACCAAGGTGATATAATCCAATGCAATCAAGAACACTTGGATCAAATTCCTGTTGTCCGTTCTGATGAGAATACACCCTTCGCACAACAAAAACTGCCAGTTTTCAACTTACAGTAGCAGTAGATAGGTCATGAATCCCAGTAGCAGCAATACAATCACCATGAAAAATCCAATCAGTACTTTGATCCATCCCTTTTTGAATAGAAATACAATCAATATAGTCACACCAATGATCTGCCCTATGATGATCGCTGCATTGGTGAATGAATTGGCAATAGATGGGCCGCTACTCGTGGACCCGTCTGAGCTGGAGGATGGTGTTGAAGGTGCCAAATTGACATAATTGGGCCGAGTAGGGCTAAATTGCAAAAGACAATCAATCTGGCTGTCAAATGCACACGAGCATTGTCGTTTACCTGTAATCACTTGATCCTGAATACGACACTTTGACCCAAAATATACTGAGGATGATACAAGCAACGACCGGTTTGATGATACGATAAATTTGAAGGGTATAAAATCGAAGCTCATCGGCAGCATCCTCTTCGTCATCTAGCTTTTCCTGATCTTGATTTGGTGAGAGATCATTCATGGGTATATCACCTACAATTCAAGCTGTCAATCAATCAACATCGGTGCCCTCTTCAATGTGTCTCGTTTTACTTGATGCATTGATATTCGTAGTGTCTGCTTCAGCAGCAGCTATCGCTTCCGCATGCCTCTGTCTATTTCGTCTTGCTGCTTTGCATACTCGATAGTGATTTTCCTTCCAATGATCTGTTTGACACTCGATGGAGCAATATCTCGGCCCGTCCTGTCCACAAGAAGAGCACATGAATGTCGCTGATTTCTGACAATGTGAGCATGTGTTTGCTGTTAACTCATCTGTCGTCATGGCTGTGCTGGTATCGACCTACAAACAAGAAAGAGAAAAAAGAAAGAAGAGCAATGTGCGATAAACAGACACACACGCACACAGAGAGAGAGAGAGAGAGAGAGAGAGGGGTATATATGTATTCGGAGGTATTTAATAAAGGAAGGAAGGAAAGGGTCAGGGCTCAAGATATGTGTGTGTATAATGAATTTTGTCTTGGGTTTTCCCCCTCCTTTGATGTAAATATGTGGATGAAAGCGAAAGAAAAGAGGAAGCAGGCTAATTATTGGGATTCTATTTGATTTATAGTTACACAGAGACTAATTGCACGTTGTGTGTGTGCCCTGAAAGCTTCTTGGCAAGTATATATGTGTAAGTCTAAAATTTTTTTCTCTGCTTGAGCAAGAGAAATGTCATATTTTATTAAGAATAATGATTATATAATACAAATAGATAAATAGAGTGAATGATGTATGTATAAAGATGCAAATTACTTCTTGATGGCAAAGAACTTTCTCTTGATGAGCTTGTAGAACTCTGCCAAAATGATATAAACAACGACAGAAGCAGCAACCATGCCCCATTCCCAGGTAATTGGCAGATGCTTGAAGACTTCAGTATTGACACTATAAAAGTAAAAGAATGTGAGTACGATGGCTGATAAAAACAATTATACAGACTACTTACACAGGCACGTAGAGTACGATAAACATGATACCAAAACCAAACAACCAAGACCAGTACATGTAGTAGTTTTGATCGCCAGTCAAGTGCTTCCAGGTCCAAGTGGGGTTGACCAGATCACGGCAAGTATGGGCATGAAGCAAGAGCAAAACTGTCATGGTGACAAACAAGGCGCCGCGAGCACGATAGACATCAACACAGGTATCACGGAATTCATTGGCGTTGAAAGAGTGGTTACAGTTGATACCAAGGCTGCCTTCACCATAGCCGTAGATGACAATAGCATAATTGGCCATACAGATCAAACCCATCATGACACCATAGTACAAGATATCAATGATGTTGCGGTTACAAAAGAGAGATTCCTTGCTGGTTCTGGGCCTCACAAGCATTTGCTCGGGATGTACCTTTTCAAGGCCCAAAGCCATAGCAGGAGGAGCACTGGTGACCAAGTTGTTGAACAAGATTTGGATGGGAGACAGTGGGAATACAATGTTGTTGCCCTCTCTAAAGACCAAACAGAGAAGCAAGGGAGTCAATTCAGCAACATTGACAGAGACCATGTGCACCACAAACTTGGAGATGTTGGCAAAGACACGACGGCCTTCTTGAATCGCAGCCACAATAGTAGCAAAGTTATCATCCACCAAAATAATGTCAGAGGCTTGCTTGGCGACATCAGATCCACCTTGACCCATAGCAATACCGATATCAGATTCTTTGAGAGAGGGACTATCATTGACACCATCACCCGTCATGGCACTGATGCGCTTGCGACGATGAAGAGCCTCAATCATCTTGACTTTGGTGTCAGGGCTACAGCGAGCAATGACGAGGGGTAATGTAGGCAGTTGATCAATCGTCTCTTCAGAGAGCTTGTCAAAGGCTTGAGCAGACATGACGAGATCACTGACATCGCCTTCAGCAGGAATGATGCTCACTTCACGAGCAATAGCAGTAGCAGTAGCAATATGATCACCGGTCAGCATGTGTACAGTAATACCAGCTTTATGACACTTTTCAACAGCATCCTTGGACTCAGCACGAGGAGGATCGTAGATACCACAGATGCCCAAGAAGACCATGTCCTTTTCGATTTCTTCACGCTCAAAAGTAGAAAAGCTCACCTCGCCCGTCATGGTTTTTCTAGGAATACGCTTTGCAGCAAGAGAAAGAACACGAAGGCCACCCTTGGCCAGAGTCTCCACATTAGGCAAAACAAGGTCTTGAAGCTCTTGTTGACTGATATCCCTGATTTCATCTTGATCCGATAATTGAATGCTGGAACAGCACTCGAGCACACGTTCAGTAGCACCCTTCATGAAGCCAATCAAATCACCATTACGTTCTTCAGTAAGGACACTCATGCGCTTGATGGAAGAGTCGAAAGGATATTCAGAGAGGAGCTTCCAGCCACCATCCGTTGTATTATTAGCATCAGTGAGAAGAGGCTTGCCCATGTCCATTTTGTGAGCAAACACTTGCAGGGCAATTTCAGTAGGATCGCCAATACCGTAGTGTTCTTGAGTTTCATGATTTTCACGTATTTCACTCATATTACACAGAGCAGCAGATTGGACCAAACGACGCAAACCGTGGTTCATGTTCTTCTTATCAATAACACCACCGTCTTGATCTTCGGAGGTCACCTCGCCTTCAATGTCAAAACCAAGACCAGATACCTTGTAAAAGCCAGTGTCAGGTCGCCAGAAGCGAGTCAAGACCATCTTGGACTGGGTCAAAGTACCCGTTTTATCAGAGCAAATATTGGTAACAGAACCCAAGTTTTCCAGAGCAACCAAGCGACGAACAAGAGCATTGCTTTTAGCCATGGCATTGACACCAAATGCTTGAGTCAAGGTAACAACAGCAATTAAACCTTCAGGGATAACAGCAATAGCAGTAGAGATGGCATAGAGAACCACTTGGTCATCGATTTGAAACTTGGCAACAGCAAAGACAATGATGAGAGAAATGATGGCAACCACCAAGAGCACAATGGCCATACGATCCAATGACTTTTGAAGAGGAGTACGGGCATTGTCACCACTGTCAAGCAAGCGTTTAGCGATTTTACCGATTTCAGTTTGCATACCAATGGATGTCACCATAGCTTTACCACGACCCTTACTAAGAGTAGTGCTAGAATAGGTCATGTTGACGCGATCACCAAGGGGCACTTCTGCAGTATCAAGCACATCATTACTATAGATACAATTAGTTATCAATCGATGTGTGCACACAGTGACAAACACTTACATCTTATTGACAGGCAATGACTCACCAGTGAGCAAAGCTTCATCAACATCCATATTGAAAGACTCAATCACACGACAATCCGCACCAACAACATCGCCATTCTTGAGGATGATGATATCACCGGGAACAAGTTCCTTGGTAGCAATAGTCTTTTGCTGGCCATCACGGATAACCTGAGCAGTAGGAGAGGCCATTTGACGCAGCGAATCCATGGTCTTTTCGGCCTTGTACTCTTGAGCGAAACCAATACCGGCATTCAGGAGCATGATGAAAGCAATAACACCGCCTTCAATCCAGTCCTTGAATGCAAAAGAAACAGCCATAGCAATAACCAGAATGAGAACCAGCACATTGAAGAATTGCTTCATCATCAGTTTGACAGGGTTGACACCGCCATCACCTTCCATTTCATTGTAACCAAACTCTGCGTGCTTTTCGGCAATGACTGACTCGGACAAACCATCTTGCAGATCAGACTTCATCAGTTGAGCGACGGTTTCAATCTTCATGGTGTGATAAGGGGGGCCTTCTACAGATGGCATATTGACTGTGGAATTGCGTCGGATCAGATTCTTCTTTCTCATCAGCACCTTTTGTAAGAGAGATCGCTTATCATCGCCAGCATCGCTACCAGCAAGTGTCGTCTCTCTACTCAACGACTTTTCAGTGTGATTAGCTTGGTATCTCTTGCTGCCATCCTGAGCATCATCAAATGTAATATTTTCCTTCTTTGATTGTTGGTTACTGTCCATATAAAATACAAATAAGAAAAATTATAAATCACAGAAGGAAGAAACAAGAAGAGGTCAGTATCACTGTCTTGTTATATATACGTTTTCTCTTGAAACTGAGCATGGAACAATCAGAAATTACAAGTTGCGCGAAATACGATCTATGATAAAGCGACCCATTAGGGCAATTCTGAATCTCTAATTGGCTTAGATCAGCACTGTAGCGCATAACGAACAGAAAATTACAACTTTCTTCCCAAATGCTCAATCCATGTGCCCAAATGGATGCGACGCTTGTGCCATGACATGCCTAACCGACGCTGTACTCGTATACATTGTTTAATAGCAAACTTTCACTGCAATCATTGCAAAACAAGGCACATTTCATCGCCATCTGTAGTTGAATTGCATCAAGGTTCTGTTTCGTATAGAAACGTCAGAAAACAAAGAAGAAACTATAGCCTTTGCGTCAATAGTGCGATTGGCCATAGTGTTTAAACTACAGTCGGATTCGTACCAAATTTAGTCATTTTCTAGCATTTTGCTGGCTCTTCGAAACCACATGCTGCAAGTTTGCCTATTTACAAATTTCTGTAATACCTTTACGAAAACGCACCGTATCTAATATACACATGCCACCTGTACTGACATACACCATGCATCATGAATATTACAAGAAATGACTAGAGCTAGATCTGAAAAGAGTGGATCTCTTTGGATACGGTGATCTTCCTACATTTCTTTCCACTAAATAACAAGCTATATCTAAATGGTTTGAAGATCAGTAACACATATTACACCTTCCAGAAGAGTTTAAATATAGAAGAAGGGCCCCGCTCTCTATTTCACAAAGCATAGGCGAAATTAACGCAAAATTTCATGACACAAAAAGTTTTTGATAAAAGATCCGTGTGCTGAACATTCCTAGGATAGCCATTATCTAGATTAAGGTACACCAATGCTTGTTCTCACGTTTCACTCATGTTTCTGCCATGCCATTTCAAGGCGTGCGTCAAAACAGAATGCCAAATGCATTGCACAACTGCCATCTACAAAGTGAATATTATGTAATAGGATCCGCTATAGATCTCAGCTAAAACGACTTGCTTACATTTGCATCGAGTCGTTTGCAATGACGTACAATATGTAAATTAAGTTATCTTGATTTCAACACCTTTGTGGAAAGCATAAGCAATTGGCCCAGCAGACATACTAAAAGTTAATAAGAAATCCGTCCAATGGTCAAGCTGATTCACTGTTGATACATTGATAGATTTGAGTCGCTTTTTTTCGTGCATCTGAGAAATCAACGTCCATTCCTTTATAGGCCATTTTTATTCTTTCATTCGCTCTTTCTTGAGAACCTATACTTCAACCATGATTAGAAATCTCCCTGACGAGTTGATAGCGAAAATTATAGACTACAACGTGTCCACCGCAGATGTTGCCGTATGTCGTTTGGTTTGCAAGCGTTGGAGTCATCTCGCAGAGCCATTGATGTTTGGTAAACAAATCACTATCAGATCTGAAGCAGATGCTCTTTCACTCTACGGTCATTTATGCAGAAATCCGCGCTATGGAAAGCTTGTCAAGCGTATACATTTTCAAGAGAGTGACATTATGTATGCCCTTCTAGAAGGTTTATTGCACTTTATACTCACGCCAAACATGGAAAAGATGACAGGGCGGTTATCTTCTGGACACAGCTTCTTTCGCACAGCATGCAAGATTGCAAAAGCATCAACAGCAAAGTTTGATAGATTGCAGGTTTTACCATATCCTTTGTACTCTTCCAATGCCTACGATGACGCCTTGATTGCATTCAAAGACACGTTGCGTGAAATGGTGTTGGTGCTCGATGCTAACCAAATTCAAGCAGGCGTCGGCATCGACAGCTTTATCATGGATTTCAAATCTTTAGTCCACCTCACACTGAACGGAAGTCTTGGATCATTGTTTCTTATGGAGGAATTCTTGCAGCATTGTTCAACATTGGAAGAGTTGACAATCCATCTTCATCTCGCAGACAATGTGCACGAAAAGACCTTTGTAGAGACTTGGGCAGTGCCTATTGTCAAGGCTATGAATAGCGTCAAGAAAGTAACGTTCAAACAGGAGTGTCGATCAGATCAATTGGAATACATCAGGATCAAATACCCTAAAATTAATACCTTGATTATCGATGTGCATACAACACCATTAATTGTAGGCAGAAACAATATCAAGCGCATAGTAAAAGCAATGAAGGGAGTGCCCACTTACAACATCAAACTGCTGATCAAAGAAGGCAACCTAGAAGATATGATTGGGCATCTCTTGGACGAAGGATATCAGTTCAACGTTAAAGAGGCTGATTTTGACCAATTTAAGATTGAAATGGAAAGCCCTTCTCAATAATTGCATCAAGTCAGAAGCTCATCTTAAACATGCTATGGTATATCCCTATTATTCCTATATTACTCTACTCTACTCTACTCATTTACTTGAATAAAAAATTAAATATAAAAGCACTGAATCTGATTATTAGCAACCAAAGTTACCCAAATGTTTGCACTGAAGTGAACTAGACTAGATTCCCATCATAAACAAAACCCAAAATAAATGTCATCTCAATCAAACCATGCTACCATCAGCAGATAGGCATGCATAATAATAGTATTAGCATGATGATAGCAAGGGTTAAATGCTCTAAAATAAGAGATGACAGATACTAAAGTAAATGTCAAGGGTATTGTAATGTGTTGTAACATAAATATACCTAAAAAGGATACAGGCTCAACAATAAAGAGCTATTCTTTACGCATGATTCAAAAACCATATATTGAAATACCGTTCTTGATCCATCAGATCAACAACTAAATGACCCAACAAAAATATATAAAGTAATGGAATCACTGGCAACTACTAAACTGCTGCCAGATAAGAGATATAAACCAAATAATATAAATAGAGACGTAGAATATACATTTTATTGCACATTATCCTAATTTCAAATAAAGAAGGATTTTAACAGTATTCTACCTGCTTTTTTAACCCCCTTTTTACTGCATTTTTTACTGTTACAATCAATCATTGATTTCGTTATGTCGTCTGTTCTGTCTGGTAACTCCCCACTGTCATCTCGTGCTGGCTCACCTAATCCCATGGAAGAGGACGTCATCATGGAGGATGGCAACGCATCCTTACCTGCCTCAGTTTCTGCAACAACTGAACGCCTCAATGAGATGGATCTCGCGGCTGACCCGCATACAAACCTCGTTGGCACCCCGTCTCCTGCGCCTACTATATCCACTAAAGGTGAAGAAATTGTCAACCCTGACGCTACCTCACCACAACCTGCTCCACCTGTTACGAAGCCGCCAACGTTGACTGAAGTTCTGAAGAAGGTTCTACTCCAAAAGGAAAATGCGCAAATAGCATACTTGAAAGCTCTGAGCCATTCCAATGTCAATGTTGATGAAGCCAACCTACTCCGTGAAAAAGTAAACAATTTAGACAAGCATGTCAAAACACTTACCGATGGTCTCAAGGCTGCTGCTGCTGCTACTGCTGCTGCCACCAAGGCTTCCGCTGCCGCTAACTCATCGTCCACTGGCTTAAAAATTTCCAAGAGAGATCTTCCCAAATTCCAACTGGAGGATAACAAAGCTAAACCATTTCCACATGAGGAGGCATATCGTTCTGTTGATCATTTCCTCTCAGAATTCGAAAAAATTGTGTATTCTTCTGGCCAAGACATCGAAACCGTATGGCGCAAGTACATTCCCCTCACGTTGTCGTATGAATTGGATGACTGGATGAAGACGGTGGTCATGAAGTGCAATGTCTGGCACGATGTCAAGTTGGTTTTCAGCAAGAAGTTTGGGACAGTAGTTTCAAGAATACATAAGCGTCGTGCTGTGATGAATATGGAAATTGGGTTCCATGAATCTGTCGATGAATATTCCAATCGTTTCTTCCGCACTGTTGGTGAGGCCGGCTATCATCGTGATGATTTGACAATTGGTGATGTCTTTTTGTTGTCTTTACCCGAGTCCTGGCAGCTGAACATTTGTACTGTGCTCCTTTCAAATACCAAGAGACAAGCCTGGACTACCACGGAAATTCACAATGCTGCCGTAGATCTTCTTGGTGAAAAGACTCCCCAATCATTGATGCTAGGAAAGGACACCAAGCGCAAGTTTGGCTCTGTTGAACCCCCTATTGTTGCTACCTCTGGCTCATCTGCCACCACATCTTCTGCTTTGCCAAAGGCAAGAATGCTTGGTGATCGAAATCTGCCCAATAGGGCTGCTACCAAGAACCCTAACCCTTGCCGCCATTGTGGTCGCCCCTGGAAGCATGGCCATACTTGTGAAGAATATCGAATGGCCAAACGCCAAAAGGGCGCTGGTGATGGAATCAACGTATTGTCCGTGTCTACTACTTCTGATACTAAAGAAGAAAATGAAACTGACGTGATGACCCAAGCTTTAAAAGAAGCATATGAAAACGAAATTTACAAATGTAAGTCTAAAAAGACAAACGAAAGCAAAAACAACATGAAACTAATCACGCCTCTTCTATTAAATGGTAGAAGAATCATCGGAAAAGTGGATCCCGGATCGGATATTAGTTTCATCAATAAAAGCATATTAAATAAATCGTTTTCAAACATACAAACGTATAAAACAAATGGCTTTCTCAATTTCTTGTCTGTAAATGATGATAACAAGAACAGTACGGTAACAAGAATTGGTAAAACTGAACCTATGGAAGTAACTTATACAAACAATATCAAATTCGCTCATGAATTCGAGGTCATTAAATTTAATGATGAGTTGTCTACTGAATTTGATGTGTTACTTGGTGTCGATATTCTACCCAAATTGAATATCTACCTGCAAGGAGTAGCATATAAATTTCCTGATTCAGAAAAGGACAAAGAAATGAAGCAGTTTGAGGATATAAATCACGATCAACAAAACAAATTCAATCCTGAAAAGGCTGATTATGGTACTCCAAGCGAAAGAAAAGAATTGCTAGCACAAATTCAATCAGCTTTGGACGAAAACAGGGCTATCCCAAGTGATGCAGCATGTACAATGCCAGAATCAGTTGTAAGAATCAAAATTTCGGATCCCAGTGATTGTTTCGTTCGACAATATCCATTAGCGGTAAATGCAAATGCAGAAATCAAATCACAGCTAGAAGAATGGCTAAAAGATGGCATTGTCGAGCGTACCAAACCTGATCCAACCTTTCACTCACCTTTATTGGCTGTACCTAAACGTGATCCACTCACCGGGAAAACTAGCAAGCTTCGAATCTGTTGCGATTTAAGAAGAATAAATGCTGCCATCTCGGATAAAGACTGTCATGAGAACTTTGCTGTACCAAAAATAGATGAAATCTTCAGCAAGGTTGTTGGTAACGCTAATGTCATAAGTGTTTTGGATCTAAAGCAAGCTTATTTTGCATTTCCTGTATCACCAGAATCAAGACGTTGCCTCATATTTAGTCATAACAATTTGACGTACCAATGGACCAGAGCCCCTTTTGGGTTAAAATTCCTTGTAAGCCAGTTTGTCTATACAATGAGCGTTTTATTCGATGGCATTGAACAAGAGTTGAAAGATGAAGTAAAGAAATTATACATAAAACAAAACAAAGACACCACTCAAATTGGCAATGAAATCCAAGCAGGAGTCTGCCACTACTTAGACGATATCGTGGTGTATGCTAGAAACGCAGAATTTAATGCACTAATGGTTAATTTAGTGGTAAGGAGATTGAGTAGAGTAAATCTACGTATCAATACAGATAAATGTTCATTCTTCCAAACAAGTGTCTATCTGCTTGGATTCATCATCAGTAAAGATACCACAAAAATTGATACAAAAAGACTATCAAACATTGAGTCATGGGAAATCCCAAAGACAACGAAACAGGTCCGTAGTCTTATGGGTATTATCAGCCATTTAAGAAACTACTGTCCAATGCTGTCTAAAATAGCTGCTCCTATTGACAGTCTACGAAATGAGAAAAAAATCACTGCAAAATGGACATCCTTACATACTGATAGACTCCAAAGAATCAAACAAATACTCATGTCTAGTCAAATCCTTTATGCACCTAATCCATCAAAGCCATACTTCATGCAAACTGATGCCAGCGTTCTGGGAATATCAGCCTGTCTATTCCAAAAGGATGAAATGGGACGCATTAAGCATATAGCATTCGCAAGCAGATCTTTGAATAGTGCAGAACGAAATTGGTCTACTAACCGAAGAGAAACTGCAGCCATTGTGTTTGGTTTTGAAAAATACAAAGCTTTATTATGGGGGCACAATGATATAACTGTTTTATGTAATCATTTGGCCCTAACGTATCTTTTTACATCATCAACACTGAACAGCACTCTTCAAGGGTATCTGGAAATTTTAGGAGAATACAATTTCTCAGTAGCTCACATCAAAGGAATGGAAAACATTCTTGCTGACCGACTATCGAGATTGTACCCTGCCATAACCGAAGATGAAGAGCTAGCTGATGAATATGAACAACAGATTAAGAAACTACACAAGCTAATCCTGCTACGAAGAACTACCGGGAACAAAATCGTTAAACAAAAGGAAGTTCATTCCAAAGACCCCAATCTAAATGTCCTAGCGATAAAGCTCAGTAGCAAAGAATTTAAACAAACCACAACTGATTATGTTTGTCCACCTCAACAAGATCGTAAAAAGATCATCCAAGATGCACATAAGGTAGGACATTTTGGGATTGCGGCTGTGGTTAAGCACATTCACACTTATCATGGTCTTCATTGGAACTCCATCTATAAGGACGCCAAAGAACTTTTGCTGTCTTGTAAGGAATGTCAATTGCATAATATTGCAAAGAAAGGATTCAACCCAGCAAGAAGTGTAGTGTCGTATGAACCATTTGATTTCATTAGCATGGATATGATTGGACCCTTACCAGTAACGGAAAGAGGCAATTGTTATATTCTTGTGGTTGTAGACATCTGTACCAAATACATCATTGCTCGTCCTACACCAAACAAACAAAGTGACACAATCGCTAACATCTTGGTCTCAATCTATGGAGATTATGGTTTAGCAGTGAATGTTACCTTATCTGATAATGGAAGAGAATTCAAATCTCAACTATCAGAATACATCTATAAATCATTAAACATTGGCATGATACAAAGCACTCCTTACTACGCACAGGGAAATGGTCATAGTGAAAATTCTGTGAAAACTGTAACTGCAACACTAAGGAAAATGTGTGGGAATGACACCAGAAACTGGGATAACCGTTTGCCTATTGTACAACTAGCTATAAACATGAAAGTCCGTGATCGCACAGCAAGCACCCCTTTCAGCTTGATGTTTGCAAGACAAGTAACA